TCAGGAACTCTAGTTAATAATTTAACAGATGGAAATATAAAGATGAAAATAAAATTTCAATACCATGAGTATGATTCTGTCCTGGTGGCGGAAAAAGCAACTAAATATTATCTAGAAAATAAATTAAAAAAGCAAATAATTAAATAAACAAGCAATCAGATAAAGAATTAATTAACTGAATAATTAATTAAGTTAATACATAAAAAACATAAAGAACAATATTATTAATGGACAAATGAAAAGGTTATCTCCTCTATTTAGTCTAATAGAGGAGCATGCAATACAGTATGCAGAATGAGAAAGAATTTCGTTTAATTCTAAATTGAAGGAAATGTCTCGCCGGTTGTCAAATATGTCAATTACATAAATTTTACTAAATATCTGTTCCAGCTTGATCAGTTATAAACACCGCCGTCAATTTTGTTGGAAATTTGGGGGAAGGGGACAAGGAATATATTATATATTGATGAAAATTGAACTGAATTCATCAAACCTGTTAAATAGCCGAAGAAAACAGATAAGAGTTGAATGCAGATTATTAAAAGCATCTCCATACACAAAATTCAATACATTTTTTTTAGTATTTTTATATTTATATACATTTTCGTTTTTTTAAACGATTATACATCAACATTACAATGAAATTAAGATCATTGAAAAATTATGTGTCCAAGGCACTAGAAAATAAAATGTTATATGCAGCTAACACAATTTTTATCGTGAATAACTATTTTTAAAAAAAAGTTTGACTCAATCAAAGTGTTAATTATTGTATTAATACCATACTGTTTATAAATTTTTGTTAGAAATTATTTCAATTTTCATTATTTTAATTATATATTTGATTTTGTTCTAAAATAATATTCATAATGTCTAAAAACTAATATGCCTCACCTATCAATACTTGAGAGAAAAGTATTGTATCATAAATATTTCTTAGTTTTTTTTTTAGGTTTTTAGTTTTTAGGTTAAAATTTAGGTTTTTAGTTACATGTTTTTAGTAGTAGAAATTTTTTTTTAAAACTTCATAAATTGTTGGAGGAGATTATCCCCCGTCTTCACAAGTTGAGGGGCAGTAGTACCCCTGTAATCTACTCCCATGTTTATAAATATTGTTACAAAAATCGTGTTATAAAAATCATGTTATAAAATTAAAAAATTAAATCTTCTTTAAACATAAGTATTATGAATAGTTTTCATTTATTTTTGATTATTATCAGAACTTTATTCTTTTCAAACAAAAATTTATCAATTATTTTTTTTAAAACCATAAAATATTCGGTGCAATAAATATGATAAAATAAATAACATAATGTACACAAATCGGAATATTTTTTTCCAAAAATTAAAAAAAATTATTAAATTTATTTAAATTATTAGTGATGGAAAAAAGGTGTTTAATTCTTATTTAAGTTCAATTATAGTTTAAATAAAACTTAATATCACTCATCTTAATAAAACTTAATATCAACAGTGATCAGTGCAATATTTATTTGATAGCTAACTTATTAGCCATTTATAAAAATATTAAAATAGTGCTGCCATCTGTTGCCTACGATTTCACAATGCAAGCAGAGTCTTGAAGTTTTATGATTTGTTGTTACTTTCTGCTTATAAAAAAGAGAAGAAAAGAGATCGGGATGCTTGAAGATCAGAAACATTTTTGAGATTTTTTTAAGTATCTCAGATTGTTATTGTTTCGAACCAAGAAAGTTTCAGTCTACCAGGTAATTTTTTTTTAAAAATTATTTACTATTAAAAAAAGAAATTAGAATATTTACTATTAGAATATTTACTATTATATTAAAAAATTTTTTCTCTTGAACCAATTTCTGAAATTGTTCTAAACACCAGCTACATTTACACGAAAAAAAAAATTACGGAATTTGTAGAGCTGATTAAGTAATTCTTCTCAATATATTTTAATAGTGATTTTTTCGAAGCCATTCAAGTGCCATTTTCCATTTTCATTGTCTTGTTGCTTCGGGATTTTTTTTTTATTACCAGTATAAAGAGAACTCTATTTGTTTTGAATAATCAGAATTAAAAAAAAAGCATTCAGAAAATAAAGTCTAACGATTAATACAAGTAATATTTCATAAATATGGAAGCTCTTTGATATTGGTTGTAATTAAACGTTGATAAATTCGTTGATAAATTAAACGTTCTAATATTGTTCCAATCTATTTGAAAAAAGCCTATATTAAAAAATCTAATTTAAAAAAATCAGGATGGAATTGATAACATAGGGGAGTTGGGTGGTTAGGAGAATTGATCGCTAAACCTAAACTATGAACTACACTTCATTTTTAATTTTATTTACAAATTTTTTTTGAGTATTTTTTTCCGAGAACTTTATTCTAAGTTAAAATGTTCTTTTTAGTGCTTTTGAATAAATTATAGAAATTTTAACGAAAGGCATTAATTAAATTTTTTTCTCTCAAATGCCTGTTGTGAAGGGGAAAAAAGAAACTACTAAAAAAAAAACTGAAAAAATCCTTGGACTGTATTAAAATTGCGGAAGTTTACGAGGCGTTAAACAGTTTTTAAAAACAATTTTAGCACCAAACTATCCTTTTTTTACTACCATTCAACATACTGCCGCGGCACTTTGGGAAGATGAATACTAACAAAACAAATCTCGATTGATGTTTCTCTTTTAATTACTTGATGTTTGATTATAAGTAGAGCTGTAAAATCAGTGATTGGAATATTCGATTCCAACTTGAGACCTCAACTCCGATCTATCTCAGTTATAATTTTCACCAGTTATAATTATCTTAGGAAATTAATAATATTATTAATAGTTAAATGCATCTGATATATTTTTATTTTTTATAAAGGATAAATGTCACAGGCATTTCAATTAAAATTGCATTTTGTATTGTAAAATAATAGCTAAAGAAATAAAAAGAAAAAAAACTTGTTTGTATTAAATATTAAAATCGTGCAAAACCAATATATCAATAGATCAATATTATCTGCAATTGTTGCCTCCGAACACTGAAATTTAGAATAATGTATAAAGAGAAATATCAGGAAAAATCAGTTTCAAATGTTACTCTAAAGTTTTATTGAAATGCATAAATATGTATAGATGTATATAAAGTCAATGAAATGTTTGTAAATCAAATGTGATACAGAAAGCGCATGTTTCACATTTTTAAAACTTCATTACCCTCTTGCATACAAAGCTAAAATATGCATGCAATGGGCAAAAGAAGCAAGCCGGAAATGCAATCCGAAACAATTCGCGAAAGCAGTTTTAGGGGTTGGCGATTAACTGAAACCTTCTACTTTACCTGAATATCTTTAATTTTAATCTATTCCGATGAGCTTACTAGATTTGAAACCAATAAGTTTCTAAAGTTGGTAGGCAAAAATAAGCCTTTAATTTAAATATTTCTATTGCTTATCTACTTTTTGTTGACGTTTGACTTATGTTCGTGAAAAAGGGAGTTCAAATCTAGTCAGCTGAAGAGTCCCCGTGTGTTAAATGGTGACAGGTGCACGTTAAATCTGTCGGAGTCACAAAGTCCTCAAAGTTCCAATAACAAATCAATACATCTGGGGGTACTGAAGTGGAGATTGATTGTTCTCTGGTTCTCGTCAGAATTACGATCTGTGAAAGGATGAAAGGTGTGTGAACAAGTTCTCCTGTGAAACGGGTTGTGACGCACGTGTGTAGTAAAAATCATACTATTGATCATAGATGGCGCCACTGAAAAACCAGAAGCGCACCCTCTGCCTCAATCTACTTGATTTCAAGCAGACTTGCTGATATTGGCAAGTGGCATTTGTAATAACAACAAAAACTTTTCTTTGAGTGCGCGTACAGTACATATTAAAGGACCTCAATGATGATCTTAATATTGTATATTTTTAGAACCCTTGTATATAAGCTGTATTGAGGCTTTACGTTATAGAAAACCTTGTATCAGCCCACATAACTTGGTTTTCAAAACACCCCCAGAAAATGAGACAAGAAAATTCACGAACAGTAAGAATAAAATTTTTGTGGAAAAAATTCTTATTTATTTTTTAGCAGTTTAAAGTAAGCAAGAACACTAATTTCGATAACCTCTTATGTTTTCTGTTCTCAATTTTACTCATATAAAAATCGACAAATTTCCATATGATCGGTGATCTTGTTATTCTGGACGTAGCTCAAAATGCGGGTTTAAGAAAATGGACTCAAAATAGAAATGGCAATAACGCTTCTTTTCAATCTTCAACTCAATTTGATGACAAGGAATTTCGTACTTACTTTTTCTTACTTTTTTAAACACGAAGTATAATCTTACGGGCTAAGTCCCGGACTCAGGGACTGATCAAGACAAATTTAGGCCCAAGGCCCACCAAATTTTCTGGGCCCCTTACAAAATATTTTGAAATTAAATTACTGAAGAGTAGTCCTAATAATGAAAAAGAATCTATTGAACTGCATGATTCAAGGAAAACATTCTAAGAAATTTTGAATGCAGACAGTTGAAGATTATTTTTTTAAGATAAAGTTTAGGTATCTATAAATTAAAGCAAAATATAAAACAGCAAAACAATGTTATGTCAAAATAAAAATAATCTGGTGACCACAAACAATTGAAATCAGTGATTTTTGCTAAAAGTCACTGATTAGCTGAATTATTTTTTATTGTAAGTTGAAATTATTTTTTTTTATTTAGTGTTTAAACCAACACATAGCTAGCCCAATTTTCATTAGACTTTTTACTAATTTTTGAGGCCCCTCAGAAATTGTGGGCCTTAGGTCCATGCCTATTGGGCCTAGGCTATAATCAGGCCCTGCCCGGACTTCAGGGTTGGGGGTGACTGGACATATTACAGTTTTTTTTTCTTCAGGAAATTTCTTTGTTTTCAGTACATTAAATTCTAAGTTGAGTTTTAAAACTCTGAATTGGGACATTTGGGTTATGTCCTGAATAAAAGGCTCACCGATCACATTTTCTATTTCCAATCGAGTGATAATTTATTTTTTAATGCAGACTAACGCGACTTCCTTGAACACGACCTACAACGTCATCCAGGAGAATGTGTTTCCCTACGCATTTTTCGGCATTCCGGCTGACATTGTCCTCAGGATCAAGTCTAACTTCTTGAGTTCTGCTTCAGGACCCATGGGACTGGATGGTGTGCTCAAGGACACCTCATGGAAGTACAACAGCGCCATCGTTGGGGTGACAACCTTGTACAGGACGGCAAGTATAATTTCTGTACCACTGAATAGCCACTCACGAAATATCGACATTTTTAGATGATAAATTAAATGCATAAGTAGTAGATGATAGAAGATAAAGTATATGATTTTACATGAAATTTAATACATTGTTAGTTGGGCTCGAAAAGTCACGGAATTTTATGTGCTCTGGGCATGTCTACCGGGCATGCTCTACCGGGCAAAATGCATGCCCGAATGAAACTTATTCCTCTTGGAATGAATTAACTTTGTCGATATTATATAAATGAAAGCATATAAACGCAACTATTCATTTAAAGTCATTAACCGTAAAGAAAAAAACAGCATACGAACATAACTATTTATTTAAAGTCACTAACCAGAAAGAAAAAACAACTTTGAAAATAGAAAAACGGGTTTTAAACAAACTTAACACATAAAAGAAAATCTGACCTGATTTTAATAAATTTCTCTAAAGATTTGAAGCAGATATCACTTTTGCTTCAGCTTCCACATTTAAATTTCATCTATTTATTATTTTCTATCTATAATTAGTATTTTTGTTATGCACTGCAATAGTGGTCGATTTTTTTTAAAACAAAAATTAGCATGACCAGGGAATGAAAAAGAATAAAGCTGACTTTGTTTTATTATTTTTTTTTATTTAGAATCGAATTCTTGAGGGGTACTTTGTTGCTATTTTAGGTCATTTCGGATTAATATTTACAGGATATAAAATACATACATGAAAAAGGTAAAAAATACATGCCCTATCGTAATTTCAACATGTCCCGGGTATGTCAGACAAGTAGAAGAATTGTTAGTGAATTAGTACCGACCTGATAATTCGAAAAAATTTTGGCAAAGGATTTTTAATGTCAGAAAAACACATTTTTTCCAAGTTCTCACCTGTGGATGAGTATAGTAGAGCCATCTATAAATTTAAAAATGAAACTTTTTGTAAAATTGAAAAATATTTTAAATGACTCTGTGTGATCTTAAATAACTTAGTGTTAGTAAGACCTATTTTACATTAATACGTTTGGCGACATTTACAATATACGTTAGTGAACATCATTTTACCCTTAATTACACATGCTTGTATTTTATCATGAGTATTGTAAAAACATTGCTTTACTTTCGTTGCATGCAGGTAGACAGAAGCATAAAGAAAGATGCAGTTCCGCTTGATAATTGGAAAGAGAAGGTTCCCGAAACTCAAACCCACTATGTCAAGTCATTGTTCTACGGTGGTTGGTCAGTTGTTCTTTTCCGTTTCAAATGCGACGTTGCTAGTGACGTACCTTTGGTCAGAAAAGTCCTTACAAGAAACTTAGGCGTCATTGGACATTTGAATGCTGATACATTACGTAAGTATTTCATATACGAACCAACACCCCCTCCCATATTATTTAAACGATTTGATTGCTTGCTATTAATGGACTAAGATGTGATGGCCTAAGTTTATTTCTTAATGATTATTCGAAGACAGTAGAAATATCAAACCCTAACACTTAATATATTTTCTCATTAACACGCGACTGCCTTACTGCGCCTGCGCATATATTTCAATCCATTTAATTTAGTTAGTTTATCTAATTGTATTATAAGGGCTTATATAACTCTACAAAGATGCTCTCTGGTGAGATGGTGCTATTGATCAGTTGCTTTTAAACGGTTCACAAATTGTCACTCTTATTCGTTATTTCTCTCCTTTTTAATTTAGTTAGTTTATCTAATTGTTTTATATAAGCATACATAACACTACAAAGATGCTGTAACTACGAGATGGTGCGATTGATCAGTTGCTTTTAAGCAGTTCACCAATTGTTTAAGTCATCTACTTGTTGATGACAACAATATTCTGAGTTTGCCAATCAATTAATGTATTGATAGACGAAATCGTTTTTTTTTCTCCAAACTGAAACATTTGAAGGTAAGTCAAAGTAAAATATCTTCCAAGTGACACAATCTAAAACATCTCACTTCATATCAGTCTGTTTAAGTAGAATCAAATATAGAAAGAACAAATCAGATACATAATTGACTGTGTAACATGCTATGCTTATTTTCTATACAATAAAATATTTAATTTCAAAATTATGTTATTACTTATGATATTACCTTTTTACATTATATTTTCATTATTACTTTGAGGTAAAGGTGGAAACTATAACACAAAAATGGTAATAGTAGTTGCACCACGCCAAAAGACGAATCTCAAATAAATAGCAGACTTGTGGCAGATTGTTTTGACGTTGTACCAACTATAGAAAGTTGGACAGAAATTTGTAGCAGAAGGCGTAATAAAAATTTGCGCCACGCCTTTACAAATGTGTGAATATTGCGGATCATTAAGTGGAAAAGGGGTTTTGTCAATAAATTAAAAATCAAAACCTAAAATTTCACTTCCCCCCCCCCTTTTGAGCATTGCACCTTAATTTTTTGCTTTATATTTTAATTAATAATAATGTTTTCTGCTTGTCTTTTAGCAAAATGGAATCAAGCAATTAAAGACATCCAAAAGGATGACGATATCCGTGGCACAGTGACACTGCACACTCACGTCTATTCGACTATGCCCATTCAGAAATCAATCGAAAATCCTGAGGATTTGTTCGAAATCATTAGTGAACTACCAAAGCTGGTCGGCAAACTTGGGCAACCTCTGTACATGGATTTAAGACCTCTTAACGATTTGGATAAAAAATATCCAATTGTCAAAATGAACACGTGAGTATTAAATTTGCTTAAGGCACTGTTTTTTGAAGGTTATGTCAGAGTATTAAATAACGCTTTTTCAGGAATACTATGCTATTTTCATATCTGTTTAGAGTCGGTAACAGCTATTCATGACTGTTAGGATAAGTTTTGCTAATTTTTTACCAGCGCTCTCTATGCTAATTACGAAAAGGGTGCAAAATGTCAGTAGGCAGAAAAACCACAGTGCTCATAGTTTCATAATCCATATTCATTTATATTTTCAAATCCGTGTCGATGGAATGAGAAATTACGCTACTACTATATTAAGAATTGCAGATTTGATAGAATTGCGTTTTTCTCTTTGCAAACTATTTCGTTATATAAAGTTAAATGAATTTATTCTTTTTATTTATTGGCTTGCTAAAATTTTAATTTTCTTGTGAAACAGAATAATAAATTGTTGTAATGATATAAAGAATCCTAACTATCGGGATTTTGATTTGATCGGATTACAGCCGAATTGGGATTTCGTTTGAAAGAGTTAGGGACTCCCTACCTAAAATTTAAGCTGTAATTTTTTATATTCTTATCTGTTAACATTCAGCATTCGCTAGACGTAATTATAGTGCCATTTTCTTAAAAATGTATAATTGTATAGGGAATTGCTAAATGAGTGGGAAAATTTGGACGAAATGATGGATGACGTGAAAGTGACGAAGGTGAGCATGATGCGATGGGTCACAGAAACTGACACAGTATTCGATGACAATCAGGAAGATAAGGTGAGTTAACAACGCCCTCTCTCTCTCTCGCTCTCACCCTCTCTCTCTTTTTCTTCTTTTTTGATGCATGCTTTTCTGAGACTGAGCTAGTGATCCTAAGCAAATAATAGATATCTTACTGTGAATGACCGAAATTGGTGGTTGTTATTTTCCACCGGTGAATGTCAACAATCCCATAGTCACTTTCGTTAATGTCCGAAATATATACTAGGTCTAGTTAGGTGCTACTGCTCGGTATACATTTGCCCGGTATACCCTACACTGATGTTTTTTAAGGTATCAGTGCCACTGCCCGGTATACATTTGGCCGGTACTCCAAACACTGGTGTTTCTCCTAATCTATTCTCTGCAGATATTAAAATATCGCATAAATATGATAATATCAACGAATAAATTAATATGAAATCGGATACAACAAATATTTCGGACATTCACCAAAGCTACTATGTGATTGTTGTCATTCACCGGTGAAAGTCGACATTTTCTTGATTTCAGTCATTCACAGTGACAGATTCAAATCCACGTTATAAATTACTGCTATAAATTCATCATCATCAGCATTGGCACGACAGCCCTTTGTGAGCCTGGGCCTTCCTCAGAAGCTTTTCCCTTTCTGCCTTTTTCCCAGCAATTGATTTCCAGTTCTTTACTTTTAGGATGGGAAAATCCTCATCCATACAGTTTTTCCATCTCTTTTTGAGCCTTCCTCTTGGCCTTTAATTGGAGGGGGTTGCATTAAAGACTCTTAATTCTGTTCGTTCTGAGCTCATTCTCACTACATGCCTGGCGCATCTCATTCTACTTAGTCTGCTATAAATTACCACTGCTAAAAATTTGGTTGGAAGACTGAAGATCTTTTTGGCAATTACAACTAGAAGGCAAGTTCTGTCTTATGAATAGACATGGCTGTCTGGAGCAAAGCATCTTCATTGCCTAGAAAACTTTTCGAATTCTAGCTGTCCCTTCAGTAATTCGGCAGGTCCAACGAAGAGACACCACCTCAGCTGATGAACATCACTTTACTGCGACTCTAAGACAGCACTTTGCTGTCATAATAGAAAAATTTTAAAGCAATGACTTCTTTTAATTGTAATTTGCTCCATTTTTATAATTGCTCCTGCTTTACCATTGGAAATATAAAAAAAACCTACTGGCATGGCACAGAAAAATATAAAGAGTACACCCAAAAAGTCTAGTTAAGCAAATGAGCTCGTTATTTCTTAAAAAGAGTAAGCAATTTATTTACAATTTATGTTAAATTATCTTAGTGTGTCTTTACTCTCCTAAGACTCAGCGTTTAATATATTCGGTACAATTTTATGACTAAAAAAATTATATTTTAAGATTTTTCTTGTCTGTTTCTGTTTTGTCTGCTTTTGCAAAGTGATTATCGATGTAAAAATATTAACTCTATTTAGTCGAAATTTTTAATCGCATAAAAAAATTGTAACAAAAATAAGAAATTTGATTCGAGTAGCCTTTTGGGCAGTTTTATGGCAAATAAATAACTTGTATTTGAGTCAAGTGGATCTTGTTTCATCATCAAAATGTGACGAAAAGCACTATAAAAATGTTTTACAGTGTGCAAAAATTGATAAAAAATAAAATTCTACAATTCTATTCGTCTAACAAAGAATAACTAAGCAAAAAAAAAAAACTTAATCAATTTTAAAAAAAAATTTATTTTAGCTACGTATTTCTAAGGAAAAATCACTGTTTTTGTCATTATTTTAGGAGGTTATAAAAATTAATAATTTAATAATTATTTTTTAACGATATTTTCATTTTATAATAAATTCCTTTCATAAACAGTGCTTTGTTTACTCTCCTGATGACCTATTTCATTACATTATTTTCGGATAATTTCATAAATTTTGTTTTTTAAATTTTCATAATGACGTTAAAAAAAACTTTTAAGAGACGCTTTTTAAATGATATTGTATAGCATGTTTTTTATTACCTTTTTGCTACTACTACCAAAAAAATAAGTAATTTCTTTCTGCTTTTTTTTAAAAAAAAATTGTTTAACATTAGTTAAAAATTGTTTGATGTATACATATTTTTTCGTCTTAAGATTTCGAACCTCTTGACCAATATAAACAACTGCCTCAAAGCATTCAGTAAACTGGGAGCTGAATATAGTTTGTTTAAACCGACTGACAAAAGAAATTTGAAGGCAGCACAAAAGACATACACGTCTGGATTAGAAAAGGGCATTGAAACTTATAATCAGGTCTATAGGCGACTAAAGGAGGAAGTAGGCAAGTATATATGTTTTAATTTTATACAGAATGCAGAATCGTCATGTATATATTTAGAAACCTTGTAAAAATGAAATTAAAATGGAACTGTGAACGTAAGGGGTAAAAATTAATACTTCCGTGTAGAAAAAAAAGCATTTTTAAATTTTTATCAATTTATATAAAAGTATGAAGAACGGATTACAATAATCTAAAACCAGTTTTATTTTCGAGAGGAGGCCAGGTGGCCTAGCTGTTACCGTGCCTGACTGTGGGTTCAAATCCCTCTGAGGGCATGGATGTTTCTCTCTGTGTGCTGTCCTCTGTTGTGTGTGAACGTGGCCCACTCTATTAACGGGTATCTGAGGCAATGTGGCTTGGGTAACGGTGCTTGCCTCTGTGACTTTGGTCAGAAGGTGCTGACCAGGTAAAGCAAAATGAGCAACAGTTCCGACGCTTTTCATGGCGAAGAAAGATACGTTCAGTGACTGACAATTAAAAAAAAAAGAAAGAAAATTTGTTCTGGAGTAAAATTTAAACCTGGTTTCTATCGAAAAACGAGTGCAATCCATTCTTACAAGACGAATAAACTTGTTTCCGATGATTTTAATCCCTCCTTTGTTCTGCTCAACTTTAATAATAATTCGTCAAGGTTTGAAAACATTTTTCTCTCTAAATGTTATTTTGCAATAATAATAATGGACATAATAGTTTGATTTTATTTTGCAAGGACTCGGTAAATAAATATGAAAGGTTATCATTATTGTAAATCCAATATCACTTGTGTTAAACAGATCGAATCATCAAAAAGATTTAAATTGACAGATTTCATTAGAATTTATTTTCTTTCTGATGTCTAATTATGAAGTTTAAAGAAAAGTGTAGTTTAGAACATCAAACCTTTTTTAACTTTCATAAAATGAAATGAAATTAAATAAATATTTGAATTTGAAATATATAGATAAATAGAAATGCATAATAATATTTCTTCCCCATTTTGCGAAATGTAAATATTTGGGGGGGGGGGGGACGTGCTTTCATACGTGCTTATGAGGTTAGTTCATGCTGTTGCAAAAGTCGTATTAAAAACAAATTTCTCGAATGAAAACAATTATTAGTGTTTATTTTAGCCTGAAATTATGTTAAAATCTGAGGATTACTTTAATTTCTCTTTTTAAATAATAATAATAATAAAATAAAAGTTAAATATCTTTAATGACTCAAGCACATTTGGTAATGCTATGCTTTAAATCATTTCAGATAAATTTAAATAAATTATTTTTTCATTTTCTTTAAGTCCTTTATATTTTTCTTCTTTTCAGATTGTTTCTTTCTGCACTTATTTCTAATTTCCAAATTATTGCATTAAATAATTATAATTAGGCTATAAAATATACATTTCCTGAAAATAGTTTATAGAATCTTCCCCTACCTATTATGTTTTATAATTTTTTAAAAAAAAAAAATTTAAAATTACATAGTATAGAATAATTAAAACGTGCAATGTTTTTTGAATTTTTGAGCTAGCTTTGGAAATTTACTGTTTAAAAACTCTTAAATATAGTTTTTTAACACAATAAATTCTTCTTTTTTTAGATTCTCAAAGGAAATATAATTTTTACCTTTTTACAATTAAATAGAAAACTTCAAAAATTTTAAAAAAGCTTCTACATATTATTGCCTTTATTTTCCTTTAAACCTTTTAATTGGAAAAATATAAACTTAGTAATTTTTGAGCACAAAAAACATGAATAAAGTTTCATGTCCAATTCGAAGTTTAAATCTACAATTATAATGAGCTTTCTATTTTTTAAAGTAAGAAAATAGAATTAGTTACAATTCTAATTACTTACCTAATAATGAGGCGCTTCGAATCGTTGAAAAAACTGCAACCGTTGCTGTACTTATAAAGCTTAAAAAATTAAACCATTTTTAAATTAGACAGATGTGCTGTTCTTTTGATTTTAGTGTTATTTTTTACAAATAACAATAATACTTTAATTAATATTTTTAATAACAAACTTTTATTTGTAATGAAATATATCTCCTTACATTTTGCCGACTTTGTTTTTGATTCATAGAAATGATAACGTAAATAAAATGTGTGTGTATTAAATGTGCACTTAATTAACGTTGCGCTAAAGCTGCACAATGGTTAATTATCGATGGTCAGGGAAACAGCCCTGAGGATGAACGGAAGGCTTGCCATCACAATTTTGTTGCTCTGCAGAGAGGATGGTTCCCTCTGCAGCACTTTACGAGCGAGAGCCGAGCACTTTACGGTAGATCACGAAGACCGATACCTCCCACATTCGGTACTAAGTCAGGATGATGAAAGTGGTCACCTACCCGCTCACTGACAGCAGAAAGTGCTGCTTGACTTCGGTGTTTTACTGGGAACAGTGTCTTTACGATCAGCTCACTGCGGGACAAACTTGCATTAAGAAGTTAAAAATCTGATTGGTATTCAAATATTTTGTATAAAATTTAATCTTTTCTGTTACAACTCTTTACTAAACAAAATGACTATGATAAAAGAGTTATTATTGAATAAAGAATTGTGGTATTACGTGAAAACAATGAACTGAAATGTTCTAAAATTAGGCAGTCAAATTATTGTTTGCATTTTAAGAGTTGGAACGATTCCGAGCATGCTCTTCAATGCATAAAGAGTCGCGTTTCTTAGTTCAAGGGATCGCAAATAAAAAATATTTGTAAATAAAGATTTGCACTTCATTTCCTCAATTTAATTTTAACATACGTTAAATAATAAATTATTTCGATTTAAAAAAGCAATGATTTTGCATATTTGAGAAATCATTTATTAAAAAAGAAAAATTAATAAATAAATTTTAAAAAAATTATAAAATCACCCTAAATTTTTGAAATATAATTTTTTTTGAAAATAAATTCTTTAAATTTTTTTTTCTCAACAATTTAGTAGAAAATAAAATAATCCTAAAAAGTTCACATTTGTTAGTATCATCACGATGTAACTTAACATTTTTAATAATCTGCTATATCATTATAAAACAATATTTAGCTCTCATACACACACAAAAAAAAATTAATTTAATAACATTTGAATACATTTTTCTTTCGATTCAAGCTTCAAGGAGTTAATTTAATTTGTTTTCCCAACAATTCAAACAGACAAAATGGATTCAAATATAATTGTGATTTCTCGATAAGGATTAAATAGTCATACCATTTAACTCAAAGCACAGCAAAGAAAAAACATTACCAAATTAAAGTTCATAACTTATTTTCTCATTCATAAAAAAAAAGGTATCTTCTATTGTAACATAAGTCACAACATAATCAATTATTTTGATTTAAAATGCAACCTTTTAAGTCACAAATATCACTTTTATGGCCCGAATAGTAGCATTCCAAACACTTAGGATTCCGTTCTTCTACAAACACAGCACCAATAAGGCCTTTAACCTCTATTCCATAAGGTAGGTCTTGAACTTTCACATTTGGATGTAAACACAAAGTAAACTTCCGCTCGTTCGTATAAACGTGAAACCATCCGCGGAAGTTGCTTTTAATCCACTCCGTTTTCACGATGGAACCGTACTCTTTAAGTACCTCAATCACGTGAGAGGTGTCTACTTCCAGAGGTATGTTACGCACATGCAACGACACAGACTTGGTTGGCACTTTAATGAAGGTACATGGCTGTCCCTTTATTTTCACAGACTTGGACATCTTTGGGCTCTTCAGGTACTTCGCGAACCCTTCCAGAGCGTATTTCGTTTTGAAGCTGATGATATACACGTGGTTCAGGAATGTAGGACCCAGGTTGAAAACCTCGTTCCGTCGCACCACCTCATGCAGGGCGTTGATGACGTCCCCGATGTTGTATGGACCTGCGCTGGGGTCGCAGCGGAGTATCAAAGTGGACGACCAGTCTACATCGCTTGGAAAATTCAGAGCGTCAAGATCATCCAAATCGTTACTCGAAGAGGACGATCCATTTACATCGGCATTTTCACTCATGTTCGATTTCTGTTGTTGCCAAATAGAGGGAGTAAATTTAAATACCCAAGTCGTCGTCTGCTTGAAAGTGTAGGAATTGGGTCAGTGAATATTTTATCAGAAAGGCTTGGGAATAGTGCACCGTGGCAGAGTAGAAGTATTTGTTCGATAGTTCTTATCTTATCAGAACTTTCGTTCTTTCACTTCCTCTTGAAGTGGTGGAACTGAGTATAAGATTGGAAGGGGGGGGGGGAAATACGATAACTGTTACAAGATGCAGTTTCGCATGTTGCGCAATACCTTAGTTTGACCGTAAACTTTGAAACTGATAAAAAACTTAATCACTTGAATAACGTATTACATTGATCTTGCTCAGCAAAAGTGATATCGTGAAGTGAAAAGTGATCAGTCCATTATTTTTTGAAATTAGAATAGCTTAAAAAAAAAAAAGAACATGAATATGTGAGGCAATCTTGTTTTATGAATGAAAATATTATGACGGGGAAAATATTTAGATCTCTCGTCTGAACTTATCAAAAATTTTTTATTTTATTTTATTATTTTAGTATTTAGTTTAAAACAAAAACTCACTGTCTATTTTCATGGAAGTTTTAAGTCCTAGCAACCGATTGAAAAAAGCGGAGCAATTCAATTGAAATCTTTTTTTTTTCAAAAATAAATAAATAAATAAAAATTTTAGCTTAAAATAGCAAGTTTCCATAATATAAGCTTGATTATCAGGAAAATAATAGGGTAAAGATGTTTTCTCGGTTTACTCTATAGTCCGAACTTTCCACCGATTATTTTTTAAGGATAAGGATATAAGGCCAGGTATTCCCGAAATTGATGATTTTTTATGGTTTAGTACCATTGCACGGTATACATTTGCCCCGTATTCCCTACTCTGATGCCTTTTTAAGGTTAAGGGCCACTTCCTGATATGCATTCGCGCAGTATTCTCTATAATGATGTTTTTTTTAAGGTTAAGTGCCATTGTCCAATATTATTGAATGAACTGAATTATTTTTCGTATGTTTAAAGCAAAATTTGTGCATTATAAAAAATTTGATTTATTAAATAAAGAAAGTTTTTGTTATTACCAATTTTATAATATTAAAAAAAAATAATACAAAGCACGTTTCTCCATGATTTAAATATTTTTAGTGGCAAGATTAATTTAGATAGTTCAACTGAAATATTCTTAAGTTATTAAAAGTACAAAATCGCAAAAGCAAATAATCTGACGAATTTTCCAACAATATAACTTGAAGCTTTCGGATCTTTTTTAAAATGGCCTTGCAGCCTAATCTGCGCGCGTAAGAAAATTACTTTTGTGCGAATAGTATTTATTCTCATCGCACTGGCACTGAACCTTATAAAAACATTGATATAGGGCATACCGGGCAGTGGCACTGAACCTTATAAAAACATTGATATAGGGCATACCGGGCACTGGCACTGAACCTTATAAAAACATTGATGTAGGGTATGCCGGGCAGTGGCACTGAACCTTATAAAAACATTGATGTAGGGCATACCGGGCACTGGCACTGAACCTTATAAAAACATTGATGTAGGGTAAACCAGGCACTGGCACCGAACCTTATAAAAACATTGATGTAGGGTATACCGGGCAAATGTATACCAATGACACTTAACTTGACCAAGTATATATTTCGAACATTTACCAAAGCGACTATAGTTTGTTTAAAATGCGAAATCCCCCAGACTCTCGTCTGGGCCTGTGGCGGTGACTATGGCAACGAGGTATGACTCTTTCAAGTAGGGGTGCGGGGTCATTGTTCTGGAGTGGCTTTGGGTCGGGTCGGCGCGAGAAAGGGAATCTCTTTTTTCGGTCTATTGTGTTAGTCCTAGAGAGAAGCTACCCTCCCTAAAAGGCGCCATTCTTGTTTCCACAGCACCGGGCGGCCTCAGACTTTGTGGTGGGGGGAGTTCTTAGCTTAGACAAACTGTATGTGATTGTCAACATTCACCGGTGAAAGACAACAACCACAAATTTCGGTCGTTCTCAGTAACAAAGATCTAAATTCTGTTACAACTCTTGACAAGAACGGTGCCCGAACAAGATTATTGGCTATAAATTTTGCTTATCGAATCGAAAACTAAATCTGTGTTAATATACAATAAAAGAAAATTCTTTGCAATACCATTAAATCACAACTGTTACATGTCAACAATCACTAATTCCTTGTTGATAAAGGTTTATCATTGAGACATTTAACAAAACATTTTACCTTTATTGATTTTAAACGTTGTTTTTAATGAAATTCAATTAGAAAATGTTGGGATTAAAAAAAAGGTTTATTTCAAGTTTTGTTTATTTGATTTATCTGTCTCGCAATAAATTAATTGTTAATTGGTTATTGTATTCAGATGCTCGGTGTGAGAATGCATTCCTTCACAAAATCAAGGGACTTTTGAGGGTGTACAGCGACGAATTCGAAAAGAAGGGAGAAGTGAAGGGAGGTTTCGGAGAGTGCCAAAGGCTCTGCATTCGACACCCTAAGTGCCGTGCCATAGGCTATGCGGAACACATCTCCGAACTGGACTTGGCAACCGGGCTCTACTTGAAGAGAGAGAAGCAGTAAGTATCCTTGTGTTCCAAAATACAAGTGCTAAGTATTTCAGAGGAGAATGAAAACAGGTTTTTTACAGTGCAGTGCAAATTAAGTGGTACGAAAAATTTCGCGTGTGTAGTTTAATTTGTTTATGTTTCCTATTATTTGCAATCCAATTGGAAATATACATGATTGTGCAAATGTTTCATTTGCTTCAAAAAATATGAAGTTTGTAATAAAAGTCGGCATGTTTCGAGCACTCAAAAATAAGCACCCAGTCTCAAGACTTGAAGAAAGAGACATGAAAGAGGAAACCAAAAGTGATATGAAACAGAAACGTTAAGTTACTAACGATAAAATGAAAAGTAACGAGAAAAAAAATTTGGCATTTTTTCTATTTCACTCTCGGCTACCGTGGTTTTTCTGTTTTGTTTTTCAGCTTTATTTTAAATTTTATATTTAGTAACTTTACATTTTCAATTTCAAATTACGTTGGTTTTCCTAATTCACGCCTTAGCGAGTCTTGGAAATGAGCACCTATTTTAGAGCGCTCGTGACATATCTACTTTTATTACCATCTTCATATATTTTAAAGCAAATTAAGTTTTCTTATCATCAAGTGTTTCTTTCCGCTTAATATTCTTGAGAATATTCATATAATAGTTGAAAACTCGTTCTCTTCTAGGTCAGACACGTTTTCATGCCAGACACGTTTTCATAAGAATTCTAATAAATTTTCATATTGATTTTTTTTAATAAAACATGAGAAGCAACTTTTATGTTCATTCTTAATAATTTTGGATTGAGTATTACGCCTAATTCATCACATTGATCCTCTAATTTCCTCTGGGTCTAGTTGCATAATACGTTTTTTAGGGCTGAAGATTTCTCAAGCACATCCCAGATTATTATTTTCGTTTCTTGAAACTTTTAGAGTGGAANTATATATATATATATATATATATCAACGCTAGGACTCACACATCTTTCGCAACGTGTACGAAATTATTGGAACTTGGCTAGGAAGTGGTGTCGCATCCCCTATAAAGTTTCGACGACGCACCATCAGAGTATCATTCATTTCGAAGTTTACAAAATTTTTTAAATGCTAAAAATTTCAGCAATAATAATGACCTCAGAATGATGCCTTCAACTCAAAATGTAACTTATTAAAAATTATTTTTTGTTTAGAAAAAATTTAGTTTTATTTTACACTAAAAAACATACATTACTTTTTTCCCCAACCGAATGTAAATAGTTTTAATTCATATTTTGTAATTTTTTCTTATAATCCGAATTCGCCTCACTCTATGTCTTGTATTTTTTAGATGCTGGATATATTATCGAAGTACAAGTACAGCAACACTCTTTACGCCAAATGGTCTTTCCGGAGATATGGGAGTTTACGATAGAAGTTGCTACTGAATATTTCGTTGAATTTAAAACTTATGTTGTTTTAGAAAATTTGAGAAAAAAAATACTAAAATAAAAACAATAAAATAAATATTTTAACAACATAAAATTTACCTCATTTCATTAGAAGCATGCATGAATGTGTATAAAAAAATTTTTTTGGTGTAAAATAAAATATTTTCAGTTTCTGTAAAACTGAATTAGTATGGATTAGAATAGCTTTTCCATTCTTACCAGTTAAGTCTGCACGTGTGATATGGCTTTAATAGGTTATACTGTATCTAATGTTTAGCTGGATTTAAGAATGTTGTTACCATCAGAACTCGGCAAAATTCAAACAATACATATAAGTGTTTTTTTTTTATTAAAAAAAAATTTTATTTTAGCAAATACAGTCAAACCCCGCTATAGTGAACATGGTTTATAGTGAACTCCCGGATATAGTGAATGAAATGTTCACTCTCGTGACTTGCTATACATATATAATTTTTTGTGGATACAGTGAACCAAAGGAAAAGAGGAAATTGGTCATTTTGAACTTCTTTCTGTCTTTGACTGATTTTTTTCCTTTATTTTCTGGTAACTTTGAAATTTCTACCTAAAATACAGATACCGATTTTCAAAACCATCTATTGAGTGGAATGTAGCCATAAGCATTATATCTTCTTTGCTTCTTCTATCTCAGTTTCCCATCCCTAAATAAAGGGCATCCCTAAATGTTTTTACGCAAGGCGAAGAATTATAAAAAATAAAAGTTAACACAATTTTTTGCAACTACATATTGTTTTTTAATCATTTTTGTATTTCTTTTTATTGGTCATTTATTTAAATAATGTATAAAAAAAAAAAGGAGCAGTTCGGAAAAATTACTTAAAACTGTTTGCAGTACGGATATAGTGGACTCCCGGTTATAGAGAACCGAAATTTCGGTCCCTGAAGGTTCACTATAACGGGTATTGACTGTATATTTGTTATAAAGAATGAGATTAATAAATCGCAATCATTACATTTTTCGTAAAACCACAAAATAAATAATTAATAATGATGTGTTTATTATGTAGCTTAAATTCTCTTTCTATTTGTTTATGTCATATGTAAGAGCAGTAGGATTAAGGAATTTAATTAAATTTCAAAATTTTTATTGTACAAGGATATTTTTGTCTAGTGGGGAAATGACTAGTTTCAAAATTGAAAATCTCGAGAAAAAAAGTTGATAGGGGAATGAAACAGCCGATATCTCCATTGCGGAAGCTGTTAAAATTTGATGCAGAAATTTTTAAGTTTAATTTCAAAAGTTTCCAAAAGATGGCACTGTACTCTTTTCCAGAGTTCTTAAAAAGAATACAAATCCCAGTTGTATGGATAGTGATTTTCAAAATAAATGTATACAGCAACAATTTTGAGATCTTGACCTGCTTTACTTCTGATTAGAAAGTATACAGGTGCTTACTACTGCGTATTCTGCGATGTGATATTTTCAAACGGATAATTTGGCTCTTAATAAAGAAAATAGTAAATAATGCAATTTCTGATCTGTTGTTGCTCATTTACGTCGCACTAGAGCTGCATAATGTGCTATTGGCGACGGTCTGGGAAACATCCCTGAAGATGATCCGAAGACAAGCCATCTCAATTTTGATCCTCTGCAAAGGGGATGGCACCCCCGCATCGGTAGCCCAACGACCTGCACGCGAAGTCGAGCACTTTACGGTAGAACAGTTTAACGAGGACCAATTCCGTACACCCTCGGTCCCTACGCAGGCTGATCCAAGTGGTCACCCACCCGCACCCTGAACGATTTCGGTGATCTGCTGGGAACTGTGTCTTAACAACACCTCCTAGAAGAACGAAGGCCTCAGCACGGATCAATTTAGTAGTCCGACATGACGAACATAAACTGCGCAGTCGATGAAAAAGAAGAAAGATATAACCACGTTTGGACTACTAAAGGATCAAATTTCTTGTTTATGGTAAACAGTGCTAAGGCCTTCTCTTTTCTTGGAGGTATTGGTCTTAACGATCAGTCCACTGCGGGACTGTAATTTCTGAGCTCATATCTGCTGTATTTCATAAGATATTAGTGATATTAAGTAAATCGAGTGAGTTTGAAGGGAAAATTTGTTTTAGTTATTTAGAGATGTATTATTAAAAGGTTGCTAAATTTAGAAAGAATTCGTTCTTTTGTCAGTTTTAATTTTGTCTCTTTTTACTTGTTTATTACTGTCCCGCAGTGGACTGATCGTTAAGACACGGTTCCCAGCAGATCACCGAAGTCAAGCATCACAGGCTGCGGTCAGTGTGCGGGTGGGTGACCACTTGAATCAGTCTGCGTAGGGACCGAGGGTGTGCGGTATTGGTCCTCGTTAAACTGTGCTACCGTAAAGTGCTCGACTTCGAGTGCAGTTAGTTGGGCTACCGAAGCGGGAGTGCCATCCCCTCTGCTGAGGATCAATGTGATGGCATGTCTTCGGATCATCCTCAGGGATGTTTCCCAGACCGTCGCCAATAGCCCATCGTGCTGCTCTAGTGTGACGTATATTAACTACAACAACAACAACTTGTTTATTACTGTTTGTTCTTGGTGCAATCCGTGCGCCATCATACGTTGGTGTTAGCATATTGTTTTAGCAGCGAGATTAAGTTCATTTTACAAATTATCATTCAGGTTTAAATTTCGAAGTTGGTTTATTGTTCACAGAGTAAGAAGTGTTTTATATAACGATTCTTTTTTCAAATGGCAATTCTTGAAATGACAGATCTTCAAATGACGATTCTTCTTTAAAACACAAATAATAAATCAAGTAACAAGTACATGTATACAAGAAATCCTACTCAAGAGAGTTTCAAAACACAATGATCACGTATGAGCCAAATGGCTTCAAAATACGCCCTGAAGTAGAGACAATCAAGAGCTTGCAGCGCTCCCTAGTGTAGAAAAACAACACCCATCCCAGCGCCAAAAACACACATGTTCTATAGAATACATGGTTTTAACCTCCTAATCCAGAACGACAATACTCCTTTCACGTTTTAACACTAGAATTGATTGCTCTGATCATTGACGGCTTGTGGTGCACTTTTTGTAACTAAATTTCTTATCTTCTGTATAGGTTTGGAATTTACATATAATTTTTAAAACTTTCGCAATAAACACATCTTGTTCCTCCATCGCTTTTGTTTTCGAGATTTTTAATCTTGAAATTTTTTTAATTTCTAATGGCAAGGCAAAAGGTACAAATAGAAAGATGAAATAAATAACAAATACAAATGTACGTAGGATAACAAAGAAAGAAGACCGAAGTCATTGTCTTAAAAGTTCTCTTGCTTCCCAATATCTTGAGGACTCAGTGTGTCCATGAAGGGCCCCACGTAGAAGTAGGTGGTCCCCGCCCAATTTCTCTCCAGTTTTACAAAGTGCACAAAAAGGCGTGGTGGAAAGGCCTATGCGGTATAAGTGAGCAGAAAGACAATCGTGGCCTGTATGCAAGCGGAAGGCCGCAACTGCATCACGTCTTGGTTTGTCGGGAATTAAAGAAGAGCTTACATTTCTCCAACTTTTCAAAGCTGTGCGAGTCTGAAGGTCTTGCAATGAGTTGGTTTTACATAAATTTTTAAGGAATAGTTTGATTTTCTAAAAGGAAGTTGCCGTATTTGGTTGTTGTAGCAAATTAGCACCTTTCTTGGCAAGTAAATCTGCCTGCTCATTGCCCCAAATACCACAATGGGCTGGCACCCACAGGAGGACTATTCGTTTTCCCCTAAAAAATAAAGACCTCAAGAGGTCTTGACATCGGGAAATCTCAGGTGTCAAGGGACGTTCATATGAGCTAATTGATTGTATAGCCGCTTGTGAGTCCGAGAAGAGAACTGCATTTTCAAATTTGAAGCATATTTATATGGTGACCAATCTTGAAATTGGTCACCATGTAAATATGCTTCGCTCGGGTCTTCTTGAAACTTCAGGCTCTCCCTCTCCTACATGGGTAAGCTAAACAACCTCCCAGCAAAACTTTAAAAAAAAAAAACTGGTTAAGTGTTTCTAAAAAAATGTTTGAAAAATCACCACTTTGCATTTCCAATTGCTTAAAAAATTATTTCTCTGGTAAAGATTTCTGTTCTTAGGATATTAACCCTTATCTCAACACCTATGATTTCAAATAGTAATTAGAATATATAGTAATTACTTCGCACATAAATTTCATAATCTTCATCACAATCATAATGCATCCTCCTGCCACTTAAAAAATATTAAAATGGTTAGTTGTCTAGTAGTTTAATTTTAGCGATATTGGAAAAAGGATACAAACATGACTGGATTAAGAGCAGGCTACTAGTACTGTAGCTCCAGGGCTGCAAATTTCTTAGTGCCCCCCAAAGAAACTCTTAATTTTTTATAAAGTTCAAATTAATTTCATTCTAAAAATTCATTAAATATTTTCAAGCGTTATGTTTTACAATTTTCCATAATAAAAAATTATAATTCAGTATCTCGAAATAATAATTTTCACTTATTTTATAATTAATTACAACAATATTTCGGATTATCTTCAATGTAATACTTTCTCAATCGATAAATTTAGCTATAAACAATTGAACTTTAGAGAAAAAGCAAGTGAAATCATAAAATATTAATTAATTGCAGGAAATTAACAAGGGAAATGTCGACTTAATTAAAAAATTATTGTTTTGAAGTGAGCTGTGTTTGTAAGATTTTACTTTTAATGCAGCTAAAGAAACCGGTGTTTCATGCTATATTTCATAACAATAAATTATCAAAATGCTAAATATAATATTTTTCACTTATTTTAACCTAAGTTAATACAAAATAAGGAAAAAAGTATGAGAAATATGCTTAATAAAAATTCTGCTAATAAAGGGTTGAGAAGGGAGACAACTATATAATCAGATAGAAAACTTTCCTCAGATGGAGGACATTTTTGATGGAACTAACCCGCTTTTGCATTACATGGAGAGGAAAACCACGAAAACTTATTACGGTTAGCCTGACGGCTAGGGACTCTAACCCATTATCCGTCTACCACTGAGGATATTTTACGTCAGCACTGTAGTCGGTGAGTGCCGGATGCGGAATTCGTATCGACTATCCTTCGGGAACTATCCTTCGACTATCCTTCGCGACTATCCTTCGGGGTAAGTTCGAACCCAGTTCATCTCATTGGGAGACGAGGGCTTTATCCTCTGTGTGTGATTATTCTCTATTGTGATCTCTCCTTCTATTGTGATCCATCAATTTGTGATAGATTCTTGAGTAAGGAGAGTACCTTAGCTGAAGTACTTTGTACAACTAAATAAGATTCTTTTCACAACACTTAAATATTTACTTTATTTTCTTCATATATAGAGAGAACAGTCGGCAAGGAATTCTGTTAGGTTAAAAAACATTTCGCTAAAAAAAGAACGAATTCGAAAAGAAATAAAAATAAACAACTTAAAAAATAAAAAATGCTGTTGCCAGCCATAGAATTTTTTGAAAGTTAACTTAGAAATGACAAACAAAACGATGTTAACAAAGTGACGTAGATAGCGCAACTAGATCAAAATTATACAAGCGCAACTAGATCAAAATTATGATACTTGACGCTTGACGTAACATTAGCAGTTCCCATATTTCAAAAGTGTAATGTATATGTTAGCACGAATGATCGAAATCAAGAGAATGTCGACTTTCTCCGGTGAATGTCAACAATCACATAGTCGCTTTGGTGAATGTCCAAAATATTCGCTATAGCCGATTTAATATTAATTTATTCGTTAAAATTTTTTTTAATATTTATTTGATATTTTAATATCTGCTGACAATAGATTAGAAGAAGCATCAGTATAGGTTATACCCATAGAGTTGATATACTGGGTAGAGAGAGTAGAATAACCCCCGACCCGTGGACAAGATAAAGTCACGTGACTGTAGCCCAAACTTGCCGTTCACTGAGACCGCTTCGATTCCCGTCCATTCGTTTAGCATTGCGATCGTCTGATGCAATTAACTGTCTGTCTTTTTAATTCAGAAATAAGAATGGTACAAAAGTCCTGAGCATTTTGCTGCACGGAGAAGTTTTCTAGGGACTGTCCGATAACTTTTTACAAGAAAGGGCGACATTTTTTTTCACTTTTTCTATTTTAAAATTGATTTTAAAATTTTTCCGATACTCAGTCATGCTCTGATAATCATGTTTTATTTGCTTTAATAATCAATTACGCTCGTTTTTGCTCACTTTTTTTGCATTTAACATAAGTTTTTATTGTTTCTTAAACTTTAAACTTATAATGTTTAAGTATATTTCAATATATATTCTATTTTTAGCTGAAATAGCTGCAAAGCTTTGTTGGCTTCCTTGGCGAGATACTTTAGCGCCAAGGAACAGTTGAGTAAACTTTCGGTTTTGTTTTAGTTCTCTTTAAATGTCGATATCATTTCTGTATATTCTGAAGATTTTGTATATCTTTACCTCTTGATTACTAAAACCCAATATTTATCTTGTTCTAAAATGTNTATGCCTCCTGCTTTAGGAAATTTCTTGGTGAAAAATTAAAACAATGTTGTTGTCGTAAGGGTGCAATTGCTCTTGTTTTCCAGTGGTGCCATCTAAGGCCAAGAATTTTACGTCTGCCACACCCATACGTCACATCTGTTTATAGGGTGGACCTATTCATACATCCACAGATCGTAATTTTGACATGAACCAGAGGACGTTCAATCTCCAATTCAATACCTCTAGAGGTATAATTTGTTATGGGAACATAGAGGATTTTGTGATCCGACAGATTTAGCGCGCATCAGTCACCATTTACAACACGGGATGTATTTGGCATGCTGGATTCGGACGCCAGCTCTCACGAACATGAGACCAGCGCCCTACCAGCCAGGCTATCCCGACCCCAATCAAAACAGTAAATAAGTATGTATGTAGGGAGTCGTAAATTAGTTTTTAAGTGAGGAAGGATCGAAAATGTTATCGAAATATAACAAATCACTATTAATGAAGACGGCTGTAGAAAACATCAAAAATCTGTTTGTTTGCCGGATGAAGTCTTTTCTAAACATGTGGTCTTAGAATTTTTTCAACATCTCTCAGCTTTTGACGGCAATCAGAAAGGTCATTGACGTTTTTTACGCGCATTTTCTTCTATAACTATTCATCAGATTTCGATATAATTTTTTCGCCTCACTCAAATATTAATGTGCAACCCCAATGATTAGTTCTTATATTCGTCTTGCATGTCTGGAAAAATATGGCATTTTAATTGCTGGAGTTAGTATAGTAACAAGATTTAGGAATATGTTTGAAATATTTCGATGAATTTTGCTTAATATATGCAAATCAATGCTATCAGCTCCGATAAACTCTTTTGTTACTCCTGAATTGATTTAATATTTTACGGAAATTGCAGATGTTACTTTTCGTTATCTTCGAGCAACACATGGTGTAGTTCACCTGTATATATATCAATAAAACGGAAAACCAAACGCTCTTTACTTATTTATCAAGGGAATCTTTAAAAGGTGAGTTATTTTTAAAACTACAGTATGTGTTTAAAACTACAATAATGTGTGTTATCTTTCTATGCCTACTTTTATCAAATATTGTTTCACATTGAATGATTTCTAGATATTTAACAAAAAAGTAAATTTTTTGCCCGAATCAAAATTTTAAAATTGTTTTTCCGGGTTCCAAACAAAAATTATCGACACAGTTTTCAAAGCAAATTTTACAAATAATGTGACCAGAGACGTGGTGGCTCAGCGGATACAGCACTCACCTCCCAATGAGGTTGCGGGTTCGAATCCCAGCGATGGCTGGATGATACTAGTTTCAGTCCGACCACAGTGCTGACATAAAATATCTTGGGTTAGAGTCCCCTTGCATTGGGAGGTTCTCGTGGTATTCCTCTCCATGTAACGCAAATGTGGGTTAATTCCATCAAAAAGTCCTCCCCGAAAGCAAAATTTCTCCCAATGCTTGATCCAGGAGTTTCCTTGTCTTCTGAATTGGATTCAAAATTTCGAGGCTATTCATTGAAAGTCATAAACTCATGATTGGTTCGGCTGTTTAATGACGCTTATAAAATAAAATAATGTGGTCATGTGATATCTATGTAAGAATCATGATTTACTATAGAATACCTATAACAGATCGGCATAGAACGAAAATAAAAATCTTTCTCACATTGTCTGCAGGCATTCTCTATAATGGCTATGCAAATTATACAATAATACAAGTTTTGTCTATGAACATTAGACATCCATAAAATGACTAAGCATTCTATAAAATTCAGGAACAATGCATAGAAATATGTTAGCATTTTAAAAAGTTATGGTTAAGTACAGGATAATTGTTGTGAAAAAAATTTCTATTGTAATTGTAAGATCCACTAACGCCGCTGTTCCTTTGGTTTTTAAAATTTACATAGCATTTTAATTTTGCTGTGTAAAAATTATAAGACTCAAAAACTTGAAATTACGAAGTAAGAGAGAAAATATGCTTAAGGAATATGATAGAATTAAATAAATTTTTAATGTTCAATAGTTTGTTCGAGAATATAACTGTGAAACTTGTAGCAAAAAAGAAAAAAAAAAGAAGAAGAAGAAGCAGTCGCTTTGCAGCTTGCAGTATCGCAAATACCAAGTTGAAAATTAAAGCCCTGAAAAAAAATTTTTATTAATGTGCAGTGCGAATTTTTTTTTTTTTTTTTTTTTTTTTTTTTTTTTTTTTTTTTTTTTTTTTAAGTATTTGATTTTTTGAAATTCAATTTCTCAAGAACTACTTGACCAATTTCGCTCAAATTTTGTATTTTGCAATATAAAATTATGTTCTCTAAAATGAGGTAAAAAATTTTACACCTTACAATTCAAACTTTTTCACCATTATTAAATAAAATAATAAATATTTACAAAAAGTTATTTTTTGCATGGAATTATCTTTGGATAAACGAATTTTATAATTGTTTGCAAACATTTTTCAATTCGCTACAAAAGTTCTCGAGATATAGCGAAATACGCAAAAGGTAAAATTAAAATTAATTGGTCCAAATTTTGGAGCGATGTCCTGGCCAAACTGTTGGGACCATACTTCCCGGATTGCGGCTACCCCCGATATTTTGGGGGTCAAAAATACGAATTACCGTGGAAAAAAATAAATGTTTACTCAGAGAAAGTACGCTTCTGTGTATGATTCCGTAACTTAAAATATCGTCCGCTGTCTTTAATTAGCATATTTAAAGTCAATTCTTCGAGCTATTTAGAATTAGTCCTAGAATGTGAAAATCCTATCATTAGATCAAACGTTATTCAAGGTGGTCCGTTTTTTTTATTTGCGTACCGCACTTGAGTTATTTTTTTCTTCAAAATTTTAATTAGTTCTAAACTTATTGCTCTAAAAGACCTTTTATCCATTTTTGTACGAAAATTTATTCATTTCTATCGAGACCTTTATTTTATAAGCTAGCGCTTTATTCCAAAATTAACAAAAATAATTAATTAAAAAAATAAAAAGATAAGAAGAGAGAATGAAGATTGCTCTCAGATAATAATCTAAACAGTTATATTAAAAGTTTAAAAATACAAAAATTAAATTAAATTACGAAAGATAAAATTTTTTTCTTATTTGAACTGATAAAAATGAAATCGTTTAGCCGTAAAATTACTTTACTGTATACATGCATTGAATACATACATTCCTAAGCTTCATTTTCCCCCCTCCAAGTACTTAACTCGTAAGTACTCGCTATGATTCTTAACAGCATTTTATTGCTTAAAATTATTATATTTTATTTAGAAAATGTTCTTTGTGGAACATATCATTTTTTTAGGGGAAAGAAAAACAATGAATAATAATGAAGGTTGGTGAGCGGGGCTCAGTGAAAAATCCAGGAAAGGCCACCTCTATGTGGCGACCTCCTCTATTTACGACCAAAAATTAAGACTTGTTCTCTGTGTTGAATTTGAAAATAAGTGATGAAAAAAACAACAAAAATTAAATATTCATCAATTTTTTAAAAAAAAAAAAAGAAAAACGAAAGAAAGCGTAATGGTGTAAAAAAACTCCATCGCAATCCGTGCGGTGCGAAGGGGCGTACGAGGCTTGAAGGCACACTGACCATAAAAACGATTTAAAATTAATAAAAAAAAAATTTTACCTCTGAAATATTTTTAATTCAGTTTTTAAATAATAATAACCCTTAACTATACTTCGAATATAATTATTATAAGATAGCGAGTTATTGTTTCCTATTACTAGAAAAAAGAATTCATTTCAGTATGATAAGTTCAATGTTTCAATTCAGTAACTTGAGTCTGCCTTTTCATCACAATTGCGATTTTAATTATCTTCAATTAAAATAAAATCAATGATTGTGAACATCCAAATATCTCTTGACCTCAGTGTTTTTGTTTCATACTCCTATGGTTATAAATTTTTTTTATGATAAGTCTAAGATAGAATGTGCTTATAAATCTAGCGGGGCGGCACATGTGAGTCTACAAATCTTCAAATGCAAACATAATTTATAACAAAAACAACACTCTTGGCAGAAAAGTCGTATAGTTTTATGAGAAAATCATAGGGGAACCATTGCAAAAGAGCGAGAATTTACATGTGCGAGAATTTACATAGGAACTAAAGCCAGACACGGAGATTCTCTTGTACTAGTTCATACAATGACCGCAAATAAGGTCTCAAAGGAGCACACATAGTTCTGGATTCAGGTCTGGTGATCTAGCTGACAGATATACCCTGTTAATATTTTCATATTTTTGAAAATTATCCCCATAGTGAGGTCTATTAGGCAGAGCGCTGTAATCCATTAATATTAAATTTAAGAAACTGAATCCCGAAAAAGTGAATGTAGGGTTCTGAAAACCTATCTCTATACTCTATTAATAGGGCCTCTTATAAGGAACTTGGGGCCATCTATCATGATTCCTTCCCAAACCATTAACTTCCGTTTCCATAAAGGTTGTATTCTCAGGCAGTGGAGGGTCTCTGGTCGATACATTGATATTGAAGAATGCCAATAATTCTTTAATGGGTATTGGTTAGCGACCTCTACAGACCTCTGGTCACATTAAGTTGCGTTTCGTAGACTTTATATGAATTTATATCATGACTATAGACCTATGGGCACCTTTTTATCATGACTATAGTATATCATGACTATAGTATATCATGACTATAGACCTATGGGCACCTTTATAAGGTGTGTAAGGTGTACAATACATGCCTTATAAAGGTTCAAAGACTTTAAACTCCCATCTAACTGTATCCTTGGGTAGGACAGTTGGAATTCGCAGTTGTCGGAGAAGACAACTAGAACCTGAAAACAGCATAACAAGTGGATCAACTGCCGTAGAAACATCTAAACTGCTTTATTTTTCGGATGAAATCACGATTAATGACCTGAATAACATTGAAAGATTAAAAGATTTTAAGATTAAGATTAAGAGATTATTACATTAAAGACTAAGAGATTAAGAGACCAATTTTTGTTCGATCCTGTAAACACTGTTTCACACGTTCAGAAAACGATTACGCAACATCATGTGCGGGAATTATAATTGTTGAATGAATATTTTGTTTACATTATGTCAACTTATCTAGGTACCAAATTTAATTTAAAACAGGTCTAATAGTTCAGTATAGATAATCAGCAAAATCTAAAAATTCTCTTAAATTTTGAACACCAGGATTATGTGCCAAATGGTATGGTATGGGGTATAATAGAAACTTGGTATCATAATAGAAATCTTGGTATTAAATTTAGTTTAAATCAGGTTTGATATTTCAATATCGATAATCAACAAATTCTAAAAACTCTTTTAATTTGGAACTCAAAGATAAAATGTATTAGGTTATAATAAAAGCAATTTTTTTTTTTTTTAGTATGAAATAAAACTCATGAGCTTGAAAACTGAACTAAGTGCGATTTGATGTCATCATTTAAATTTTTACCATTTAAAATGTTTTGTAAATTACGAAATATATAATTCTAGCGTACTAGGTCGAGGATCACATATCGCAAAGGAATTGTGTTCAACCACTCAATGAGACGACACGAGAGAAATTATTGGACCTTGGTCGGGAAGTGATGTCGCATCCCCCATATATCTCTGACCTTGCAAAAACGAAATATCGTCTATTTCGGTGTGTACAAAACTTTTTAAATGGTAAAAATTTCAATACGAGCTATGACACCAAATCGCACTTGATTGACATTTTTAAGCTGATAAGGCCCGAAGATTCTATGAGCTCAGGATGTTAAAGTTACCAGACAAAAGGTCATCGAACAGAATGTAGGATACATGATTAAAGTTTATTTTGTGTGGAGAAAAGATTATCAACTCGACTTTTTTGCCAACCAAAAAGGTTCAATGTTTAAATTTTAGACGAAATTCATAATTTTTGCTTCATAATTTATGTTTCTATTTATACTGTAGAATCAGCCATGGTAAGCGTGGTCATACCTTTTTTGATGTCTGTCATTCTTGGCAGAACTATTGATTTGAGGACGTATGATATCGGGGGAGATATCTATGACAGTCAGGATTATACGGAGGTACATTTTTACTCCTATACTTTTTATTACTTATTTTGAACTTACTTACATTTTACATTTAGAATACATTTTAACTACTTTTTATGTGCTATGAAAACTCAACAACTAAAACATACTATGAGAACTCAAGATTTACTAGTTGTATTTATTGTTCATGACTATTCATTCGTGCTATGCTATATTTACTCTTTAGGTTCCGTTGCATGTTCTGAACTCAACGTACAACATTTTGGACCAGAATGTCTATCCATACTCTTACGTAGGACTTCCAGCTGATTTAGTGTTGCGAATTAAATCGAATCATCTGAGTTCAGCCTCAGGCACCTTGGGCCTTGACGGACTTCTTAAGACTCAACATAAATCGAAAGCTACAACCATCGTAGTTTCATCATTTTATCAAACGGTGAGGCAGTTAATTACAAATACCACTGTGAAATTTCTTTATTTGCTTTCTTTTAATAATTCATTTATTTATTATTGTTGTAAATATACTATGCTGTAATTGCTGTGTCCCTTATGACTTTATTTGAAAACTAATCTATACATATGGACATATGTTGTTACGTATGAATTAGGAAACTAATCCATATATACAGTTCACTGCAACACAAAGCAGCTTGAAAAACAGTAAATAGTTACCAGAGAAAAATAAATAATTGAAAATGAACAATAAAAAGTCAAAGAAGGATAAAGGGAAATGTCAATTATAGTCTGATCATTGCGAGTTTGTTGTTGATCTAGCTTCCTAATTTGCGCTCATTGCCATAAAAACTAGCGCACCTAGAAAGAGTTATCAGAATGAAACGAAATTTTACATACCAAAGTGCAACGTTGATATAAGTAAGTGAATTAAAAATCAAAGCGAAATGATAATTTATTACTATTAAGATTACAAATGAAAGAAGATTTCAGTACCCTCTTGGGATTCCTCTAACGCGAATACAGAATGATGTGTTGGGGTAGTCTCTTTTAATGTCCTGCGGCATCTCACTTGTTGCTGTAATACAGTTGCTGTAACACACCACTAAATTGACTAAACTTGGAAGGTGTCCAACAAGCCATCTCAACTAGTCCCAGATATGATAGTTCGGTGGCAGATCTGGTGATCTAGCAGGCCAAGGAAGTGTGTAGAGAAATGTGACGGAGGCATTCCTGTGTCACCCTTGCTGGGTATTATCTTTTGATAATCAAGCAAGCATTGTCTGGTTGAAAATGGTACATTGGAGCTCTGCTATGAGTGGCAACACAATTGGTTTGGTCACCACATGTGGCCAACAGACCTGTGAAGCGGTTTTACAACTTTTCTCGCCCACTGCGTAAAAATACATCCCCAGAACTCCAGAGATCCGAAGGTCCCAAGCCGATCAGACACGGAAACCATCAACCGCCACACAGAAGCCGTGTGTGCAGTTCCGTGCACTGGCTGCCATGTTACCAAGTCAATTTTTGGGGTGATTGACGTATGTCATATGCGATGACACGCCAAAGAATCACACCAATTGTAGAAGTGGTATGATGCTCTGTAGCGTAGGGAAGATTGAGGCGTTCACCATAGGGCCTCCACACTCGTACACGATGGTTATCACTACCCAAATGAAATTTGGATTTTTCACAGAGAGACACCACTTCAAATGGAGGTAGCGGTAGGCAGGTGTCAATCCTACCAACGCTGTCCAGCAGCTGGCCGTTTCTACAGCAGATGTGGTGGTATGGCGTGTCATCAAATAAGGCACACGATCATCTCTAATATTAATACACAGTGCCATTACATCTCAGCGGTACGTAATAGTCGTCCAGTTACAAGAATTTGTGGTTAAAATTTGCAGAAAAAGCGGAATCGGGTATGTATACCAAACACATGAGGATGGTTCGCGGGTACGTGTTAACATAACTTTTACCTAAGCTAATTACTCCCATACACAGGGCTTTATCTAGGAAAGCGTTGACCCTAGGCATAAAACTATCAAGGGTGCTGATTGTTACTTTAAACCAAAGTTACATGCTGTTTAATTGTGAAGAGTTTTTAAATTATTTTAACATAATTAAATTACGATATATAAGTAAATTTATGGTTATACTTATTTCAATTTTAGTTAACTCTTATTTTTAATAGATAATTCTTAAGGAAAAACGCAAATATAATATATTTGAAACATTTAAGGGGCCCCCAGAAACGTGGGGCCGTCGACCTGGGCCTCTCAGGCCTTATAAATAAGGCCTTGCCCATACAAGCTAATTTCTCCTCACGCTGCTTTACTTTTGTAATAAGGCGAATTATATTTTAATTTTTAAATATCTGTCAACACTATTAAATAATTTTATAATATATAATTTGCATCCGTTACCGTTTTGTTAAGCCTTGTTCAAATTTAGCTTAATATTCTCTCTGAGCTGTGTGCGTAGTGTATGTTTGATTAACAATTAGCATCAACTAAATTTATTTTATGAATTAGTGTAAATGAGCATCCTAAATAAATGATTCCTACTTGGTAGTTTATAGTACTGACTCTTATATGTATCAGATCTTACTTGTAAATTTAACTTTAAATTTTAAATTAATTGTAAATTTTAGTGTTACTGAATGCTAAAAATTGACGCTAAATAGTGTGAAAGATTCTCTTTGGTGTTTCATGTCGTCAAGAACTGTCCACTGATTGATTGTGTTGTAAACTCCAAGAACTAAGAGTTTTCTGTGGTGTTTCACAACACTACACCAGATTGGTATAAAGCAGTTTCCGCCATTTTTGATTTTAAGATACATGGAAATTTTTTATATTGTATATTTTGTAGGTTTACAGAGAGTTAAGTGACAACGCAAAGCTAATCCCCCAATGGTCAGAGCAAATTAAAAGGAGTCGTACTCATTATGCCGCATCTGCCATCTATGGTGGATGGAGTGCTATATTCTATAAAGTGATCTGCACTCACCCAGACGACGATAAGACTGTCAGGGACATCTTGACATCGAAATTAGGAGTAATGGGAACAATTTCTGAAAAGACAGTAGGTAATAAATATTCTTTTCATTTTAAATAATGATAAGAAAAATAAATTTCAAACCAAAAATGCAACTTAAAACCCAAGATGACGGGGGAAGAATTAAATTTAGATTGGTCTCTTAGTCATCTTGAAACTCGATTAAATTCTTAATTTTCATTTTCAAACCTTTGATGATATAGTATACTTTTACAGCACTATACTTTTTAAGAAAGATCGAAAATAACAGCGTCGCACCTTTAGATTGAAACAAACAGCGCTTCATAATTTTTAGTGCTTTCATTTTTCTTCCTTAAAAAATTTAAAAGAATAAAATGATACAGTTACTTATTTTGGAGAGATATTTTAATGCTGTACATTTTCCCATGTTTTAAAATTTATTTTTAATTTTGCTTCAACTAGCAAAAATTGATCTGGAGTAAACTAAAAAATTATACCGTCGTTTAATTTCGCAAAAACAAAAGATTTTTCAAAAATTCAATAAAAAACAAACCTTCACTACTTACTTTACTAATGTAAACAATGACATGCTTCTTAAAACCGGAAGAAATTTAGAACACTTCCGCTGTATCCCTCCGCTTATGTCATGCTTACGAGGTAATGTGTGAACAGGCTTAATATTCCAGGAACTTTTTTTTATCGTGATTTGTGTTTAAAATTACTCATAATTTTGTCATTCATAAGAGTTTTCTGTAATTTATAAATTCTAACAGATCATGAGCCTACAACAAATGTAACAAAATTAATATCACAGCATAAAAAAAAGCGCAAAGTTAGTCATGTTTTTCGTGTTATCCTTTATTTGGTTATATTTGTGTAAAATAGCACAGTCGGTTATTTTGAGTAGCATCACAGCAAGCTTGCTGTGTCTTCCGAATTCATTTGCCATTTGCTTCACTGCAAGTTACATTGAAAACCGGATGCTATTTAGGCAAAGTATGAAATAAACGTCCTGATGAGGTTATTATGTAAATGATGTGCATGTTACTGTGAATGACCGAAATTGGTGGTTGTTGACTTTCACCGGTGAATGTTGACAATCACATATTACGATTCACATTTACGATCACGATTATTAAACATCAATTCACTAGTATATAATCTTGATACTAGCATAAACTTATTCCCTTATGACCTCAGAACACAGGGCATCACAGATTCGACGAATCAGTTAGTGGCGCTTCGCGCCAACACTGAACTATCCAAAATATCCAGCATCAAGCACTTGATCTTGATGTACCCTTTGATAGATATACACCGAAGAGCCATTACATTATGACCACCCTGCTAATAACATGTAGGACCACCTTTAGCCCTTAAAACTGCTAGCACCCCCCGGGGCATTAATTCCACAAGGTGCTGATAGGTAGTCTGAGGTATCTGGTACCAAGCGCTCACCAACTGGTCCTGCAATTCCCTCGCATTGCGTGGCAGCACGAATTTGGTTTTCCAAGTAGGACCACAAATGCTCTATTGGATTAAGGTTAGGTGAATTTGGGGGCCAAGACATGACTTGAAAGTCACTGGAATGTTCCTCGAACCAATCCATGACGATTCGACCCTTATGACTTGGTGCATTCTCCTGTTGGTAAACACCATCCCCCGCAGGAAAAACCGTTGCCATGAATGGGTGAACTATGTTCAAGTAGCTTACAGACGTCAGGGATTGTTCTATGAGGATTATGGGTCCTAATGTGCCCCATGAAAACATTGTTCCATTAAACCATGAAAACCTGGGCGAGCCCATTGTTATAGACGGAGGGTGGTCATAATGTAATGGCTCTTCGGTGCATGTTGCAATTATCGATTTCTGCTCTCCCCTGGTGGATAAACGGTACCGGAGGAGACGGGAAAGAAAATTCGGAATATCCTTTCTCTTTAACGTTCTGAACTAAACTGAGGATGGATATTTACTCTGTCTTTCGATACATGTTAAATATAAGGCCATCATCCAATCACAATTTGTGACATTAGGCATGCGTTATATTTATCCTTTTTATATCATTATGCCAATACAATAAGCAGTTTTTTGAAGGTAATAAAGTATTTTACTTCTGTCAGTTCTTAGTTTTTTAATAAATATCGAAAATAATTGATAAATAATAATTGATAAAAATAATTTGATAAATTTGAAAAATTTTAATAAAATCCAAAAGCGGACAAATGTATAGTTTTAAATTATTTACTCAAAATCACAAATAGCAAAAACTTATTGCAATATGATTTCAAGGAAAAAACTATAAAAGTTCTAAAAATACGAAGCACTATTTCTCTTAATCTAATAAAGTGACCCCATTATTCAGTGACATAAGTAAGAACCCCACGTGGGGGGCAGGAGGTTTGAGGGCGCAAGATCAATAAATAATGCACATGGGTGCGCAACCTGGTGCCCGCAGTAGCACCTGAACCTGAAACAAAAGGACAAAAACAAAAAACTATTATATTTTGTTTTCTCCACACACAAAAAATTACGTTTTTGAGCGCGGCACATCTAAATAAATGTAATCTTTCGATCGCTTTTTTCGGTGATTATCACTACGAATTTCCAAAATCCCAACAATTTTGACTTCTCGAATGTATCCCGAATGTCTATTCACAGTGTTCTTATCTCATATTATAATTTTAAAAATATTGTGGTAAGTCTAAAATAGGGCGCGTTTATAATTCTTGCGGGAGGGCGCACCTAAGTCGATATACGCAACTGCCATTATTTTCAATCTTTCACGAAAAGTATAGTGCGGTCGTATGACGCGCAATCATTAAAACTTTAAAAACATAAATTAAAAATTCTTTTCAAATCCGAGAGAGCGGTTCTGCATTCCTCAACCTGTTTTGCAAAGGTAGTACTTCACTTTATTAATGGTTTTCAATAAAAGTTTTATTTCTGATGCACACAGGTCTTTGGAATGAAGCTTTCGAAACCATTAAAAATCATCCAGATTTGAAGGATACAATAAACGTCCAAGTGAAAAGGTTTTCGAGCCATCCCGTTGCAGAAGATATTTCGACGCCTGACAAACTATGGGAAGCCATCAAGGCATTTGAATTTGACGTGGGACTAGTTGGACGTCCGCTTTTTGTGGAATTTAGACCTCTGCGCAAGCTTGACAACCGATTTCCATCTGTAAGACCACACCAGTAAGACTACTTTCGTTTTATTTGCGATCAAAATGAGCTTTACCTACGGCAACACTTCTCATGCTTTCAACAGTAAATGCGTAGATACTCATAGAAATTGGGAGTACGCTAGTTTCTGTTTTGATTTTCAAACCAATTAACATTGTTTAAGTTTGGAAACTATATGGAACTCAAAACTTCATTAAACATAGCGCCTAAAGTAAACATTGTGAAATGTAAAAAAAAAAAGAAAAGAAAAAAAAGAAGATTTTTTTTTAACAGCCTAAAAGAGAGAGAGGTATTATGGAAGTGAAAAACATCGCAATATATTCCCATACACCAGAGGAGAGGTGATGGAGGAGGTCGTAGTCATAGAACCAGTCTTTTCCCAGATGGCGTATTCGAGTTTTGCGATAGAAAATATGAGCCGAATAAAAAAAAAGTAACGCTTTCGCATATCAGCCAACAATGGCCTAGCACCTAGCATCGTTTTCCGGCGGTTATATTTTACCAGCCATGGTTAAAATGCCACGTAATTTCTCTCCAGTCAGGTGACGTGGACAACGCCTAATCTATAGATACCCCTTTCACCAAATTTCCACACCGTAGCCAACGAGAAGACTTTCAACGACAACTGATTTAAAGTGCCATTTGCTGCGTATATACATCAATTGTTTTAACAGCTATAAGGATCGAATTCACGACCCCAGTATAATTTGTATAATTTTTATGGTATCTTTTTATCTCAGCTAGCTGTTTTCTACGGGGAACACCAAGTTTGAAGCTAAGCATGACCCGCTCAGAAATGACCTTTAATTTAGCTGCACTAAGGTCACGGTTCAGTGGGAGGGAGGCATCAAAAGAAAATTAACTTTACTTAGTATCATTCATCCCCGAAAATAATACATGACCGAATTTCTTTAGTTACGAGCTCAGGTTTTTTAAAAATTTCAATTACTTTACATTATTACACTATTTAAGTTTATCGAAACACTTTCAGCAAAATAACCATGCTGTTTCAGACAACTTCGGAAAACAAATTTGGTGACATCACACAACGCTGATTTTAGTTGTGCATATCTGTCCAAATAAATTGAAGAAATATAACTATTAATGATTGTAATAAATAATTGATTCAAAAAAATAGTCATCAATTTGCAAGCAACAATGAATAAATTCTTATGAAACAAATTTCCCTTCCCATAGCTCTGTCCAGCGAATTTTTTAAATTATTAAAATTTGTGATTATAGTTAATAAAGATTTTTTATATCTTTTCTTTTTAATTTTTAATTCTTTTTTAAATAGTGAGTTGGACAAAGAAATGGAAATCCTTGATGAAATGTATGATGACTTGAGGTTTTCAATGGGAGTCATGAGGAAATGGTTATCCAACTCGTTGACTGAATTTACCGATGAACAAGAAGACAAGGTAAGTAGTGACTGTACCCAATCATTGATAAAATGTGGCGATTTTTTTTACTTACATCGAGCGGGGGTGCTATCCCCTCTGCAGTGAATCAAAATTGCGATGGCAAGTCTTCGGATCAACCTCAGGGATGTGAGACTTAAATGAACTACAACACAACAACAACTAATAAATTCTTAATTAAAAAACCTGAAGTAAAAGTCGTGTCGAATAGCAATATACATAGCATAAAAGCAGGGCTCACAAAGTGTGTACCACGGATTGAGATGTGGGTTGTCGTAAGGTGTCCTAGACTTTAACTCCATTATTGATCCTTTTATGGTAATCTGTTACTTTTCAAAACGAAAAAGTTTCTATGTACTTCTGTCGATGGATGGTTGACTAAATGTAAACAATAACAAGCTTCTTAAAACCGGAAGAAATTTACAAAACTTCTAATGTATTCCTCCGCTTATATTATGCTTACGAGGCGATGTGTGAACAGGCTTAATATTCTAAAAAGTTTTATTATTGTGATTCGTGTTTAAATTAACGCGTAAAATTTTACCATTCATAAGAGCTTTCTCTAATTTATAAATTCTAACAGGTCTTGAGCCTAAAGCAAATGTAAGATAATTAACATCACAACATCAATAAAGTGTAAGGTTTGCCATGATTTGAATGTTATCCCTTATTTGGTTACATAAGTGCACAATATTGCTATTTGTTATTATTTGATAGAATCATAGCATGCTTTAGAAATTTTTCCAAATTCATTTGTTGCTTGTTTCGTTGAAATTAAATTGAAACAATGTAAGCATATAACCGTATATAAATACAGTAAAACTTGTGTAAGTTGACCACTTGTGGTGCATTGTTTTAGTGGTCAACTTAGACAAGTGGTCAACTTATGGAGGGGGTGGGTTATTGTTTACTTTTTCGTTTCCTATATCATGTTGCTGTATATTTAATTTTCTTTTTACTTGACTTAAAAATTTTATTCAGAAAATATGCAAATGAGTATCTTAAGAAATGTGTTTAAAACTGAATGAACTTCAATTTGATACATATAATTCTAATATTTAACTAATTTTTTTTTAAAAAATTATTTCGTTAGTTATGCATGTGAAGTGTTTAATAAATATAATTTCTTAAAATATCAAAACACGAAAACATGTAATTTGAAAACTTTAACAAAATAAAGTTATTTGAACACTTTAAAATTTATTTACTACACTTAAAAATCAAAGACCATAAATAAAGGATCAAAGCATATTTCAGAGCATTCATTTATTCAAATGTTCACTATTGCAACTGGAAGAGCAACTTTTCAACTAACACATCTGTTTTCAATGAACGGATGAAAGAAATGGTCAAAAGCTGACCCCTTACAGTTTCCCCTGATGCTCAACTCACAAAAGGGCTTAGATAAGCTCTTTACACTATTTCGGCAAACAAGTGAAATTTTAACATACATTGCCAAAATGACAGAAAATTTTCTGAAATTTTTTTTTTCTGGTCAACTTATGAAAGTTTTAGAATAGAATTTCATAATACCCCTAGATAAAATTGACTTAAGGCCTGTTTACACAGTCCAATTTCTTGAATCCGAGAAATTGGACGGATTTCTCTGTCCAAGAAATTGAATGATTTGTTGACACTATCCAAGTTCTTGAATGTCGCTGATTCGTTGAAAGAAAAACTTGCGCATGCGCATTGTTCATATTCAACATTATAAAATAATACTTACATAAGTTTAAAATTACTAAATAAATTCAAATAAAATCATAATAACACAAATAAACCGCAACAGATCAATTTATTTGGACTAAAATATATGAAAACAGACAAGAAGATGACATAATTTGCTGCCTGATTCTTGACGTCACAAAACCTAAGACGCTGATTGGTTAAGGGAGAAAAAACTTGGATGGTAAGTAGAACATGCTCTACTATCGTCCAAGAAGTTGGACCAAGTTCTTGGATGTTTGTTTACACGATCAAAGCTCAAAGCAAAACAAGTTTCCATCAATATCAATCAATCTTTGTGCAAGAAATTGGATCGTCTAAACAGGCCTTTATTTCAGTGGTCAACATACAAGATAGACAGGTGGTCAAGTTACAAAGGTTTTGCTTCTTTATATTATATAGGAAAAATTCCGTTCTTGATAATTGAGGTCAACTTATGCAGGTGCCCAACTTACAAGGGTGGTGATGGTGAACTTGGTAGGTTTCACTGTATAATAATATTGGATGTCGGACTTTTTCAGACTCAGTTGTAAAAATCAATCAAAAGTAGTAACACGGCAGTCTTACGACGAATTTTAACCACTAGCGCCACATGTGCTTAGATTTACACGGTCAATCATCCATTAGAAGAACTACTTCACCTTCCGCTGTCAGTGGCAATGGTTACGAGGTAAAACTATTTTAAGTGGGGTTGTGGGGTAAGCATTTAGAACAGTTAGTGTCTCGGAGATCCGAGACACGATTCACGGATCACGAGTATAGGATAAAGAACTTGCTTTCTATTTATAATTTCCATTTCCTCCAAGAAAACAAGTAAATTTTAATGCTTTATTCAGGAGTTCACTCTGGCTTCTGGTTCGGGTTTCAGATTTACAAAGCTATGAGTTGATTAATTTTTGATAACTTAAAATTTTGGCAGAAAAATATCATTTCTATTTATTTTAAATGTCTTCGACGCTTTTAATGTTTCAGCTGAATAAAGTGATATGATATTATTGGTAAATAGTTTGTAAGGAGTTAAAGACATGCATGATAAAATACATGTGCATTGCGCAATTACCTTTTAAATACGATAATAATAAATAATTGATATTTTTCAAAAACAAAACTTAATATTAAATAACCTTTTTTAAAATGTTGATTGCAGAGTTGTACTCTAACAAATTTGTTAGAAAATTCTAGTGCGTGCAATATATCTCACCACTTATAGTCAGATGACAGCCTTGTGCACCACATTATTCGAAAGAGGTTTCACGTTAAAATAAAGATCAGCATATGATAAAATGAGTATGATAAAATGGATTAAAAATTTATAAAAAAAATGTTTCTCGTCATTCATTTTGACAATTGATTCGAGAAAGACGATTTAATTAGGAATTATCATGTTATATTATCTGATTATACTATATTATATACTATTGTTATATTTTGTACATTATTGCTTTCATTTCCATTAGCTTTTGAAGTTGTTTGACCACCTACGCGGTACCCTTGATTTCTTCCACACTGTGGCCGGGAATGCCAGTATCTATGACCCGATGGACGCAAACTATTTGAAATCAGCCATGCTGATGTACCATAGGGGTTTAACAAAACAGACCAGTTCCTACAAAATGCTATACTATCGACTGAAAGAAGATTTAGGTAAGCCCAAATGAAAAATAGAAATGCTTGATAACGTGAAAACTAAAGTGAATATATTTTTTTACTTCATTTTATAACCGTCGTTGAACGGCCGACCCAATTTTTGGGTTTACGACTAATAATGCTCAACTCCGCAGCTATGTAATTTTGAACCCAATCCAGAAGACAAGGCAACTCGTGGATCAAGTATTGGGAGAAGTTTTGCCTTTGCTAAGTACTTTTGGATGGAACTAACCCACATTTGCGCTTGCAGAGGAAGACCACGGGAACGGAAGACCACGGCGAAGGGACTCTTACCGATGATCTGTCTACCACTGAGAATATTTCACGTCTGCACTGTGGTTGATGCAAGCAGGCTAGCCAGCCGGACTACCAGCCATCGCTGGGATTCGAACACGGTTCACCTTATTGGAAGGCAAAAGCTCTATCCCCTGAGGCATCGCGGCAAGTAAATATAGTAGTACCATCATTCAAAAGGTTGCGTACACTATCTGGCCAAAATATCCGGACACTCAATAGTACGAACTCGGAGAGTCCTAAGGCTTACATTAATAGGATGTTGGTTTGGCATCGCACGTCTGGGAGAATTTCCACCAGTTTTTGACAGGTGTCCAAAGAAACTGATCCCAGCTCGTCCATCCCAGCTGAAGTAAATGCATGCAGTGAGGACGGCTTATTTAGGCAATTCGCCTTTTAATTCATTTCAAAGGTGTTCTGTGGGATTTAAATCGGGGCTCTGAGAAGGCTAATCCAGTTTACCTATTCCTTCAGAGCATGGAAGTACAAATCTCGATGTGTGAGTGGAGGTGTTAACTCGCTGGATGAGAAATGGGCCTTCCTTGAAATATTGCCATTGAATTGGGATGGCAGCCCAGTGAAGAATATCCGCTTACATCTCATAGTTCATATTTCCAACCATATGAACTAAGGCAGTGTTCCCCAACCTTTTTATCACCGCGAACCTGACAATGTTTGATAATTTTACGGTGGCCTGCTGTGGGCGGGGGGACGTTGATTTTTTATATTTTAGATTAGCTTGTATTTTAGATTATTTTGATTTATTAGTTTTAATTTAATTGTATTTAAACATGCCTTCAAAATGAAATACAGTTACACCAAAAAATAAATATAGTGTGATTTAACATTCTAACTTACTAGAACGTTAAATCAATGAGAACCCTGAGCTTGTTTCTTTGCAATGAGACTGCTCCATCTGGGGNTTGGGGGGGGGGGGTAATCGGAGACAATGACACCCGAAATGTGTTGCTTACGTCCAGTTTTTTCCGTTGCTTTGCTTTGGTTGCTGTTACTGCAGAAAACCCCACTTCACACAGATGGGTTGTCGGAAATAGGGATTTAAGTGCTGTGGTGGAAATCTCGGGTATTCTGCCATGACTTTAATCCAGAACACCGGCAGAGTAGTTGTTTCGAACGTAGTTTTAAAACCGCCATCATTTGCAATCTCCAGCAGTTGATCTTCTTCTTGCACAAACATGCTAGATTCGCCCGATTTATTGGCAAATTTGCAGCAGATCCATTCTTTACAATTAATTTGGGGTATAAACCTAGGAATTTAAATTCAGTTTCAATGAAATGGGCGTCCCGGTACCATTTGATCCGCGGATTAGGGAACACTGAACTAAGGGACATAGGTTAAACTATGAAACCATCCCCATTTTGGTCAGATAATGAAAAAAAAAGGTATTAGGAGATATTTCTTCCCAGAAAAAGATCAACCGATGGTTAAATAAGCAGAAACATCTTATCGACGACATAAAAACTTAGCTTTTTTAAAACTTAAACACTCCTTAGGAAAATTTTAAAAAGTGACATGTCATCATAGTGCTACAAACCCTAGTCATTCTTGCTGCGTACGTACGATTGATTACATAATAACATCCCTTTTAGATGCCGAATGTGAAGATACATTTAGACGAGGCATAAGTGGAATCTTGAAGGTATCTCATGACGAAAAAATCGAATTGGGTGGTCTTGTCAATGACTTAGAAGAATGCAAGAAAGAATGCGTAGAAGAACCAAAATGCAGATCCATAGGATATGCGGAAAATGCACCAGTTTTGGAGTACGATCATACAAGCAAAGGTCTCAGAATTGTCAGAAAGGAAAGACAGTAAGCAATTAAATTATCATTAAGTACTTTAAGTTTGGAAATCAATAGATTTTTAAATTTGGCTTGAAACTGTAATTGCTGCAGCCATTGTCAGGTGCTTGAGGTACACAAATCTTGTCAGTCAGTATGGTTATATTCAAGCACTATAGGTTATATCAAACACATATTTTATTCAAACACACACCCACTTTTACTCCTTGCAAAAAGAGTAGGCATCTCAAGTTTACATGATTTCCTCTCCTTTTCCATGGTTTCAAAAAATCTTGATTTCTCCGCACTTAAGTAAATTTCAACTTCGAATTATAGAGACGCACTGCGATGGGAATAAAGCAAGATTTGTTGACACTATTGAAACGGAGAGGGGCAAAGTGTAGAGAGAGGGAAAATGGCTCAATTTTGAGACGCCTATTCAATTTACAAAAAGTTTTAACGGCGTTATTGTCGCACTTAAATTATTATCTATTATTCTATCCACATGAACAGTAATCACTGATAGAGTTCAGTCAGTATACGACAGTGCAAACCGGTTCTTAAAAAAAGACCGAATGTAAAATCAACACTTAAAACATGCAAACTGTTTGGAAAAGCTGAAATCAACAGCACTTTAATTTAAAATTATTGTTAGTGGATTTTGTGTCATTACTTCAATGAAAGATACTAAACATGTAAAGTTGCTGTTTGTAAATATTCTTCCAATTAATTTTTTAGTATCATCTCACGTTGTGTAAACTAGGTCAGATCCCTCCTTTTATTTAAATTATTTACGTAGTCACGGATGCACTGAGCTCTCATTGCGAAAAACCGGAGCTCTAACCTCGGTGGTAGCTTGAAGCATACCTATTTTCTGACCATTGGGTTCCAGCCTGTCTTGGAAGTACTGGTGACTGAGGAACAATAAAGACCATATTGCTGTTGGTTTCAGAATTTTGGAGACTTAACAAACATGACCCCTTTGGTCTAACTAACTTTTGCTGGAATACTTGCCTTAGGTTAATATTGGACTAAACGCTCCCGAGTTTCCCCTTGATCCATTTAAGCCAGACTTAGTTTAATACATCATTTGATCAGCTTCCATCGAGCAAACATCGCATTGTTATTAACGTTCTTCGCAAAATTTTTTAATCTATCATATGCTCGGTCTGAAACCACGGTTTCTATATTTAAAAATAAATAAAGTTGTTATTTTGAAAACGTGCAGCAAAAAAATAAAATCTATTGCATTTTTATCTTGTTTAAAATAAGTCATTTTGCTAAGAAATCCCCTCAAAGGGTTAAATACATATTTTAATTGTGAGCAAAAAATTACCCTGATGCCTTAACTCTAATAGAATCTGTTTGGAAAAAAAAAGTATAAATATTATTTAAGTACTCACAAGGTTGCTTTATTAAATAAGATGATCTGGTCAACAACTGAGAATATTTAACAATAAATGAATACTGCATTTCAAAGTGCCTATAAGAAGAAAAATTTATCTTATATTGTTTTATTGTATTACAGTACTTTTAAATAATTTAATTAAATCTGTTCTTTGACGCGTTTTCAGAAATTGATGTTGTACAAATCTCATACACAAATAATTAAAATTAAAAGAAACATAAAACTTTTTTTTTGTGAGATTTCAGTTACATTTCTGTCTTAAAAATAAGTAGACTACTGATTCAAGCATAAAATTTCTCTAAAAACCAAAAATGTTTTAAACAGTACTGGTTATTGAATGCTTTGAAATTCATAATTGGTAAGAAATGTAATTGTTGTTCATTTTCTTCCCATCATAGGTGCTGGCTTTTCTTCAGAAGTTCTCGCACAACTACTTTAGCTCCATCTAAAGTTGAAGGATTGATAAAAATTTACGACAGAAATTGTTACTAAACTCTTTCTTCTTTTTTAAACAGATTAAATAATATTTTCATTTTTATGCTTTTGACATGCTTTTTTTCACAATTGTTTTTACCCTTTCATCATAATGATAATTTCCCATGCATATGGATAGTTAGTTGACCGTGTGCGCAGATGGTGCTGCGGATCAAAATTCGATGTAAGACTTCCGGGTTACTATTTCTGACAGATATTTACGCCGAAGCTAGAAAAAACGCGCTATTTGTGTTGGTATGTGCTGTTATTAATTTTCATAATTAATGCACGTATAATGCAATTCAAATTGCAATTTTACACTATATAACGGCTTTAGTCATTACCATTAGTAAAAAAAAAAAAAAACCCTAAATATATGATATAAAAAATTTTTTTTAAAGAAATTTTCTTTTTTAATTTGCTGTTGACTAAAAATGACTAAATATTATGACTTATGCTTAACGCAACTCTAATGACTTATAAACTCACGCACAATGCAATACGAATTGCAATTTTTCATTATATAACGGTTCAGAAAAAGTAAAAGAGAAAAAGAAAATTACATTTCGTAAAAAGTTCAGGATGTTGAACTTTATTTCGTTCGTTTATTCGTTATTTCGTCATTAGTAAAAAAAAAAAAAAAATCTTAAAAAAAAAATATATCATAAATTCGAGTTGCATTATGCGTTATAAAATTAATTATTTATTCTTATTTAAGTTATGAACAATATGCTGAAGAAAAAGTTGAATAAAAAATACGGATAAAGATAGAGTGATTTTAACATACTCCTCTTGATCGTTGTACAGAAAACAAAAGTATTTCTAAGTAAACTTCAGTAAAATTTTTCGCTTTATGTGAGTCTTTGTGAGCTTAAATAAAATACTAATTTCATAATTTTTTTTAGCATAAATACATAATTATGGTCCCGCAGTGGACTGATCGTTAAGACACGGTTCCCAGCAGATCACCGAAGTCAAGCATCACTGGCTGCGGTCAGTGTGCGGGTGGGTGACCCACTTGGATCAGTCTGCGTAGGGACCGAGGGTGTGCGGTATTGGTCCTCGTTAAACTGTTCTACCGTAAAGTGCTCGACTTCGCGCGCAGGTCGTCGGGCTACCGAAGCGGGGGTGCCATCCCGTCCGCAAAGGATCAAAATTGTGATGGCATGTCTTCGGATCATCCTCCGGGATGTTTCCCAGACCGTCGCCAATAGCCCATTGTGCAGCTCTAGTGCGACGTAAATTAACAACAACAATACATAATTATGAAACTCAGATCCTATTGCTTATCGGTACAAGTCAATTGATAAACATAAATGAATATATTTTTCGCTTTGTCAGTAAAAAAATTATACAAAATTAATCACATAACAAAACTAATCATTCAATATTTTTTCTTATAGCTATTCAATAACATTTTATTTATGTAACTGTGACAATTAACTAAAACAAATTTTAAATAGTATACTGGCAGCTTATATGATGTGAATCACTAATCCGATCCCAAACGTAATATTTTTTTTTTTTAACTCAACGAATGAACTGTATCGTTCTCTCATTAAGAATAACTGTTAGTGAACTGCTAGTTATAACTGAAAGCGTTTAAAAATATCCAATATTATTTCGGTTCTATCTTTTCAACTGTATTCGCAATTGAAGCGCAATCGTACGCCCTCTATCGGGGAGTGTAACATGGTAACGTTTCTTCGTTATAGTAACTTATTAAACTAAAAAAAATATTTTTTTTATATTCTTTATTATGCCAACCACAACAAAATAATATCTCTTTTTTTTTCTTTCTTCTTTTTTTGAAAAAAGAAGCAACATTGGGAAATAAATAAATTATATAAATTATAAATAATAATAAAATTTGGAAAAATATTTGTTAATAAACTGAAAAATAATATGTATCTTTATTCTTATTAGAGAGAATTTAATCCCTGAGAAATTGCTCTACTAAATTTAATGATCTAATATGAAGAATTTATTTTAACTTCAGATCCCATAATTTTCTGAATCAAACTATTTCAAACATTAAAGTATGTAAAGTATACTGAGACATATTATGTTATATCATTTAATTTCACAGACAAGTTATTATTTTTAATTTTGACAACGATTTTTATCGAAGAGTTTACATTTTCAATTGAAAATTCTTATTTATAAAATAAAAACGAAAAATAAAGAATGTTTATGGTGGAAAAAAAATGACACTACAAATTTCTCGTATTGACTTGACAGGAAACATTTTCATATTGATTTGATTTTTTCTTTAAATCTTAAAGTTTTTAATCAGCCGTAGTAAATCATTCTGTACAGAACTATCATCAAATACAAAAAAAACATATTTGCAAGTAAATTTTTCATTATAAAATCATAACACTTACTAGCTTCATAAATCCAGAGAATCTCAAAATAAAATGTTCTTCGTTTTAAGGAATTTATTTTCAAATAATATATACATAGATTATCACTTCATAAATTTAAGATGACATACAACACTATAAAATTTTATAATTGTAGGGTTTCGATATAGATTTTAATATGTAACAGAATGGCTGAATTCTAGTTGAAATTAATCATTAAAAATAAAAAATACTTACAAATAAAACATTTACACTTTATTAATATTTAACATAAATGACACTTTATTAATATTCAACACACCAACATTCAGCAGTAAAGGATCATTTATTAGATTTCAAATAAATCAGATGATCATTTATTGTTGTTTTCCGAATTATATATATATTCAGATGTATATACTATTCTATAAGGAAGAAGAATATTCAAGAACTGTTATTGTTCTGCACGTTCTAAAAACACATATATTCATTGGAATGAAGTAGGCAATGCACTTAAATGTCTTCACTTTAATTTAAAATGAATTGATCATAAAAATAAGAAACATTTTACCATGATAGTGACTATAGAAAGGAAAGCATTAATGAAACATTGTTCTTGAAATGATGGGCGCGTACTGTTTCAAAAAGATTTACCGATGTTCTGGATTGTTTTTTCAAGTTCTTCTGCCTTTTTCTTAGGGAAATTTAGTTTCCTATTTGCTGCTAAAAAAAAATACGTCCTATCTAAGCAATCATTCTGGTAGAACTAGGAACTAAATGAAAACTTAGCCTGAAAAGGCCTACTTTGTTATAGATAGGGTGTATTCAAGCGTTGCTATCTCAAATAAAGGGTGAATATGCACAGATAGGTAAGTAGGTATTTTATTTACGTTGAACTAGATCTGCACAATGGGCTATTGACAACGGTCTGGGAAACATCCCTGAGGGTGATCCGAAGACATGGCAACACAATCTGTGAAGCCACTTCCTTAATCCAGACTGAATTTATATCGGAAGCGGATGGAAATTTTTTCCCGATTCCTGAACCCATGGAATTTCTCGGCAACCGACCAAAGATCGTATGAGTATGTATATCTCAGGTACTTGGTGGATCTTATCGAAGTCAAGTAGCCCCTCTGGACAACAACGGCTAGTTCATTATTCTAATTATTTTTAGGTTGTAAAAAACCCTAGAAAAAGCAGGTGAATAACATATAGTGGGTAAAAAAATTTCCGAAATTTCGTTTAAAAAGTATTCACACTGTATGCGAAAATATCGCATATGCGTATTCGGAGATGCGAGCCTGATTGACGAATTTTTCTCGAGTAAAAGTTTTTCACGATTCAGGAGCTCTTTCATATTTTCGAACTCGCATACGTGATATTTTTTCGCAGGAAGATTACTTTGTGCATCTCTTTTCACTGCATTGATTTCGTTCCGGACTGAATGTTCGGTATAGGAGTTCCAGCATATTCGAAGTGGATGCAAAGCGAATGGCCCTTAAAAAGAAATTACAATTTGTTAAGCAAGCTACAAGCATCATTCCCATTTATTACCTAACATTGACTTTTCAGATTTTGGCAACATATACAGCTACTTGCTAACATCAATCCATCAATTTATTGATGTGTTTAGCTAAGTTTTCTGTTGTTGTTACGTTTTAAACAGTTTTAACCTGTAAAATGGAGAATAAAAAATCATTTGGACTTGTTATTTCGAAAAAAGCCCAAACTCTTCGCCCCAAAAGTGGAGGAATTTTCGGCTCTGATAGTGATGATGACGTTACAACTTCAAAGAAAAGGTCTTCAAAGATACCACAATCGAAACCTATTTCATCCAAAAAAATTATTTCAAAGGAAGCAATAGATCCGAGTATCTATGAATACGATAGTATTTACGATGATATGAAAGCTGAAAAAGCAGCCGAAGTTGCACCTAAGGTACAAAAGTCCTCCCGCTATATTGATCATTTGTTAAAAGCTGCAGATAAAAGAAAGAAAGAATACGAACGACGTGTCGAGAAGAAGGTACAAGTAGAAAGAGAAAAAGAAGGCGACCAATTTAAAGATAAAGAAATGTTTNGTGATTTTTTTCCCATGAAGACTACTTTGATATGTGCGCCTCTTTCCACTGCATTGATTTCGTTCCGGACTGAATGTTCAGTTAAAGGGTGCCAGGATATTCAAAGCGGATGCAAGGAGAATGGCACTTAAAAAGAAATTACAATTCATCAAGCAAGCTACAAACATAATTCACATTTATTATCTAACAATTGATTTTTTTCATTTTGGCAACATATATTCTACTTACTGGCATCAATCTATCAATTTATTGTTATGTTTAGCTAAGTTTGTTTCGTTACGCTTTAAACAGTTTTAACCTGTAAAATGGAGAGTAAAAAATCATTTGGACTTGTTATTCCGAAAAAAGCTCAAACTCTTCGCCCCAAAAGTGGAGGAATCTTCGGCTCTGATAGTGATGATGACGTTACAACTTCAAAGAAAAAGTCTTCAAAGATACCACAATCGAAACCTATTTCATCCAAAAAAATTATTTCAAAGGAAGCAATAGATCCGAGCATCTATGAATACGATAGTATTTACGATGATATGAAAGCTGAAAAAGCAGCCGAAGTTGCACCTAAGGTACAAAAGTCCTCCCGCTATATTGATCATTTGTTAAAAGCTGCAGATAAAAGAAAGAAAGAATACGAACGACGTGTCGAGAAGAAGGTACAAGTAGAAAGAGAAAAAGAAGGCGACCAATTTAAAGATAAAGAAATGTTTGTTACGGCAGCATACAAAAAGAAAGTTCAGGAAAGAGAAGAGGAAGAAGAGAGAGAACGTCGTGAAAATATGTTGAATGACATGATGGACGTGACCAAACAGAAAGATCTGAGTGGATTTTATCGGCATTTTCTGAAACAAACCGTAGGAGAAGAAAAAATACCTGTTTTTGGTGAACGGACTGCTATTAAAGAAGAGCCTATAAGCGATTCAGAAAGGGAACTGGTATGTTTCTAACCTTTTTACTTAAAAAAAAAACAATGAACTAGTCGAAAGAATTTAAATAATAGTAAATATTTACTGTGTCAATCCATTAAATTACTTGCTGATATTGCTGATTTTTAATGCTGATACAAATCATGTTCTAGCTAACATTAATAGTAAATATATAGCTGGTTAATATTATGCATGACTGCATGCAATGTTCTACTTTGCTCAGATATTGTGATAGTTGTGTTATTTGCAATAGGGAAGAATAAGTCTAAGATCTTTAATTTGTAAGTAATAGGTAGTTGCAAGTTTATTATTTCATTTTTAAAAAAAATTAAATGATCAATAAGATATAGAGAAAAAAGAGCCTTTAGGCTTCATGAAGAAGTAATTGCTTATTTTATTGAATTGTTGTGTTTAATTTATGTAATTTTTAAGTGGTGCAGTAAGAGAATCTTAAAACTAAATTAAGTCATTTATATTTTTATCACTTACATAATTACAATGATGCCCATCATTTGGTATAAATTATTAGGGTAATAACAAATGTTCGGCAATCGGCTCTTTTCCCCAGATATTCAATTGGCTGAATTGAATATTTTACCAAATAGTCAGCGAATTATTATTTGGAAAAAAATTTTTTGATAAAAATTTTTTTAGGGAAATTTTAATAGATTTTATAAAGAGTAATCTAAAAACGTATTATTTACTATTCTTTAGAAATAGTTTTGACCCATGTTTGTTACTTATTAGTTTATGTTCTGAGAATTGGAACTAGATTACTTTATACTGAAATGTACATTTTTTAATGCTGATTTTTTAAAAATTATATTCAGCCAAGTCAATTTTATCGTTTTTTCAACACTCTATATTTTAAAAAATGATTATTGTTTTATTTGACTTTCTGTTTAAATTAGAGTGTAACGTGTTAAAATTAGAGTGTGACATGTTTTTCTTCTTATATTTCAAAACTAAGGAAAAAAAATTTTTCTTTATCTTTTGAATTTTTGTTAACTTTTTTATTAACGTTTTTAATCCGACAGCAATTTTTTAAAGAGCGTTTCTAATTAATGTTATTCTTTTAAAGTCACTTTTTTCTAAAAGTATGGCAATGTGAAAAAGTTAAATTAAGATTTTTAGCGTTGAACATTTACAAATTAAGAAAAATTTTTGTTTTGATTTCTATCTAGCCTTTTTTTTTTTTCAAAAAACTTATTTTCATAGACGCTCTTATTATGACACGACCCTTTAGAGAGTCTCCATTAGACTTTAATCTTCACTTTTTTCTTGAAAATACAGTAATTGGAAAAAATTAATGTTTAGCTTTAAATTTTCTTTTAAAAATTAAGATTGATTATTATATTTTCTGTTTAGCTTTTCTATAAATTCTTTGTTTTTTTATAGACATTTTTATGACAGCGCTGCATTTTTAAAAGTGTTTCTGATGGACATTATCCCGGTTAATGTTTTATAGATAATTTTTTCAGGAAAATATTATTTTTAACATTAGTTTTGTTTTAAGAATTAAGAGATTTTTTTTTTTGATTTTTTTTTTCTAACATTTTAGCTTGATTTTTTTTTTTTAAATAGGTATTTTAGTTTTTAACCCATCATCCCTTACCAACAATACGAGCTAAGTGTTGATTATATTTCTATAATGATTAAACTTATATCTATATAAAAAATAATATTGATTAATGATTTTTTTATTTTAAAAAATGTTGCTATTCAGCTGTTGAATATTTGGTATTTAGCCGGTTTTATTGGCCGAATAAAGAATATTCGACCAACTCACCAATGGTTACATCCCTATTAATTATATCAGTACCTACCTAAAGGTTTTGATTGGAATAAATAACTGAGTCATCTGACGGAATATTCACTTGCATAAAATTTGAGATACTGCTCATTTTTACTATTTCGCATGATATTTAGAGTGTAAATAAACAGTAACATTTATTACTGAAAATTTTCGTAAATTTATGAAGTTTAATTTTTAAAAGACACTTTTAATTGAAAAAAATTATTTAAACTTAGGACAGTATAACTTCATTTACTAATCAGTGATCACAACACTTCTCACTTATTGGCAAATTTAGATAATATAGACACAGATACGCCATACGCAGACACATTTATGGAGATTACTTAAATTTTATGAATACTTTTTAAATCTATTTATTTTCTTAAAAAACACATGTGTATATATAGATAATGCTTTTGTTCAAGAAAATATTTTTTGAGGAGTTCTAAGAAAAATAATTGTTTTCCTGCTCAGATGATTAAACAAATATTGTAAATATTGTTGATGTTTATCTATCTAATATTGTTTTTCAGGCATGTTAGAAATAATTAAAAATGCTTAATGTTTTGGATTTAAAAAAAATTTTTTTTTTTTAAACAAAATTAAAGTCTTTTTAGTGATGATTTTATGTTAATGCTAGTAAAAAGAGAAAAAAAAGCATCTAAACTAAGCATCAAATAATAGTATTTAAGAAGTTTAGACACAGGGACAAAGTAAACTAGTAATTATTAATTTTGTTGTAAGGTTACAACCCAAACCCATCCCCTAGTTGGCAGAAACAACCAGGCTCTTTATTTCTTTATCATTCAATGCATAGAATGATATTTTTTGTTCAATGGAATTCTTTTAAAAAAATTTCTTTCAAATAATAGTTATTTTATCTTAGTTCATCCAAGTCCAAATTTTGCTACCATAAGTTACTATAGGCTTGATAACTTTAGTTGTAATTAGTCATTCTGACTTAAAAGCGGAGATGCAAACATTTACAATTTATCCATAATTACTACAATTTTGTCATCAAGCTGGTGGTCTTACAGTTATGTTATAAAAATTACAAGTTATGTTATGAAATTTTCAAAATAATCTTTTTAAAATAAGATTTTGTTTTCTTAACTACAGAGAGTTAAGAATTTGTTTTTGTTTAGTGTTCTACTTTTAACGATTTTAAAAGCAATAACTGAAAATATGTTTTAATAGTAAAAAATTCAAAGAGATAAAAAAAAATAAAAGCACGTAGGACTAGTTTAAATTTAACCAAAAAGTACAAGGTTGATTCTAAATAATCAATTTAATTCTATAATGAAGTATAAAATTTCAGAAATTTTTAATTTCTTATGTTTGTGTAAGTGATATTTTTTCAATTTAATAGTTAATTTCATGCATAATTTTAGTAATATTATATACCAATGGCGAATTAAGTTGCATATTTAATTTAAAACTTAAAATTTTGCTAATTTGAAAAGCATAAACCTTAACTGGATATTTCTGTGTTGTTGCTATCTAATTATTGATGGCTTTTTTCTTCTTTTTTTTTGTAAAATTGGCACCTGTAAAAAAGTTTTAGTTAAAAGAATTGTCTTTTGTTTATTCAAATTACATTTTTGTATATATGATTATAAATATTTATCTAAGTGATCAAAGATCAAAACCTTTTTTTTTGTTTTTTTACACATAAGACTTTTCAACCACCTAGAATCAACCAAAATTTTCTATAAAAACTTAAGATTCCATGGCTTTGATTATGCCAGACATGAGACTAAACAATTTCCTTGAAAACCAATGAAAAGTTTTGGCATAGAGAATTTGTCATCGTGACTCAAAAAGTTCAATTTTAGTTCTTTTGATTCAAATATCCGATGGTTGTAAATCTGATAACTAAAGAAATTTTAATGTTTAATCTCTAAATGATTTCTCTCATGGAAGTTTAATAACAATAAGCAACTGATTCCATAATTCTGTGAGTTTACAGATTTGCAAACACTGTTATCATAAGTACTTGCTTCCCAAAATGAATTTTATAATCAATACCTGAAATCTATATATTAATTTTTAAAAAATATGATTTTATCTAAAAGAAATAATTTTTTATTTACACTCTGCTTATAATTAACACGAATGAGATAAAGTAACTTAATTTCTTACTTTATGATCCCAAATTAAATAATCGCAATGGAAGCAATTTTAGCCTCATAACTTTATCTTACAATATACTAAACATTTTTGAAACATTGGCTCTTTCGGCTGTGCAAGGTGGTTAAAAATATTCCTGAGAAAATTAAATAATTAAAAGGATAAATTAGTTATAAAATCTTTAAAAAAGTTTACGATAAAAATTTAATAAAATTCCTTTTATGACAATTTTAGGCAGGTTCATCTTCTAAAGATAATGTGGCAATGAAATCAGAAGAGAATTATGATGATAAAGACTTGACTGATGATGATTCCTCTTCAAGTGAGAATTCTGACCAGAAAGGTGGCAACAGTTATGAAAAGTCAATGCGGGAATATCGAAAGAAGCCCACTAAATCCCAGTTTGTAAAAGATAAAAAGTCTTCTCATGTTGAAAACTCTAAAGATTTATCTAGCAGTGAGTCAGAACAGGAACATAATGATACATCTAAGACAAGTGTAAATGATAAACGGAAACGTAGAAGTTTGTCCAGATCTGATGATGATGTATCAAATGATTCATCAAAAGAATCTAAAATACAGAAAAAATTTGTTAGTGTGAACTCTAAGAGAAATGCAACAGAAGACCAAGAAACTGGCAACAAACAAAAACGAGTTAGGTTAGATTCAGATTCATCTGAGGTGTCCGAATCTTTGGACTCTGAGCTAATCAGTGATAAACACATAACTTCATCCGTATCAACAAATGGATTGGAAAAAGATCATGATGATAAAGAGACTGGTGCATGTAAAAAATCAAGAAACATATTTGAAAAGCGAACAGTTGGTGATGTATTTGCAGCTGCACAAGTCAGATACTTTCAGAGGCTTGCAGCTCGTTCTGGGTGATTCATATAAATGTTATTTCATGAAAAGTGATCAAGGACAGAAAATTTGGTTATCAAAACAAAATAAATATTGTAAATGTATTTTAGAAAAGCACCTAAAAAATAATAAATTTCTTTATATCCATGGATTGTGGTTTAGCAGCATTTTTAATTTAAATTTTTGACAAAAACAGAAAATGACAATTGTTCACAATATGTTGTAAGTGGGATTGATATTTGTTCCTGAAGAAAACTTTTTTTCTTCCGAGAACACTGAAAGAATTTGGACAGAATGGAAGAAACTAAAAATTACCAATACAATTGTTTTACAATAAGTATCAAGTACAGCTTAAATTTAATATTTTACCAGAAAGTTAAAAAAAAATTTCATCTACTTTTTTAAGAAAAAAAAGTAGTTTTCCATTATTTATTTTAGTTTTATCCACAATTTTAAAAATTATGTATCATATTAGTCAAGAGTCGGTTAGAGTATCCATGTTTAACAGCATTTGATTCTAAAAATTCGTATTTGCTATGCAATTGAGAATTCAATAAGTGATTTGCAATACATAGTGTACATGTAATTTGTTAATTTAGTAGTAAAAAATTTTATTGTGATAGTATTTTAAAAATTATTTTTATAATTATAAAATTAGGTTTTATTACACTCATGTATGTAAAATTTTACAGAATTACAGATATATTAACTAATAATTCATTAAACTATTCATTCTTCTTTTCAATTGATGCTTTTTAGTTTTCACTTATTCAAAAATGATACATTAAATAGTTAGAAATAAATATTATTATTTGAACTGAATTGCAATCATGAACTCTGTGTGTGTGTTTAAATATGAATGGAAACTCTTTTCAAAAAAGTTTCCATTTTTTCCCACTTGGTTTGGAAGAAACCTATTTCTGATGGTTCCTATTTCCCCTGAAATAGGTTTCTGCCAATCCAAGTAAGTTACTGGCTGAATGATGGCCGTAGTTCTCATTGGCTGTGTGATTGTTTTGCTGAGAGTGTGAAAAATTTAGCTCTTTACTGCTAATGTTTGTTTTTTTTTTTAAATTTATATTATTAGAGACATATTTGGTTGTAAGTTTACTGATGTATTTATATTTAACAATACATATATATATTTAACAATGTATAACTTATAATATATTTAACAATGCAATGAATTAAAAGGTCTTAATATTATTTATAAATAGTATTTTTATTAATCAACCTTCAATTTAACAAATAATGATAAATTAAGCAATGTTGTTCTAGATAATTATGATGCAATATTCCTAATATATTTTTGCTTGCACATTCTTATCATGGTTTATTTCTATCTTTTGTGAAAGTATTAGAACATGTACGTCAAAAGCATTTTTTTGGGGATGGGGTGGACAATGTTAAGATAAGTGATAAATCATTTAAATAATAGTTATTTAAATTTCATGCTTAAAAAATTTTCTTTATTTGTCATATTGTATTATAGTTGTATATAAATTTCGCTTGGTTTATTTTAAAGATTTTTCACTATTAAAGATATTCTCTCTCCTCAGCTATCCATGAAAAAGATATCTGGTATTTTAAAAATTAAAATGATATACAATCGTAAAATTTGCTTTAGTTTTTACTTTTTACATCCTGTAATGCTGTAAAAATGTTGAAAAAAGTAAAAATGTTTTTAAAAGTTAAAATCAGGTTTTTTGAAAACTTATTCTATAATTTGGTAGAGTTTATTACTTATAACAGAACATTGAGTTTAGCCGGACTCAAAGTTGTCCTTAAACTCCTTTAAAAAATTTAAATAAAAGAAAGTGTCCTTAATTATTGAAAATTTCAGTAAATGTCCTGAAATTTTTGTATTTTACAAATTTTTGTTGAAGTTAACAGCAAGAATAAATATTTATCTAAAAAGGAATTGGAGAAATTTCAAATTCAGAAATTTTGTTACATGTCTTGAAGCAAAATATATAACGAAATGAACACTAAAGTCTTCATAGCATGTCAAGTATGATATTAGTTTACTTCTTTTGTTAGAGATTTGATAGTATGGAACATTCCATGTGAGAGAAATGCATAAGAAGCTCTCTTATTTTCTCTCCATCACTATATCATACTATACTGATTTTCACGAGATAATCCTAATATTTTGCTACTACTTAATAATTTTCCATATTTATACTATTTTTCTCCACTTTATATAAAGAAATTTTTGCATAACTTTTATTCTAAGAAAAAATATCTGAGTTTTCTTAAAAATGTTTTTTTTTTTTTTTTTTTTTTTTTTTTTTTTTTTTTTTTTTTTTTTTTTTTTTTTTTNGCTACTCAAGATCTTTTTTTTGTATATCTGCGAATCCATGTTGGTATCCTAGAAATTGCTCCCATTAGAGAACCAGCATCCTTAAATTTGGAGGCAATTTAGTCCTTAATTTTTATATTCTGGACTTTTAGACCTGGTTTAGTGATTAAATGTTTTGTGATTGACTATCACACTATTAACTATGAGAGGCTACTCAAAATACTTTTAATGAATTATTTTCAAGATGTTGCAATAAAAGGGCTCCTTTTACTGGGATCTTTTTATTTCTTTTTTATTCAAAAAATGAAATACAAGATTTTAGGTCAAGCAATAATTTTATAATTCGAGCAACATGGTTTTATATGCATATTTTTATTAATTTTTTTGGCTTACCTGCAAGATTTAAATGAATATATTGTTCCAGAGTATGTATTTGGGATTTTTTTTCCTTGAAGCAAAAATACTGATGTATTTTAACTCATTTTTAACTTCTTCATATCTATCTTTTAGCCATAGGATCTCTTTTTTGGCAAATCTAGTCAAGGACACGTTTATAAATATATGCCCTCTAACAGTTGAGATTTTTGCAAATTAGTCTCTCTAGCAATTTTCTGAATCTTTTTTTAAAAGATAAATAAATAAGATTATAAAACTTTTATCAGAACTTGAGAATATGATCATTTATCTATTTGATTTTTTATATATCTGATTAAATTCTTTATGTGTAGTGCTGATCAATTTTATTACTAATTTTGTACTAAATATTAATACATACTTTTGCTAGCAAAAATAATTTTTGAAACTACGGAAATTCCATGTTGTTGGAAGGTATGCAACTATCTGAAAACAATATGTTGGTTGTGTAGTCAGTTTTTTATTATTATTAGATTTCATTGAAAAAAACTCAAGGGTTTCACCAAGTGTCCAATTCTCTTTTGCCAGGATTTCACTCTAAGCTTGCTATAACTTTTTTTTAAACAAAATTTTCACTTGATTAGTATATGTAGAGAGAGGGAACAAAATGTACAGTTTTTTTTAAAGCCCTCATTATTTAAAACAATTGTGAAAAAAATTGAAAAAAAATTTATTATTTTAATACGTTGAATGTGGTTACTGGTGACTAGCGAAGCCAAGGTTATTAGAAACGCATAATTCGAGTAAATTCTTAATACTTTTAATTTTTTTTTATATTATTATTGTTACTAAAATGGTTTGAAGAAATTAATATAATATAGTACACACAAAAATCATTTTGGCCAGTCGGGCAAGCCATGTAAAATTAGTGTGGCATTTAACGAGTTAATAATAAAAAAAATTATGAACAAGTTATGATGGTGCAAAACTAATATTACAAAACAAAGGTTTAATTTTGAAATAAACTATGGTGTTTAGTAACAAGTCAACAAACAAACACATGTAAAAGAAAATAATTTATTTGATATTATGTACATAATTTTGTTAGGAATATAAAATATGTCATTGTAAAACACAAATTTTGCTGCGAAGTTTTGATTTGGAAGCTTGGCTGCTTCCTCTTCTAGACCAGGCACTTTTTTTAGATACAGGTCTCTCCTCATAATCTGCATCTAAAAACTAAAAGAAAATTTATTAAATCATTTTAAAATGTACTTTCGGTATTTAGATTTAAAAGGCAAGTCCCTTTTCTATTAGTTACATGAAGGACTCAAAGTTGTCCTTAAAAAGAAGAAAGTTTCCCTAAATATCCTTAATTATTAAGCATTTCAATAAATGTCCTGAAATTTTTGTGATTTTTCAAATTTTCATTTAAGTTAACAGGAAGAATAAATATTTATCTAAAAAACAATTGAAGAAATTTTAAATTCAAGAATCATGTTATGCCATGAAACAAAGTACAGTAGGGACCATCGATATTCCGGAACGATCGGGACTATCAATATTCCGGATAACTGATTTTTCCGGTTTTCTGAATCGCAACAAAAAGCCGTTTTTTTATAGTTAAACCCAACGGAAAAAAAATTTTAAAATAATCTTAAAAAGAAGAAAAAACAATGAAGTAATACATTAATGATTATTTCCAAAATGATGGTAAGGTAAACATCTTTCAAAAAAGAACGAAAAATCCTAAAATCTTATGAGGAAAAAAAAAATTCTTTTGTTAAAAAATGGCGGGGAAACTAATCGCATTTCGTTCCGGTTTTTTGGTTTTCCGGTTTTCTGATTTCCGGATAACGGGGTCTGTACTGTAACTTACAAAATAAACGACAAAGTCTTCATTGCGCGTCTACAATATTAATCTACTTCCAGTGTTAGAGATAATTATCCTTGATTTGATGGCAAAAAAAGCATTCGATGTGGGAGAAATATATAAAAAGCATTTCTCTTTCTACTCCCCCTTATCACTATATCATACTCTACTGTTTTACACAAGAGAATCTTCATATTTTGCTACAACTTAACCATTTTATTATTTTCTCCAATTGTACAAATTTCTCCCATTCAAGAATCAGTATCCTTGAATTGCCCTTAAGTTTGGAGGCAATTTCATCCTTAATTTTTATATTCTGGACTTCCAGCCCTGTTTATGTTACTTTTAATTGCTTGTTTTTAAAAATTATAATAAAAATAATAATTTAAAAGCATGTGCATTTTCAAAAACAATTGTGGGTCCTGTTTCAGTGGGGGTGACGGTAAGAATCTTGAACAGACCTGGGAGGAGTGCACAATATATTGTCAGTTGAATAAGAAAGAATTCTTAAATTTATTATTTAAAAGGTAAAGGGCACGTCAGAAGCATTTAAAATTGTATGGTAAAATATAAACAGAAATGTCATACATGTCTAGGAGTGCTGATGTGTGACGAACGCATTATGTGTGCCTTTGAACCGCAACTTACTTTTTTTTATAATCTAAAATGTCTTAATTCCATTTAATTGTATGTTTTCTATTAATTATTGTCAAAAATTGCATTCAAATAGGATCATAAATAGCTGTTTTATCGCAATTTAATGATTTGGATTGTAACTTGACAAGCTTGCCAAATCTTTAAATGGTTTTGGAAGAGCCAGGTACATTGTATTTGAATGGATTCTGAACCACTAAGACACAATTAGAGAAAGTGCAGTCCAATGACTGCATGTCATTATTGATTTAATGAGATCATTTTACATCGTCAATTATGTTCTAAATAATAATCAATTTGAAGTAGGTTATAAATATTGAAAAGATATAGATTAAAGCCTGATTATAGTTTGAAAAGTTTTCTAGGAAAAACATGACAAAATCTAAACAGTGCAACAAAATATTTCCAGTAAAGATCACTACTTACTTCTTCTTCCTGAAAACAAGAGTTTTTATTTGGCATATCTTTATATCTTTTTAATTCTTCCTTTAGTTTTACAATTTCATTTTCTAGTTCCTTTTCTCGAACCTACAAAGAAATATAAACGTAACATTTTATTGAGGCATATAATCATAACAAACTTTAAAAAGGAATATTTTTTATATTGATAATATTTTGTAAAATGTATGAAACTTTTTCTATATTGCAGCTTTATTTAGCAGATATATAGCATGCCTTATGTCCTATAATCACTTTTAAATGACAACAATTATAATCATCAAAGCATAGTTAAATAACAAAATAAAAGTAGGTAATAAAATCATTTACAATGGCACTCAGTTGTAAAATTTGCTGTTGAATCTTATAAACGAATCAATAAAAGAAAATAATAGAGTTGTTCTATATGAAGTGACATTTTCATTATAGTTGGAGTAAAAGAATTCTTAAGCGAAAAAGTAGAATCATAATAAAATAATTAGGTAGTTTATGGAAAATGCAATAGAATATAAAATGTTTTCTGTGGAATCTAGTATGATAATTATTTTTCTTATTGAAACAAAAATTTCTTAAGAACATGAAAAATGAGAAGGGAATTCTAATTCACATCTGTCAGGTGGAAATTCTAAGAATTAGCCTTCTATCAAAATTATTTATATAATTTATGACATTTTTTTTCTAAATTGGTTTTAGTAACGACAATGCTATANCATTTAATTGTATGTTTTCTATTAATTATTGTCAAAAATTGCATTAAAATAGGATCATAAATAACTGTTTTATCGCAATTAAATTATTTGGATTGAAGCTTGCCAAATCCTTAAATGGTTTTGGAAGAGCCAGGTACATTGCATTAGAATGGATTCTGGACCACTAAGACACAATTAGTGAAAGTGCAGTCCAATGACTGGATGGCATTGTTGATTTAATGAGATCATTTTACATCGTTAATTCTGTTTTAAATAATAATAAATTAGCAGGTTATAAATATTGTAAAGATAAAGACTAAAGCCTGATTATAGTTTGAAAAGTCTTCTAGAAAAAAATGATAAAATCTAAACAGTGCAACAAAATATTTCCAGTAAAGATCACTACTTACTTCTTCTTCCTGAAAACGAGAGTTTTTATTTGGCATATCTTTATATTTTTTTAATTCTTCCTTTAGTTTTACAATCTCATTTTCTAGTTCCTTTTCTCGAACCTATAAAGAAGTATAAACGTAACTTTTTATTGAGGCATATAATCATAATAAACTTTAAAAAGGAATATTTTTTATATTGATAATATTCTGTAAAATGTATGAAACTTTTTCTATATTGCAGCTTTATTTAGCAGATATATAGCATGCCTTATGTCCTATAATCACTTTTAAATGACAACAATTATAATCATCAAAGCATAGTTAAATAACAAAATAAATGTAGGTAATAAAATCATTTACAATGGCCCTCAATTGTAAAATTTGGTGTTGAATCTTATAAATGAATCAATAAAAGAAAATCATTGAGTTGTTCCGTATGAAGTGACATTTTTATTATAGTTGAAGTAAAGAATTCTTAAGCGAAAAAGGAGAATCATAATAAAATAATTAGGTAGTTCATGGAAAATGCAATAAAATATAAAATGTTTTCTGTGGAATCTAGTATGATAATTCTTTTTCTTATTAAAACAAAAATGTCTTAATAACATGGAAAATGAGAAGGGAATTCTAATTCACATCTGTCAGTTGGAAATTCTAAGAAGTAGCATTCTATCAAAATTATTTATATAATTTAGGAAATTTTTTTTCTCTGAATTGGTTTTAGTCACGACCATGCTACAACTTACTTTTATAAATAAAATAATAAATTACTTATTGATGTAACTGAACAATTATTACACAGTTTACCTTGATGTAGACTTATACCCATCGATAATTAGTTAGACAATATAAATGTTTAAAAAAAGTATCTTATCAGTTAAACAAATTATTAAGCATGCTATTTGAAATTAATATCTTTTTGAAAAATGAATAAGTTTGGGTATACAAATTTGGAAAAAGTTGCATCAAGTATCAGAAACCACAGCAATGTAAACGAGTCATAAAATATATGTAAAGTCTACCCTTAAAGTAATACCATTGATTCCAACCAACACTATTTAATTAAGTGGGTTATTCGAGTAAAAGGGGTGTGCATTAATCATTTTAAATGCTTAATTTATGCAAAATTTTACTTTTTAATGATATCCAATGCATAGTATAGTGTTTTGATTTATAAATAAACCCAATTTTGTAATCAATAAACAATTAAAATTTAGATTGTCTGTATTAGTATTATGAAATATTAATGTTATTTAATAAAAATAAATTTAGGCTAATGAAAAAAACAATACAGATACTATGATATTATCTTGTTCCTTTCGAAAAATTCTGTACTTGAAGACAATTTGTATACCCTTTTATTTTGTCAATTTATCAAAATTCGATTTGCTGTTTCTTTTTTTATTATAGCTTTAATGACTTGCGTATTCCTTTCGAATACTTTAAGATTTTTTTTTTTCATCCTCAAGACTTTAGAAATTTTAAACTAATTTGCTATTTCAGTTCGGGATTTTAAAAATTTATTTCTTCCAAAACTTCTATTTTCTCTCTCAATTATTTCAAACCGTTCCTTTTTACGCTCATTTTGTATTCACAGGAGTAAGCTATGATTATTGTACTTTAGAGAAAGACACACTGTATATTAGTTTGTTAGGTTTTTGAGACTTGTTCTTATCAAAGCTAATAGCACACCAGGAGGGGACCATAAGTTTTCAATGTGAAACAAATCACTCTGTACCTTTTCACATTCTAAATGATGTGTAAGTGAAGTAAGTAAAGAGGGATAAAACACCCTTTATTCATTCCAATGTATAATTGCCAGTAAGAGCTATACTCCTAACACCTGTTAAGAGCACCAAATGATCAGGAAGTCCCTATTTCATACCTGTCAAGTCTCCTGTTTTTTAACGAAGACTCCTATATTTTAAGACTATCTCCGATTTATCCGTATATTCTCAAATTTCTCCATATTTTTTGAAGAAATTTAAAATGAAAAATTTGGAGATAAATTATCTACTGACGGCAAAAATGCTTCTTATGGATTCTTATTATTCCAACAGATGGTGCTATTGCCAGTACTGCAGTATATTGAGTGTTAATAGTTCAAGTAATGATAAACAATGATTTAAAAAGATCTTCTTTAGGTTAAGATTTATTTACATGTTTTTTACTTCGCTAAATGTAAGTGCTTATTTTATTTCTAATTTTGAATTTCTCTTTTTGACTTACATGATTATCCATAATTTATCAAAAATTTATTCATAGCCTAAAAAATGTTGCTAGTAAAATCTCCATTATTTTATTTCTTCAATGTTAGCAGGTATGCTATTTAAGTGAACACCTATTGTATTCTTATCTTCTTAACTGAAAAACAGAAATTCCATTTTAGCTGGTGAAACATTTCTTAAAAATAAGCAGATTTTTTCATTTCAGTACTATTTCTTTATGCAATTAAGGAAGGACTAGAAACAACAAATATCCATTCAAACTAGGAAATTTAACATTAGTTTCGTATAAAATTATTTGGTGTCATTAATTTGATTCGTATGAGCAGGTTATTCGATTATCTGATCTGCGATTAAGTGGGGACCACTGTATACAATTTAATTTAATATTATGTGGGAAGTCATGTAATTTGCGTTTAAAAAATAAACAAATATGTATTTTTATTTATTTTAGTCTAAAATTACAAAAAAAAAAAAAAAATTCTTTTTAGCCATATTGTGAAAATGAAAGTCTTTATGATAATTATTAGTATTTAAAGAGGGGAAAATGGTACATGATCATTTGAATTTCTCGACAATTTTTTTAAAAGAGTTATACATTTTTTAGCAAACTGAATACATCAAATGAAACAATGTATAAAGAATGAACTTTTGAATAGTTAGTTTAATTTGATAAGTAGTTTGATTCTTAAATAAAATTACAAGTTCATAATTGTTATCTGAAACCATTTTAATAAACTTACATTATGAACAGAGTTGTTATTCCTGTTGACATCTTTCTGAAACTGAGACAGTCCATTGTTTTTGTTTTCATCGGAAATTATTCTATTTGGGTGAGATGAAACAGGCCTAGAAATAATTTGTCGATTTTATTATTAATATTACAGAAATGGATAATTAGAGAGAAGATTTGATTAATTAAATAATGTTAAAAATCATACAAATATATTTGCATACAATCAGACTGATAGAATATTCATTAACAAATGGAATATTTAACAAATATTATACTTTAACAAATATTATCTATTGGTATTATTGTGGAGTTTTTTGTTATCCAAGCAACAATAAAAAATAGTTATAACAAATAGATTGTAAATACATTAAAAAGCAATTTTAAGATGTGGAAATGAATCAAGGATAAGTTTTCTAATTGTTCATTTAATATTTTAAGAAATTGTTTATTATAAATACCTGGTATACAAAAATCGAGCCTTAACCTGCACAACCCCCACGCTGACCCACAGCAGGTTGCTGCTGGAATACTTTACTTTCATACAAAAAGCACTAACAAAATATGTATAATTGTTTTTTTTCTTAAACTAATCAGTTTAATAGTATTATATAATAAATTGTGATTTCTTTTCTTTTGATATATTTTCTAGATAAAATTTTTGAATCATGTAAAAAAAAAAAATTTTAAAATTACATTTATTTATATTTTGATTGGTAATATATAAGAAATACATAAAATTAGCATGATACAAGAAATAAAAAAAAACTCATCCTTATACCAAAACAGTGCACCACAAGTGAACAATTCTTTTACTAAACAGGTTTTACTGAAGAAATGTAAACTATGCTTCATTTCGATTAGGAAACCAGAATATTTATTCTGCAAAATATTCATAATTAGCTACAATGTTTGCTAACAAAAAGTGATGCAAAGTGAGAAAAATTATTTAACAATGTTTTTAAAATAATCAAATGCAGCAACAATGTGGCCCATTCTCAGTAGGAATGGTGCAGCAAAGAATATTATTTAATAATTTCTCAAGTCAGTGCCATTTGCACCTCATTTTCTAAATGAACCACAGTAAACCATACATTTCTATCTCTGTTCAAGTTGCTTTTATTGATTTTTAAAATCAGCGGTCATTTCCTCGACACCCAGTTTGATAGAGTTAAGAGGATGCTATATTCAAAGAGAAAACAAACCCTTCATGGCAAGTTCTCTTCCACCCACCCAAGTAATTTAAAATATAGAAAAACTGATTTTAGGTAAACCATGAAATTTCAAATACAGAAAAACTGTTTTCAAACTCCCTTTTTTCAAAATTTTAAATTCTAAAAAACCAATGGGGGCTAAACTGAATTCGCCATGAAAAGTTTCTCCTGCGGTATGAAATCCAATTAAAATATGGAAAGCTAACTTAGAATCGTCGTTAAATCACACAAAAAATATTAACAAAGAACCAGTGATGATGGCCTATTTTGTTTTAATTATAAATTTAATTATTGTAATATTTTTAATGCATAATATTGTTATAATATAAATAAATATATGTAAGAAGCATAGAAATTGATTATCAAATGTCCCTTTCTAAGACTGAAAGAAAATGTATAAACTTAGAAATTAAACTTACTGCACAGTGATGCTTTCTGAATGTTGAGAATGGGATTTGTGTCCCTGCTTTGTCTCCCCAACTGCATGCCTATGTGACTCTTAAATAGAAGGGAGAAGAAGAAAAAAAACTAAAATTAGCTACACCTCCAGCACAATTAATGCAATATGCTTTGTCAAGACATACAAATGGATGGTAACTAATGCTTCTGTTGTTTTACCATATTAATCAAAGCCACAGTGGCTATCTGATCTATGGTGTTTTCTAATTTCTTGGAGCAACAATGAGCCAGGGAGTATATAGTGATGGAATGTACTATTTTTAAAACCACTAGTTTAAATTTTAAAAAAAATGCTGAGATAATAAAAAACAAAAACTCATACAAATATTTCTTCAAAGCAATAAGTATTAAGCGTGTAAGAATTTAGCACTTTAAATATATTTGTAATGTGACTATTAAAAAAAATTGGCAATGAAACATTCTTTTTTTTGTAACTGACATTTGGTAGCTGACCAAATTTTGAGTTTACGCCTACCGATGTTCAACTCTTTAGTCTTATAATTTTGAACCCAATGCAAAAGACAAGCTCCTGGATCAAGTACTGGGAGAAATTTACCTTCGCGGAGGACTTTTTGATGAAATAACCTGCATTTGTGTTACATGTAGAGGGAAACCACGAAAATGTTTCATGGTTAGCTTGATGGCAAGGGAACTCTAACCCATGATTCATTTACCACTGAGTATATTTTACTTCATCACTGTAGTTGCTGTGAGCCGGATTCAAACATGTATGAGAATTCTATCCCCTGAGCCATCATGGCTCATGTACCATAGTTTTTTTTAAATATTTTATAACCGTCGTTGAACAGCTGACCCCGTTTTATGGGTTTATGACTACTAATGTTCAACTCCGTAACCTTGTAATTTCGAACCCAATCCAGAAGAAAAGGGAATTCCTGGACTGAGTATTGGGAGAAATTTGCCTTCGTGGAGGACTTCTTGACGGTGCTAACCCGTATTTGCGTTACATGGAGAGGAAGACCACGAGAACTTCCCACGGTTAGCATGATGGCAAGGAGACTCTAACCCATGATCCGTCTACCACTGAGGATATTTTGCGTCAGCACTGTGGTCGGTGCAAGCCGGATGCGGAATTCGTATGGACTTGGATTCGAACCCGGTTCGCCTCATTGGAAGGCGAACGCTCTATCCCCTGAGCCATCGCGGCTCATGTACCATAATTTGGTAAATCTCATTTTCTAATTTCAATGTAAATTTATTTACTTTTCATTACATTCAACCACCACTGCTGTCTTCCCTTCTCTGAGTACTTGGAATCAACATCTGTCACTCTCTGGTTCGTCATTGCACCAGAAAATTAGAATGTATGAACTAACCATAATTATTTTCTTCAATGCGGCACATTATTCTATTTTTTCATCTTTCAACTTATGTTCAGTGACTTTATAACATGCTTAGTCATCTCTAAAATATATTTTGTTTTGCATGCAAAGGAAATGAATAAAACACTTTTAAAAAATAATAAAAATTAAAGTACTTGCAGCATCCCCAGTATTTGCAGTTGTGAAATTCTTTGAGATTGTATTTGTCTGAACAGCATTGGCTAACTCCATTTTGAGCCACTCTGGAATCTGTTCAAGGAAGAAGGAATAAATGAAAAATAATATTTTAAGCAAAGAGTATACTTGGTTTGATTTATTTATGACCTTCATTTAGGCATAATCTATAAAGTTCTTAAGCAAAATGTACCATGGGCAAAAATAAAAGTGAACACATTTATAATTTTTGATGCAATAATCGAATTTTTACATACTAATACTCAATTTTAAAAGTAAAAGAAAAGCTCAAGGGTCTTAACATGTATGTGCTCATAAATCAGTGCCAACTATATTTTAAGTTACAAAACCAGAAACAAAAACGTTCTTTATTTGATTTTTTTTGTTGTAGACGGATTTGGATTCTTAATCTTAAAAATCGTTGGGGTAGCAACAAACTGGATAAAATTTTCCCAATAGTTTAGAAAGTTATAAGTTTGGTTTCTTAAATAATAATTTCACTTTTTGCACATTACATTATCTTAAAGAAGTCACAATTTAAAGATTTTATTAATCGAGAACTATTTGACAGATTCCTTTCAAATTTTAGGATTTAAAATTACTCAAATTTATGTACAAAACTTATTTATCTTTCAATTCAAAATTTTTCAAAGGTAGTTAAATTATAGGGTGTGGCAAAATAACTCAGGCAAACAATTTTTAATATTACTTTATTAAAAATAAATAAATTTACAAAATATAGCAAATAATGATAAGAAAAGACTTCTACCAACAAAAAGTGTAATTGGTTTCAAAGGGACCACTTTTTACTGATTCACAAACACTTATTGAATTTTTCAGTAATGGGCCACAAGACCTTTAATCCTTCCCATTCCTGCTGAAGCGATTGATTTAAAGTGTCCAAACTTTTGTGTACAGAGCAAACGAATGATTTCACATTTTTATTTTCCTTGCTTAACTACAAAATAGCTTGACATTGTAAAAAAACCAACACATCAAAAACAAATATAATTTAACTTCAATTCCATGATGCTAGTTTTTAGGCAGTAATTTAAAACTAAATATATCTGACTTAAGTAGATTTAATACATACCTTAAAAAGTCGCATATGTTTTGATAAAAAAAAAAAACTACTTTTCGTGATAATGCCACTCTGCCAAACAATTGTTTTAATTTTAAAAGAAAATTATTTTTCAAATACTAAAACTACGTTAATGAAAATTTTAAAAGATAGTTATAAAAATTTTATAATCTAATGCTTGATAGTAAACAATACATTTTTGAAGAAACCATTTCTTACCAGCCCCAAGCTATCTTCTTCAGATAAAGATGGCAGTAATTTAAAACTAAATATATCTGACTTAGGTAGATTTAATACATACATTAAAAATCCGCATATGTTTTGATAAAAAAAAAAAATTACACTTCATGATAATGCCACTCTGCCAAACAATTATTTTAATTTTAAAAGAAAATTATTTTTCAAATACTAAAACTACGTTAATGAAAATTTTAAAAGAGAGTTATAAAAATTTTATAATCTAATGCTTGAAAAGTAAACAATATATTTTTGAAGAAAAATTTCTTACCGGCCCCAAGCTATCTTCTTCAGATAGAGATGGTTTTGATTCAGATGGTACCAAAGGTGCTGCATTCATAGCTTTAGAGGGTGCAGAATTTGTTCTTTTGTTAGAACGAGGTAGGGGAGCGGTTGTATCAACAACAAGATACACCTGCATTCCACAGCAATACACATTGGCTAAGCTCACCACTTCTCCCCTCCCTATCTGCGCAGGAGAAGCATACAATCTAAAATACAATAAAAAATATAACATTTTAAAAGAAATGAAAATAGATTCAGTATGGGAACCATATTTCACAAAGAGCTCAGGAAATGATAAACAGGCATACAATCTAAAATACAATAAAATATGAATTTAAAAAAAAAAGAAAGAAAATAGGTTTAGTATAGGAACCATATTTCCAAGCTCAGGAAATGATGAAACAATCTGAAATACAATATCTAAAATACAATAAAAATATAAAATTTTAAAAGAAATGAAAATAGATTCAGTATAGGAACCATATTTCACAAAGAGCTCAGGAAATGATAAACAGGCATACAATCTAAAATACAATAAAATATGAATTAAAAGAAAATAGGTTCAGTATAGGAACCATATTTCCAAGCTCAGGAAATGATGAAACAATCTGAAATACACTAAACATATAAAAAAAATTTAAAAAAAAGGAGAATGGGTTCAGTATAGGAACCATATTTCACAAAGAGCTCAGGAAATGATGAACAGGCTTACAATGTTAAATACAATAAAATGTTTAAAAAAATGAAAATAAGTTCACAGTACAGGAACTATATTTACAAAGAGCTCAGGAAAACGAACACTAAATCCGATCGCTTATTAAATCTGAATTCACACTTGTAACAAAAAAATCTAAACATAAAAAACAACAAACGTAACTTGCTTTATCGAAAAATTAAAACAAATTTATCTTAGGTTGATTGTTTCGTTTTACAAAATTTTGTTTCATTGGATTCTCATCTTAGCTCATTCCTTAATTTTGTTCCCTTTTTCTGAAGATTGCACTAGCAGTTCAATAAAATTTGAAAAACAATAAGTCTTTTTCGGAATTACGCCAAAACCTATTTCACAATAATTACGTCCCAAAAGGCGTTTAATAATGTTGGATGATTAGTAGAGCATTTTTAAATGGTTTTTATTATTTCTCATATTGATAAATTATTTCCTTCATTAAAAACTGCTCACTAAAAGAGCACATTATACATTATAACTGTTGTAATCACAACATTTGTTCAGGTGTCGAGTAACTCGTTTGGGGGGGGGGACAGGAAGTAAGAGCTTAATGATATTAATTATTTATTTACAACAATATTTACAGATATCATAATTGCACAGGCTCATTTGCTCGCACCTCTACGCTCTCTTACATTTGCAAAAACAAAACAGACACAACAGTTGCAGCGCTGGGCCACCTGCCGGACGTTAAGGGGAAAATTTAATATAACTACGTTAAAAATTTATCAAACAAAATCATTTTTTCAGTTAAATTCAAAATCTAAATAAATGCAGAATCATTATAAGTGGGTTCTTTTCTGTTTGTTTACATTGTATGTGCTGTTTAAGTTGAGTTCAATGACACAGAAACTGATTGTAGTTCATGTTCTATTAAACTTAACACGATTGATTAACATGATTGATGAATTGATTCATTTAGAAATATTTAATCTGAATGATTTTTAATTTATTGTAACCATTACTGAAATTAATTCATTTAATTTTATTTTTAATTCTTTGAAAAAAATGTTTTAGGCGTTAGTTTCATTGTTAATGAAACTTGCTTTTAGATTACAGCATAGATCTTGTTTTTAAATTACAGCAATGATTAAGCTAGAATATAAGAAATATACATTAAGTGGGAGAAAACTCAACAATAAAAAGAAAATTCAGGTATGGTTATTATTCAACAATTAAATTTATATTGTATCCTTAAATTTATAGCTAACATAATACTAAGTTAAGTTAATAACATTAAAATATACATGTTGTAGTAATACTGTTTACAATTTAGTGTCATGCAAATTTTTGACTTCAAAAATACAGAAAAAAAAATTATAAATATTCTAAAAAATACAAAAAAGAAGTAGAGGTGTAATTTTATTCTGAAAATTCAAAGTCATAAATACAATTTATATTCTTGTTTAATAAAATGGATTAAAGTGCCTGCTTTAAGCTTAAAACAATTAAAATCAGAAAAAAATTTAATACTTTAAAAGATATGTATAAGCTTTTGACTATCTAAATGCCGAAAGCCATTAAAAAAAAAAAGTAAAATTAAAAGTAATGAAAATTATCATGAATCTTGTTATACTCACGCCAAAATTTCTTTTGGATTCAAAACAAAGTCTTTTCTTCCAATGCAAGAATCAGCCAAACCATCATCTGAGTGAATAGATTACATATGTAAAACAATGCAAATACTCAAAAGATATTATTATGTAATGTTTATAATTAGTATTACTATTCAAAAAATAGTTTTGTCTTAAATGCTTTTAATACACATCTTTACAATTTTTGGAAAATTGAAGAAAAAGAAAAATGCACATTAAAAAATTGAAAATCCAACTAGCTGTATAAAAGAAAGATAAAAAAATTTGACCATGAACAACTCTCAAGCAAAACATATTGAAAGGAGAAAAAGTTCAGCTCTTCGAATACATAACTAATGCAGGGAACTACTCGGTGTGGTACACTATACCAGAAAAACAATTACAGGGTGAGTAACATACTCAGATTTAGCAGCACGTCATTTCAACTAAGATCCAGCCCATGCGCATAAGAAGCAAAGACAATCAGGCGATACGCCATCTGTGAACCGGTTGTTGAATAAATCTACATGCATGGTTTGGTACGCTACTTCCCGCTAACCGCCATTTTATTCTTTCTTTCTTTGTCAAAATGTGTTAGCAGATTTAATCAACATGGATGATATAAATGCATTCTCAAAGAAATATTTTAATTAATAGTACAGTATTGTTTACCAATAGTATAAAAATACAGAATAAACCAACAATAAATAAAAAAAGAACTTTTTTCTCCTTCTCAACCCCAGTAGCGGTTGGGAGGAGAGGAGGGTGCAAACCGTTTCAAGAACTTCTGCTGTTGAGCCACTAAATGTTGTTTTTTCCCTTTATACGTGAAGACCACGCCTAACCAGAGGATACTAGTTTACATTATGTTTATGGAAGCAAAACTTCTTCACCTATGTATATTCTTTATCTCTAGAGCTACACTAATGAGTTCTTGGCAAAGGTCTGTAATTTATCTTTAGGCAATAATACATATTGGTTCACAAGCTTGACCTCATATTTGCTAATTGATCTGCTATTATGTACAATGTATATTATAAAAGAAAGGAACATTCTGATCTAGTTGTCGAACATAACTTAAAAACTTACAGTTGAAATTGATATGTGTGTTCTAAGAATTTTCATAGAAATACGAATTTTTTTTAAAAATTTAATAACTACTTTGTTTTAAGCTAAAAATATTAAAATAACATTGTTTAATGATATAAAACAAACTAAATGATAATTTATATTAAAAAAATTAATCCTTATAATTTCTATTAAAATATTAACCCTCATAATTTCTATTAAAATATTAAATTATAGTTTCACAGAAAAAGTTCTTTCATAAGCTTTGATTAACTATACATTGAATGAAATGACTAACAAGTAATTGAAACATGCTCAGTGAATCATTTGAAGAAATAAATATGACTTCATGTTAAACAATACTGATAATTGATAATACTAAAGTAACTTTCAAAGTAAATCATAAATTTCCTTGAGCTTTTCCAGTAATATTTTCAAATTCTGTGACAATGTCATGTTTTCCCTACTTCCAGAAAAAAGTGATGGAGGAAAAAAATTCATATTGTCTTTGAAATAGCAGTCAAAAGTTGTTTTTGGGTGATGGTTAGTTCATGCGCAAAATGTGACAATTATCAGGCTCTACTTGACATATATCAGGCTCTATATCACCCCCTCAAGTTGCTATCAAGTTTTTTTTTCTTCACAAAACTAATACTTTTAACTAATTTTATTGCCTCTATTTTACTGCAAAGAGTACGTGTATCACGAGCATATTAAATAATTATCATAAAAATGGGTGATATGCATTTTATAACTGTCATTGAACAGCCAACCCAATTTTTGGGTTTACGACTACTAATGTTGCCTTGAAATTTTGAACCAAATCCAGAAGACAAGGGAACTCCTGGATCAAGTATTGGGAGAAATTTGCTCTGGTGGAGGACTTTTTGATGGAACTAACCCGCTTTTACGTTACATGGAGAGGAAAACTATGAGAACCTCCCACTGTTAGCCCAACAGCAAGGGGACTTTAACCCATGATCTGTCTACCACTGAGGATATATTACGTCAACACTGTCATTGGTGCCAGTCGGGTGCGGAATTCGTTTCAACCAGCCATCACTGGGATTTGAGCCTGTTTCACCTCACTGGAAGGCGAATGCTATATCCCCTGAGCCACCATGGCTCTGCTGATATACATTACCATTTTGTGGGTATACTTCCTCCTTTTGTAAAATAAAAATAAAAATTTGTGAAATGTAAGCAGATGCTGCAGTCACTTTTCTAGCCTTGTTGAACTTTGATCAAGCATGACAATAAATATTTTTTTATTACATAAACATTTCCTCAGAAAAATACAGGCTATAAAATTAAAGTATCACTTTTGATGACAAGATCATGAAATATCAAATAAAAAATAAAACTATGTTGCAGCAACACCCCCTTCGAGATAATAACCAATATTTTTTTCTCTATAAAGTAATTACCACTACCTTTTGACAGTTATTAAAAATCGATCTGAAAAACTTTTGCTTATTCGCCCCTACCCCTAATAGTCACTCAATAAAAACCTTCTTGGAACATATATTTATACTCTTTTTAATGAAAAATAAAACTCTAAGTTCTCTCTCTAGGAAATAAAATTCTAATATCTCCCTTTCTCTATAAAGTAACTACCACTAATTTTGGCAGTTATTAAAAGTTCTTGGAACATAAATTTATATTTTTTTTTAATGAAAAATAATACTCTAATTTCTCTCTCTATATAAAATAAAACTCTAACATCTCTCTCTAATCTAACTCTAATATTTCTCCCTATATATAAAGTAACTATCACTAACTTTTGGCAGTTAATAAAAGTTTACAGCCCCTTACAGTCACTCAACAAACCTTGTTGGAACATATATTTATAATCTTTTTAATTGCTTACCATCACCATGAGATGAGAAGACAGATTTACTGCTGGAAATGGAAGATGAAGGTGACCTAGAGCTGGGAGCATCTGGTGTTTTGACTTGTATTATGGGAGAGTCTGGTCCAATTCTTTCAATTTCTGTCATAAGAGGACTATTGCTCACCCCTTCAATAAATATTAAAAAAACAAGTTTTGATATCACCTACTGAAAGATATGATGCTAAATTAAATATTGAGTCATGAATTCTCACAATATAGTTGGCAATGAAAGATGATATGTAACTCTCAGATAAGATCATGTTATAAATAACTCTCAGATAACTGCTTGAGTAAATAGAATTTTTTTGTTGTTTTTTGTTTAGATTTAGATTATTAATTGGTGCAAGTCGTGGTGATTCAGAGAGCGTTTGTCAACAAATGAGGTGAACTGGGTTCGAATCCCAGCAATGGCTGATCAATACAATAATCTGCAATCGGCTCATACCAAACATAGTGCTGTTGTAAAATACCCTCAGTGGTAGAGGGATCATGGGTAACAGTCCCTTTGCCATTAGACTAACCTTGGGAGGTTCTCGCGGTCTTCCTCTCCAGGTAACGTAAATGTGGGTTAGTTCCATCAAAAAGTCCTCCATGAAGGCAAATTTCAACCAATACTTCATTCACTTGTTCCCCAGTTTTCTGGATTGGGTTTAAGATTACAAGGCTATGGAGAAGAACATTAGTAGCAGTAAACTCAAAATTTGGGTCGGCTGTTCAACGACGGTTATAAAATAAAATTAATTGGTGCAAAAAAGCACGGTGAACAATCAGATATCCATTTAATCATTTATTGTAATTTTTGGAAAAATGTTTTATTGAGTTTTAATATTTTGTTTGCTTCACTTTGTCTCCTCAAATCTTTAAATGAACCTTGAAATATGGAAAGTCCTTTAAAAACAACTTTCTTAAAATAGAAGAGGTTTTATAATAAAATTTATATGCAACTAAAAGGTTATTATTTGAAAAGTCAAGTGATTATTAAATTATGAAATTATATCAAAACATAAAACTCGATTGCACCAAAATGACATTAAGGCTGTTAGAAGTCTAAAAAGATAGATGCCAGACCACTTCAAAAATCATGGCTAGCACCCAATGTTATAGTAAAGTTTAATGCAAAAGCAGAGAGCTGCTGCATTGTTTTCCATTCTACAACATGCTTGTTTTTGAAAATTGATCCTGGTTCTAAGAAATTTTGCTTTTTTGTAAATCCCTTAATGCAATCATGAACTGATGCTGGCATAATTTTATAAATTAATCATAAATTTGAAGTTTTATACAAATTTGCTGCCCAGCATACAAACTATATTTTTAGTAATACTAATATTTTAATCCAGTTTATTTTGCTATGTTATTCTTTAAGAAAAATTGCCATGACAAATTCGAGAATGTTAGTCCTTATCTGGATAATTCTGGAAAGGCTTCTCAAAAAATTACTGTTAAACCTTGGTCCATGATTCTCGCATATTTGGTCTTTTTGTATGTATTGTATTGCTGTAAAGGTCCAAATCACAAATTCTGTACTTATAATGCTGATAATACGTTTAGATTGTATCTGAAACTAGCAGATACCCACATCTATCATTCAGAAATTTCGCTGACACTTTAAAAAATATTGAAGTTATTTTGCAAAGAAAAATACTAAATCTTGTTGCTAATGATGCAGAAAAATGAGGATTTGTCACAGTTTGGGAAAACATCTTAAACTTGTGGTACTGTGAATGGTTGCAGGAGATATACTGATAAAAATGATAGTGATAAAGATGGTGAAACAAACTATAACCTTCTGCATTCATAAGAATAGCAATCTGTTACAAATTTTGAAAATTCATAGTTTGCAATGAGAAAAACTAGTGTGCTCAAATCAAAAGTTCCAAATATTTAAGATAAATAAATGTGTTTATTCCTCTTTGTTTTGCAATGTAAATATTTTCCGATGAAGTACATATCTTTTTATAATAAAAATTATTTTTTAAATTATAAATTTCAAATCCATTACTTTTCCTAAATGTTTAAGTCACCAGTGGACTTTTTATCTTGACCTGCATTCGTCACCTCTCCATATCTATTGTTTGCAATGAATGGTCCCATAAGAAACAATTGATCAAGGTTCTAGTATAATTTATATCCAATTATTTAGAAAAGAAGTGAATTAATTTTTCTTGTAATTTTTCTTAGCAGATGTTCTGGTTAGATAGCCATTTTAATGCATAACCCTCAGTATTTAGTTCCCAAGCATGCTTGGAATTTTATCAACCCACACAAGGGATTAAAAGCTGAGTCAACTTTGCCTGGTTTAAAAATAGAGCCCTGGATTTGCGGCTGAGAAACGAAAAACTGTTTTAAGATAACTAAAATGACAAGCAATGCAATGGAAAAATTTGAACTATTTTATGTAAAATTTTCAAACTTAATTTGAGATATTTTTAAGTTGAAACATTTTATGATGCTTAACGATAAGTAAGGAAGGTCAGAATTAAACTTACATCAAGAAGTTACTTACATCAAAGTTTTTAGAATTATTTTGAGATAATTCATCAGATTATCTTAAATAAATTCTAAAAATTTTTACATATCACTCAAAAAGTTTCATATGAATTTTTTCCCCGAATGAAATATTTCATGATATACTTAAAATTAAAGGGAAAAATTAATTTGGGGAGGGAAAAAAAAACAAATGTATTTGAAGAAAAAAATGAAATGTTAGTTTTACAAAAATATTCTTTTTCATTCAAATTCTCAATGCCATTCATTACTATAAAAGAACACACAAAATATTACTGCAAAAAAAATTGAAGCACATTACCAACTTTGATAATTTCAGAAACGGAAGTTTCACTCATTTCTGACATGAACTCAGAATCTGTACTTTGTCTTCTTCTTGAAGTACTCTTGGCTGTTTTTGATGCTTTTTGATTTGAACCCTTGTGATTGGGCGTCACTTCGTTGGATGAATAAGGAGACAGTATCTGTCGACTTCCCCAGAAATACACAGCATTCTCCGATGTACCGGCGATTGTAAAGGTGTCTCCACATTCCACCATCTGACATAAAAATGGAAGTCATCATACAAATTTCAAAACATTGGAAGAATAATAGATCAAAGTTTAAAAATCTATTTATTAAAATTTTCAAATTCTGCAGATAAAATAAACCTCATTTAACAGAATACCAGGTTTAACGAGGAAATTTATAATTGATAGTTGGTCTAATATTAAAAAATATAGTTAAAAAATCTGTCTTTATAAGCATAATTTGGATTTAACATAACTATTAATGGTATTAATAATTTTTTATAATACAGTAAAGCATGATTTATACATCTTTCAGATTACTTATATAAATTGATGAGTAAATGAAAGTAATTATAACTTATAATTAAACAAATTAATAGAAATCCCACGTAAAATAATAATTTTGATAACTAAATAGCAGTCTTATTTTGACAATAAATATTATTTTGAGAAAAAAAGCAATAGAGGTAGTAAAAACTTACGTTTTTATAAAAATACATACATGCAGCAGCGATGCCATGTTGCTCTGCTTTGTAAAAAAATAAATATTGAGAGTAGTTTTTTTTACTCACTACAAATCAAGAATTTAAAGTATCTTATGAAATGCAATTTTATAAAAAGCAGTTGACAGCCCTGAAGCAGTGTTTCCTTGTGTAATAAAAACTAAACTAAACTCAGTGGCGTGACAGCCCATAGAGGGCCAAGGCCTACTGTGCCCATCTCAGTATTCTTGATCATGGACTCTGGGGTGCAGGAGAAAATGTTTCGGTCAGGTGGTCAGCCGAACGGGGAACCCTGAGTGTTTAGTTCCGAAGCATGCTTGGTACTCATTTATCGACTCATTGGAGGGATGAAAGGCTGAGTCAACCTTGCCCAGCCCGAGGATCGAACCCAGGACCTGTGGCACAGGAGTCCGAAGTGCTACCACTCACCCACCGGACGTCTTCACTGTGTAATAATAATATTAAATTACATTTAATATTTTTATAAAGTTCTGAAAAATTATTTTATTAAAGTTGTCAGAAAAAAATATCATGCTGTTGGTAAAAATTCTATTCTCTTTAAAAGTGTTTTGAAACCTCCTTTAGTAAAAATTGTTCAAACATTGTATGTGGATAAGCAATTCAGAACAATAATTTACACCTTACTCTTACAGCAACGAAAGAATAAAATATTGTAGATAGTAAATGTAGCTGAAGAAGTCATTGAAATAACAGAAGATGCTGATGCATGTGAATCATTTAATAGATTCAACCTTTTGTCGTTTTAAAAATATGAGCGAGCCATAGATACCGTAACTGTCCGATCAGACATGGACTTCACAATGGCTGGTGAGGAATGATTTCGTGTGTTTCCCCTTCCAAGTTGACCATTCTTGTTGAAGCCGAAGGTGATTATTTTGCCTGGCTCCACCAAAACAGCTGTGTGCATCGCAGCCATAGAGACAGATATTGCTTTCTGACGCAGCCAGCTAAGTTTCACAGGAATATTATGTTTCTCAACATTACACTGCAATAAAAAAAACATGAAGTAACATATAAGAATGTTCAGAAATATCACTTTTATTTATGCACTATTTCCATATCAGATAACAAGATGCATGCACCATAAAATGAATGATATGAAACCTCATAGTTTACGCTTGCAACCCTCCTAATAAAAAATATTCTGAAAATACAGTGTACTCAAAGCTGAAGGGATGCTAAAAAAATTTCGAGATAGCGAGTTTTCGAGATAGCAAGTTCAGAACTAAATATGTTTTAAAAAGTAAAAAAATATATTCTAAAATATTACTCTAAAATGTAGAGTCATGAAACCTAAGAATAACTACTATTAAATATTTATGTAATGATAGTTGAATATATGTCTAAATACATCAATGATAACTTTATTTTTAAAGGTAAGACAAAAATTATTATGCTTTAAATAGAAAAGAATTAGTTTACAACAAACTTTGTGATTTTTCCTAAAAAATTCAATTTCTATTTCGAAAAAAGTTCGACATAAAAAGGTTTTGAGAAGAAAATCTTCGACATAGGAATTCAAATTAACATTAGGTGGATACGGAAAAAAAGTTCTTTTTGGCGTAACAAAGTTTAAGAGATATTGAAGTTTGAGGTATCGAAAGTGTACTGTAAATAAAATCTTGTATGTCAAAATTTATGTGCAAAAAGAATTATAGATTTAATATTAAATCATATACAGTTGCTAGACACGTTAGCATCATATTATATTGAGTACTTTAGTAGCATATTATATTGACAACAATATAATATGCTACTAAAATTAGTTCACATTGAGATCCTTAAAAATAGACTCGCACTTAGATGATACCTCTAACGAGAAAATTAATTGCAGATATTTTTAATAATATTCACGTTATTATATTTTAGATTGTTATAACAAATGATCTTGTGTAACTTATTTGTCAGTGTGGTAGATTAAACCTAAATTTAAAACTTCATTTCAATAAGAATGTAAATTGTTTTCACAAGATACCTTTGCAATCATTTGAATGAGGAACCCCCTCTGTTCATTCATTCCAAGTTTGTTGAAATCATTCATTCCACATGCAAGGAGGGTCCCTCTCTCTGTAATAAACATGGTGCCATCATGTCCACAAAATGACTTCACCACTTTCGCATCATGAGGGAATATAATTTCAACAGGAGCACAACTAACATAAAGAATTACACTCTTATAAATGGTTAAAATTTGAAGGGCTTAAATAACAACAATATCCCTATGATATAAAAACTTATTGAAAAACATTTTAAACATAACAAAGAATTTTTATTATCACAAATTAGTTTTTTTTTAAATCATTTTTTCCAAACCAAAACTACAATGTAAGAATATGATAATAATTTATACCAGTCCTCTTCAGAGCCTGTACCAAGCCGTCCACCCGAACCGCACCCCCAGGAATAGGCATCACCTTCTCGGCCGACCACCACAACGTGATTTGGACCACAACTGACATCAGACACATCGATACTTGAATGAAAAGGTAAAAAGGCAAGATTCAGAGGTAATTGTGATACAAAGCAACAAAAAAAAGCTGAAAATTTTATGTTAAAAATCGAAATCAATTTATATACCATACATGTTCCATATTTAACATAATTATATGAACTGGTATTTATGATTATCTACTAATGAAGAATATCACACTTTTATAGTAACTAATGAAAGAAAAAATTTATTTCCTATAAGAATCACAATGTTGGATTTTAAAATCACGTGAATATAAATCGCGATATTGGATTTTAAAAACGCGAAAATGAAAATCGCGATATTGAAATTTAAATTGTGTAAGTACGAATCACGTTGCATAATTTTTATACCGCGTGAATACGAATCGCAAAGCGCAGTTTTTAAATCATGTATAAATACGAAAATCGATGTTAGATATTTCAACCTCGTTAATTCAAATCGCGATATTGTTTAAAACTCATGTGAATACGAATCGCGGTTTTGGGTTTTAAAAACACGCAAATATAAATCACGATATTGGATTTTTAAATCGCACGAATAGGGGAATCGCGATGTGCGATTTTTCAAATTGCATGAATATGAATCGTAACGTGTAACTTTTAAATTAGGTAAATACAAAAATTGATGTTTATGAATTAAAATCGCGTTGATAAGAGTCGAGATTTTAGCGAATTCCGACGAGGTTCCACATATTCAAAATGGCCGAAATCCGCCAAATGAAAAGAATCGCATGTATGTAAACGTTTCGTTAACAGGATTTAGAAAAAGTTTCAAAGTTAGATAGATTATAAGTCTTTGATTCGCGAAAGGCTGCGAACCAATGATCTTGAGATACGTGGAATTCTGCGATATTTGTACTGCATGTGCAATAACATGTCCTTCTTCTAGTATTTAGACACAGAAGAATGATATGAAAACAATCACCCCTGAAGATTGATTGATCAAGTAAAAACCATGTAGTGATAAAAGTGAGAAAATGAAAACAGAATTATATTAATAGGTTACAGTTAAAAATACCAACCCAATCACAAAAATCAATCAATTCCCATTAAAAAAAAAGTCTGCAAAAAATTCAAAAAAAATGTGAGATAACATTTTATCACATACGAAAAAATCCATAAATTATTTTATATAAAGAATCAAACTTTGAAGTGAAATCTCCACAATCTGTTATGAAAACAAATATAAATAAAATAGAAGTGGAGATGGATGGCTGACCATGCAAAGCTGAGCTAAAATTCATCGCAAGACTTCTGGGTTACTATTTCTGACTGATTTCAAAGCCTAAGCTTGAAAAAAACGCACCATGAAATATTATTATACTTGTAATGTTTTCATACACGCTCTTTCAAGCTAACTTTCAGCAAAACAAACAACAAATGAATTCGGAAGACTCTGCAAGCGTGCTATGATGCTATCCAAAAAATTAAAAAGGGTGCTATTTTACACAAATATAGCCAAATATGTGATAACATTCAAAACATGGCTAACCTTTCACTTTATTTATGTGTGATATAGCTTTGTTAATTTTGTTTTAGCTTCACGACCTGTTAGAATTCTAATGAATGGTAAAATTATGCACAAATTTAAACACAAATCACAATAATAAAACTTCCTAGAATATCATGACTGTTCACGCATCACCTCGTAAGCATAACTTAAGTGATGGTATGCACTGGAAGTTTTTTAAATTTCTTCCGGTTTTAAGAAGTTGGTCATCGTTAACATTCAGTCCACCATCTATATAAAATATGATACAAATAATGTTTTATTTGTTTATTGAAAGCTAAAACAGTTATTTTGAGTTTTAATAAACATCTCAATCCATTCACTAGAGAGATACCTGAGTAATTTCTCAATGATTTTAGGTTTGACACACATGTTCCAGTCTCCATGTCCCAAGCAACCCTGGGATCCATTCCCACAAGTCATCAGGATTCCATTGTCACTGGAGAACACGCTGAAGCCTTCTCCAGCACACACTCTAGAAGACAACAAAAATTCTTCTCAACATCATCAAAATATAGATTTACTATAACTTAAAAATGCAGAAATCTTTTGATTAGATCACTTTCCTTAAAAAAAATGATTATTATATTAAAGACAAATATTAAAAGGTTACTTTTCAAAACTTGTGTTTTAAGAATTTTACTAATTTCCTACAAAGTAAATGGTTGGTTCAGTAAATAATCTAAAATAAAAATAAAGGAATTTTCTTGCCTAATGCATCATCTGGTATGTGGTATTGCAATCCTTTAAATGTATAATAACTCAAAATAAAAAATAGTAAATTTGATGCATACTTATTAAATCTATTTGTATTGCCATTCAAGTTCTGCTTTTCATAATACTTGACTATATATTAATATATAAGTTACTTAACAATTATAGCTTATATTTATTCATCCAATATTATATTTCACAAAAAACATTGCAAAGAATTTAATTTGGTCAGCAAAGATCACCACAGTGATGACAATTTTTAAAGAATTTGAGCTGTTGCTTAAAAGCATTATAATGCAACTACTATTTTTACAATACAAAACAGAGTGGTGAACCTGAGGAGAACCTGGTTCAAATCCCAGTAATGACTGGTCAAAATGAATTCCGCACCTGGCTCTCACTGATTACAATGCTGACTTTAAATATCCTCAGTGTTAGATGGATCATGGGTTACAGTTCCCTTACCGTCAAGCTAATCATGGGAGGCTTTCATGATTTTCCTCTCCATGCAACACAAATGAGGGTTAAGCATAACAAAAAGTCCTCCTCAAAGGCGAATTTCTCCCAATACTTGAACCAGGAGTTCCCTGGTCTTCTGAATGGGATTCAAAATTACAAGGCTAGGGAGTTGAACATTAGTGGTGGTAAACCCAAAAAATTGGGTTCGCTGTACAATGGCAGATATAATACAAAATATAATACAAAACAGAAATTACAATGTAACCAACAAGAAACAATTTTTCTATCAATGTTTTTTCTTTCCATACACTTTCATTTTAAAGCAACAATATTCAATAAATATATATATATATATATATATGTAAGGTTCGCATAAGTCTAATTTTATTAAGGCAGAGAATAGTTTAACTTTCATATAAAAAGGTGGCAACATTCAGATATGTAAATAGAACGCTTCGCAAAAACATATACTTCGCTGTTATTATTTTTCATTAAATGCTTTTATAAAATATCTCTTCGCTTATTTACTGTATTGCATATTAATTAAATTCATTGTCATTCAACTTTATCTTATATATGCTACGAGATCAAGTCTATGGAACAAAGAAAGAATCTTTTGAAAGTTGTTCACGTACAACATCTTCGTCCATATCACATGCGAGATACGCCAGTCCCCCAGGAAGAAGAGAGCTCGGAAGAAGAGGAAGAATCAGTTTCCGAATTACATCCAGTAGAAAACATCCAGGATTCTGAAAATTACCCGAACATCATATCGAGTCGCTACGATCTGCTACGCAATCGACGCCCGCCTGAAAGACTTATAAGACAAAATCTGTCCTAGAACCTTAATGTTTACACTTCAATGTAAATATCTACATTTAGCATTGAGCGGGGCCGAATGTAAGGTTCGCATAAGTCTAATTTTATTAAGGCAGAGAATAGTTTAACTTTCATATAAAAAGGTGGCAACATTCAGATATGTAAATAGAACGCTTCGCAAAAACATATACTTCGCTGTTATTATTTTTCATTAAATGCTTTTATAAAATATCTCTTCGCTTATTTACTGTATTGCATATTAATTAAATTCCTTGTCATTCAANGAGGAGCACTCAAAAAATTTTTTTACAAGAATTACAACAAATAAAATAGAACACAATAAGTAAAAATAACATGTAAAAACAGAAAATAAAATAAAAGAAAAAACAGTATAAAACATAAACTATAAAACAAGTAGCGAAATCAGATGTACATACATGGACGGGAAATTTTTCAAGAATGATTTCAAAATGTTTTCGCAACATGATTGCCAGATTACAAAATATGAAAACAAAAGCGCAAATTGAGTGTCACTAGAGGGTTTTAAAGTGCCATTCTTACTGCACTGCTGAAGTGATTTGTTATTCTGTGCATTGTTTTTCTTAACTTTCTTTGTGTTTTCTTGTATTTATTTATTTATATATATATATATTCAAAATAAAAATTTTAATACTAAATACAGGGTGGTTTAGCTGTTTCAAACTTCAGCTGGTTTCGGACACATCAAAAAGATTGGGAATTGCTTAGCAACCCATTGCTGAATGCATCCCTATTATGAANCGTGTTTTCTTGTATTTATTTATTTGTATATATATATATGCATATATATATATTCAAAATAAAAATTTTAATACTAAATACAGGGTGGTTTAGCTGTTTCAAACTTCAGCTGGTTTCGGACACATCAAAAAGATTGGGAATTGCTTAGCAACCCATTGCTGAATGCATCCCTATTATGAACTGGCTACTCACAAGTATTTGGTATAACCATAAGTATTTGGTATATACATAAGTATAAGGCTATTCATAAATTTACTCATAAGTATATGTATTTGGAGAGGTATTTTGATTTATTTATATTATATTAATTTTATGTTAATATTACGCAACAACTTCTTGCAAGGAACATCTTGGGAAAACCTCTTAACCTCTTCATGTGCTCCTAGACACCTCCCCAAATCTATTTGGGTTTCATGTTTAAGGCTAATGACTGGACATAAGGCTTTCTTTTTAAAATTATCTAAACTAAGCTCAGTGGTGCGACAGCCCCTAGAGGGCCATGGTCAAATGTGCCCATCTCAGTTTTCTTGACCGTGGGCTCTGGGGTGCAGAAGCAGATGTTCCTGTTAGGTGGTCAGCCGAATGCGAAACCCCCAGCGTTTAGTTCCCAATCATGCTTGGTACTCATTTATCGATCCACTGAAGGGATGAAAGGCTGAGTCAACCTTGCCCAGCCCGAGGATCGAACCCAGGGAGCGCGAAGTGCTAACACTCAGCCACAAGGTGTCTTTACAATTAACTGTTAATGTAAAATTTATAAGTTAATGAAATGAAGGCATCAATAATTAAGATGAAATAATGATTTAACAAATTTTTCATGCTAAGTTCAATAAACTAATCAATAGAAACTATCTGAAAGTTTATTTAATATTAAGAATATTTTATTTTTGAACACTTGGTTAGTAACAGTTACGCCTTTTTAATGCAAATTTTTGGAATTAAAAAAAAGTAGCAATAAAATGGAGGGAACTCATAATGCTTAATTACCGGGCAATATTCTTTCCCTTCAAAGCTTCTACACAAAATGGCTTGTCTCTCCAGGTCTCCAACTTACCGTGTCCAAGTTGACCTTTTCTGCCATCACCCCAAGTGTACACCAAAAGTTCAGCTGTCACAACTATCATGTGAGTGGAACTGAGGGCAACCTATCAAATATATCTTTGTAAAGCAGGAGGTTTATATTGTTAAAATGTGAACTATTGTTAAATGTCAAGGAGAGTGTATTAGTTAATCTTAAATGCTATATTTTTAATAAATTTTACTTTTAAACAATTATAAGAATTTACTTTGAAGAATTATAGTATATTTGTTTATTTACAATAAACAATTATAATTAGATTTGTTTGGTATTGCATCACTTTAGTATCATAAAATACAAAAGACGTTTAAATTTATGTAAAAATAAATCAATGCAAATGAAATGTATAACATATGTGATTTATATGAAAGCACAGTTTATATAAATATAATGCTATTTATTTTCTTTCAAAGAAATATGTAATTGAAGATTGTTTTGATGCATGTTTAACTGAACATTTTTCCTCTACTTACCTTTCCACATTCTAAAAATTTTAAGAGGGTAAATGCAAATAATAAACCCCTCTCATTTACTATATAACTGCTAATAAAATGAAATTTTTACTTAAATTTCCACGGCAACAATTGGGAGTATGAAAAGAGCACTTAGGAGTTGTTGAAGTGATCATGTATTGTGTTCTCATCATCTTTTCCATTCTTGCTGAAGAGACATTTCTTTAAAAACAATTTTTTCTCTTTTAATCAGGTTTTGTACTCATTTTATGATTTAAAAATCAAGCACTTTTAAGCACTCTATCCAAATTAGAGAAAAGAGCTATTGATAGAATTAAACAAGGACTGATAACCATAAATAATGCTTTAAATGAAGAAATTTAACATTAATTTCATGTAAAAAAATTTTGTTCCACTAAATTTTATTCATAAAAGTGAGTTATTTAATTATCCAGCATAATTAAATGAGGATAACCATATTCATATAGAAAAAAAAACGCAAATGTAAGTTATATTAAATGCTTTAGTAATTACTATAAAACTTTTTATGAACTTTATTTGTTTAATAATTAATTTGTTAAGCTTTTTTCAAAATCTTTGGGTAAGCCCCTTTTATGAAAATTTTGTATTTCTTTAGATAGAGTCTTGAAGGGTTTGCAATTTAAATTCAGAACCAATGCTTGCTAAAAAAATGATAATTAAGTGTGTTTTTTAAAGTTTTTTTTAGAGTGGGAGGATGTTGAAAAGTTGTTTGAGCAACGAAAATCATTTTAAAAGAGTAATAATCTTGTTGGTAAATATGAAATAAAATCTTAAAATTTTTTTTACCTCTTTTATTTTACTTCGGGGTGGAAGAGGTATTGGAGTGAGAGAAATATCAGCTTCATGCATTTTCACTTCATACAACACAGATCTAATAAAAACATATATAATAAAAATAAACATAAACATAAAACATTAAATAAATTATATTATATTTTATATGTAAATAAATTACACAGAAATTTTAAATGTTCATGAGATTCATTATAAAACAATAGTCACAAAAATAAAATAAATATAATTGTAGTAAAAACTTCAAGAAATTGAAGCATGATAATTCATTTCATGAAGTATGGAACTTATACAATATCAGCATTATAAACTGAATATATACATTCTTAAATCAATTTGAGTATTCACTCCAAAAAAACAAAAGATTCATAATAGTTGAAAATAAAAATAATTGCTTTAAAAAATTAAATAAAGACAAATAAAAAGGTTGAAAAATTATAAATCAGAAATTATTCAGATGTATCCTGATTCACATTTTTAAATCATGGTTTTAATACAAATATGTAATAGCCATAGTGAGTAGATATAAAAATAAAAATTAGTAATTTTTTTATCAAAAAATTAAAAGAAATAAAAATATATATTTATTACCTCAGATCTGAACTGAAGCTGAAAAGAAAAAAATAATCAGGTTGTAATACATAAAAACAAAATGCATGCGTACATATTTTGACATGTGCATATAACATATTAAAATTAAGTAATATATATGCATATCTCAACTAGCATCAAAGAATATTTAAAGTGGTATTCAAATTAAAATTTAAGATTCCAAATTGATTTGTTTAGTTTTTCACGCATTTAAAATCTTTTCTACAAAACTAATATAATTAAGTTATTTCTAAATAGTGGTGAACAAAATCATTCTGAATTTAATGACTAATAAAATGTTAAATAATAAAGTTTACTGCTTTTCTTAATATTCAAATAGAAATGTTCTAAATGTTGGTATACGTTTTAAAAATCTATAATAATAAAAAGAAGAGTTTGTGTGTCCCTATTTAAACTCTAGAACTAGTTACACTAGCATCCTGAAATTTGGAAAAAGGAGCCAATTTAATCCCGATCCTAAGATGAGCTAAAAATTTTAATTAGATCCTTCATCAGAGACATTTAAAAAATGGAATTTGCTCATTGGTTTAGAACTAGCACTATTGATATTACTAAAACTGCAAAAGGCATTAAAAATTGAAAAAACTTAAAGTTAGAAAACCTTTTGGAATTTCCAGGCTGCCCTTGATATTCAAAATCCATTGAAATTTCGGAATCTTCATAATCTTTATTATTATCTTCATCATACACCATTATAAGCTACAAAATTTATGATACATTTAATCACATAAATATGCAAATAATGCAAAACAGTTTAATAAAGCAATAAAATACATTCATCATTTAAAATTAATATTTTTATTGCTCAAATATCATTTCCTAGAAACCCATTTCTGTTTTGTAATAATTAATATTTTTACAAAAAATTATGCTATATTAAGTGTAAAATTGGTAAATTTTTGAGATTGTTTTGTTTTAATTCCCCACATAATAAAATTTTAAAAAATTCCAAATACATAGATATCATACTAAATTATTCAGTGTATCCAGTTTAAAAAATAAGTATAAATACAGCAATTGCTTTTTTTCACCAGATATGAGTGTTTAATTATTTTAATAATAATAATAAAAAAAAACTTAACATACATTTTATGCACTTGTTTATATTTAGACACAAGAGAATGAAAATAGTAATATGGTCATCATGATGGTAGTTGTTATTTGAGGTAGCATCATCGTAGTATCAAGCATATTATGGCTGCTTCAAATACATTTTAATTTTTACATGAAGGAGAAATATTTATCTCCAAAAAAAATCGTTTCGGAAAAATTTATTTATTACGTGAATCTTATTATAATGAACATGGCCACAATCCAAAACTATAAAATAAAGAAATGAATCAAGAGAATCATTCTTGTTCTCTCATTAAGAAAAATCGTTAATTAGAGCTCAGGCTGAGGGCCTAAGCCCCCAGTCCTTATGCCAAGAATTAAAAATTTAAAGTATGTGAATTGTTCCCAACAGACAATTAGAAGAATGGGAAGAGATCTATGGTTGGCAATTTATCAAAAGATAAAATAGCCAAAAACAAAGCCAACCTCCTCTATTCAATATTAAACTTGAAAAAAATTTGGCTATGGCTAATTGTCAAAGGACTGTAAGAATAAGTACAACCATGTAACTGGAACATTTTTCTGGTAAGAAAGAAAGAATAAAGAGTTATAAATAGATTTTGTTTTCAATTTAGTCGTGACAGTGAAATAATAACTTTTACATTTATGAGTCATCCTCACAAAATATGACAATTTACAGTCTCTTGCTTCAAGATCTAATACTATACTACTAAAAGAACTTTTTTTTTAAATTGTAATAAATAACATTGCTGTTAGTATTTTAAAATGACCTTGTACTAGCATTGACTGTTTTATATATTTAAAATTTTTTATTGAATTTCAAAATGTTATTTTCCTGGTACGTCACAAACAATATTTTCAATAATAACTAGCTTCAAAACTTCCCATAAATTTTTCTGTATCTAATTTTTTTTAATCTCCACCGTTGTAAGCATTTCTAGAATACTATATGCAGAGGGTATTATTTACAAAAACTTTGCTGAAAATAATTTTTTCTGTCAATAATTTGCTTGTCACAAGAAAATCTGCCATTTTCCCGACTACTTTTATTTAGTGATAAATAACCAAAATAGATAGCGCCAGCAATCAATATCTTATGTTAATAGATTGATTAGAATACCATCCTATCTGAACATGTCTTATTGCATGAATTAAGAACCAACTTTCTGGTTCAAAACCTATTTCAAAAATTTTTTCACGGTGAGTAGGTTCTTATGTTGTCATTTTCCTGTCTTCTTGAAATCATTAATAACATAAATTACATGGATTTACCTGAGTTATTTCAAGAAATCCTGTTGTTTTCTGCAGAGTGTAAACATCATAGGCCGAAATGTTAAATTAAAGTAAAGTTAAATGCTATATAATGACAAATTGTCTTTATCCTGGCTTATGAATGCCAAGACATAGAAACAGTTACCAGAAATTTTTCTAAACAGTTGAATGTAAAGAGAGAAAGCAAATATTAACCTAATACCAAGTTTTTGTAAGATTGTAATATGCTTGAATGTAATCTAAGTTATTATTATTTTTTTATTTAATGATTGATTATTATACACAATTTTACTCTGTACATATCAGTAACAAAAAAATTTTTGATTCTTCCTACAGTGGATAAAAGAATTAATTTAAGCAATTCATGGTCCATCTAACGCATAGGCTCAAGTTGAGTTACTTACTATTAGCTTAAAATGACTTTTTTTTTTAACTTCTAGGCTAATATGTCATTTTCCTGGCATTCAAAATTTGGTGAATTTCTATTTTATTTTTTTTTTTTGAGCAAATGTCAATAAACTACACTGCTGTCTGTAAGATATTAATAAATGTAAATAAATATACAAAAAAAATTTAGACTATTTTGAAGACTTTAAATTTGAAGAAATGTCTTGTTCTGAATTGTCATGTTTCCAAAGAATTATACCCTTGTATTGAAATAAAAAGTTAGCCATTACATTGATTGCTAAGAAAACAATAAAATAGTTATATTAACTTTCATTTATATTAACTTTATACTAAAAAAAATTAATTTAAGAAATTAATTAATTTTTGAAGCTAAGAAATATGCAATGCCTATTATGGCATCAAAGCCATACATTTTAATTTTATATTTTTCACTAAAACCTGTAATTTACTACACTATTTCTAAGACTTTAGGATTTTAAAAAGCACTTACAGATGGTAATCTATTATTTAGAATTTCAGTAGCCGTCGGTCGCATGTCTGGATCTCGTTGAAGAAGATCCCGAATCAGCTGTTTGAATCCTGGTGAGTAATTGCCTCGAACTGGAGCAAACTGACCCTGAAACAGAACATCATTTAACTGTTGAAACCAAAGAAAATACTGCCCTGCTTGCAATTACTTTAAACTGTAAAATTGGTTAATTATTTTTATCAAATTTACCCTTAGAAATTCATTCAACATTAAAACTGGTAACAAAACACTAAAAAAGTAATAGATTTTGGCAACATGCATTATATAAATACAGTGGTCGGAAAAACTACATTATTTTTGTAGTTTACTACAACTACTTTTCTTAAAAATGTAGTGACTACAAACAACTTTGAAATTGTAGTAACTACTTCCCTACTTTAAGGAGACGAACTTCGCTGAAGAACTTAATATACACGTACTTTCAAAATGGTTTTGAATAAGACATTGGCTTACATTAAATATAAGGGAATAATTAAGAAATATTTATTCATTTTTACAAGAGCAAGATTGTTTTTCCAAAATATTTTTTTAAAATTTGTTCATTTAACCTTCAACTTTTTATACAATTTTCGACAGCTACATTTAATTTAAGAAATACGAAATTATCAAATAATTGCATCTCTTCAATTGCTTAATGCTCTTTTATTTCCTCTTAGAAATTAAGAGGTACAGTGAAAATAAGTTCTATTTCTCTGAAACAACATCAATGTTTCACGAGTGTGCATTCGCACATGAAAGTGTCACCAAAGTGATTAATCATCTATTTTTCGCAATGGCTAGTTTAAATATTAGATATACTTAATTTTTGTTAAATTAAATTTTTAAATACGTAATTTCTGTTAAATATCTGCACCCATCAAATTTGAAAAATTAAATACGTTAGAACCATGCTTCTTTTCTCAACTAACGTAAAAAGTATTTTAGTTGCTAGGAATCGCTACAAACTACTGTTTCATTGTATCGCACTACTCTACTTTTTTAAAAGAAGTAGCACATTACACTACAAACTATGAAAAAATGTAGCGACTACAGTAATTTTTCTACTTGTAGCACGCTNGAAATATTTATTCATGTTTACAAAAGCAAGATCGTTTTTCCAAAATATTTTTTTAAAATTTGTTCATTTAACCTTCAACTTTTTATACATTTTTCGACAGTGAATATTTAATTTGTGAAATTCAAAATTATTAAATAATTGCATCTTTTCAATTGCTAAATGCTCTTTTATTTCCTCTTAGAAATTAAGTACATTGAAAATACTTTCTGTTTCTTTGAAACAACATCAATGTTTCACGAGTATGCATTCGCACATGAAAGTGTGACCAAAGTGATTAATTATCTATTTTTTGTAATGGTTAGTTTAAATATTAGTTTTACTTAATTTCTGTTAAATTTAATTTTTAAATACGTAATTTCTGTTAAAGATCTGCACCCATCAAATTTGAAAAATTAAATACGTTAGAACCATGCTTCTTTTCTCAACTAACGTAAAAAGTATTTTAGTTGCTAGGAATCGCTACAAACTACTGTTTCATTGTATCGCACTACTCTACTTTTTTAAAAGAAGTAGCACATTACACTACAAACTATGAAAAAATGTAGCGACTACAGTAATTTTTCTACTTGTAGTACGCTACTTCTGACCACTGTAACTGAATGTACACCTCCCTTTGACCATTGTAACTTGAATGCAAGTAACTTTTGAAGATGGCATTGACTTGGCAAAACTAGCAAATGTCTATTTCACAAATGTTAATCTTTGAACAGGCAGACATGATTATATGGGCATAATATAAATGATAAAGTATTTTTTTAATTTAATTTTTTACGGTACAAAACTGCAACATTGAAACATAAATAGAGTATTTAAAAAACAAAAATAAACCTTAAAAAATTAACCCAACTATCCATGAGAAAATATTACAACGCCAAATAATTTATTAAGCCATGTAAATAAGAAAAAAAGCTATAACACAAAATATTTTAAAATAATACCTTTACAATTTTGTTTACAAGAGCAGGAAGATTAGAGCCTTCAAACGTTTTTTGTTGGCAAGCCATTTCATACAAAATACAACCAAGTGCCCAGATGTCAGATTTTTGATTGTAAAATTTACCCTCACACTAAAAAAAAGAACATTTTCAGAAGTTAAATGAAACAATATACAGTAAAATGTAACAATAGTAAAAGAATTTAAAAATAATATTCATTCACCTCACAGTAAAAAAAGAACATTTTTAGAAGTTAAGTTAAACAATATACAGTAAAATGTAACTATAAAAAGAACAACAGTAACAGAATTTAAAAATAATGTTTATTTACCATTTCAGGACTGATGTAGTATGGTGTTCCTACAACAGTCATGGCACCTCCCTGCTTTGTTGTCAGCATTTTTGATATTCCAAAATCACCAACCTTAACAGCACCATCTTTGGTCAAAAATATGTTAGCAGTTTTGAGATCTCTATTAATGAAATTGTATTTATTAACATTTGTGAATTAATACCCATTTAATTTGTAACAGTTATCAAAATATCTTCGCCAATATGAGGTATGGTTAAACAATTAATGATGCTTTAAATCAATTCAGAAGTGGAGAGTCTAGATTTGATATCATATAATCAGTGTATGCCTGGAATAATATGTGTGGTTGCATAGGCAAATTGAATAATCTAGCTCTTTGCAAACATCTGCCATCATTTTGCAATGCGCTAACTTAATTGAAAAAGATTCCGGTATTTTCTAATCAGCTTGACATTTTCTAGGCTCATTGTAGTGAATACATTCATTAGAAAATGTATCATTCATTGCTGAATAATTTCAGGTAATTTGTAGTAAGCACATTTAGTTGTATATTATAATTTATTTTTATATTAATAATTTAAAGTTAATTTCTTATCATTCAAAATAATACAAGAAACACACATAGATTAACAAAACATGACTGCTTGGAAGGAAAAAAAATTTAAATTAACTGCATAAATTCAAAATGAACACACAGCAGCAATCATATTATACAGCAAGATGGATTCTTTTTATATGCTATATTTTGTCTCATAAATGTTAAACTAAAATATAGAAAAACAAAGCTAAACCAAAATACTTACCTGTGCAATATATTGTGATCGTGCATATGTTTTATGGCAGATACTATTTGTTTAAAAAACAGAAGAATATCTTTTTCATCAAGCGATGTTTTCATTTGAGCCAAATATTGAGCAAGATTTCTAAAAGAATTAAAACATCAAGTAAAGATTTAAAGACTAGTATCAATTAAAATTTTCATTTTACCCACTTAAAAAAGATATTATAATAAGAGATTTTATAAAATAAATACTGTGTTAATTTTTTTCCCCAACAATGGTGCTTGGCATCGTGTTGTCAATAAATTCTCTAAATTGTTCAGCAATTTCTAAAAGGCTAACATGCACATCCTTACTAAACCAAGAGAGCATTTGCTAAGCCCAAAAACATGCATTCACCAGCTGTTTTTGTAAAACAACTAGCTTTGCAATTCTATTCAAAAATTGTAAATAGAAAAAAAAACCTATGCTAACTTGGCTGAATGCAAAATGCTCAGTTGGTCAAAATAATCTTCAAAAAGAGAAGCTTCTGGGTATTTTATATGTCTTTCAGTAGAAAACAAATTAAAAATGTAAAATAAATATCTGCAATGGCTCAGTAGAAAAAACATTTAACTGTCATAGTGAAGAGCTGGGGTTCACCCCCCAGTGTTACGCTCAAAATGTGTGTTTAAGTAATTGAACAAAGCAAAAAACATGTGTTTAAGAAATTAGACACAGCTCAAAATGTGTGTTTAAGAAAAAGGACATACTAATTGATTCCATTTCAAACTTCTCTAACGAAAATTGCACTTAATACATTTTTTTAAATTAGTCTTTTTTGGTATTTAAAAACAACAGTTCTTTCTGCAAGGTTTTCAAAGATCCTATAAATTATTATTTGTGATATTAAATTGATCTTTTACAAATTAAAATTTTTTGTAAAACCACTATGTTGCCTAGTGCCCCAATTATGAAAAAAATGCCATAAAAGTTACAGAAGTGATTGTGCTAAGTAAGGAAAAGTAAATAATAAATTCTTATTTAGTTTTTAAATTGAACATTGAAAAGGTGCATCTTTTGTTGTGTCCATTTTTTTAACAATGAATTCTAAACAATGTTTATTTTCTTAATCACGCATTTTGATCTAACTTTCGATTAATTGAAAATTAAAATATGATCTATTTTACAATTTATAACCGTCGTTGAACAACCGATCCAATTTTATGGGTTTACGACTTAGATAACTAAGACTAGATATTACGACTAGATATTCAACTCCATAGCCTTGTAATTTTAAACCCAATCCAGAAAACAAGGAAACTCCTGGATCGAGTATTGGGAGAAATTTACTTTCGTGGAGGACTTTTTGAAGGAGCTAACCCGCATTTGTGTTACATGGATAGGAAGACCACGAGAACCTCCCACGGTTAGGCTGACGGCCAGGGAATTCCAACCCATGATCTGTCTACCACAGAGGATATTTCACGCCAGCACTGTGGTCGGTGCAAGCCGGATGCGGATTCGTATCGACCAGCCATTGGTGGGATTCGAACCTCAGTTCACTCTGTTGTAAGGCAAATGCTCTATCCCCTGAGCCATCACGGCTCTAAAAATATGATCTATTGTAATAATATGTGGGAATACCTTTATAACATACTTGAAGGTTAAAATGTTTATTAGAAAAAAATAGTTATCTGTAATAATTAGCATTTTTGAAGTTACCAAGATATAATACAACATTTTTTCTACAATGAGGTTTTTATGTCCCCTCTCCCTTATACCTACCCTCCATCAGCATATTCCATTTCTATCATTAATAATCCGTCTTCTTCAAAGCTGTCATAATAACTCACTATGTTTTCATGATTTAGCATAGATAACACACTGACCTTAAAAAAGATAAAAACAATCTTAATAATCTTGAAACTTAAATTATTATAGAATAAAACATTTTTTACAGGATGCGGCTACCTTTTCCTTCCCATATTTTGAGGGTCAGGAATACAAATACGTTGCAAAAATAGTATATTTATACAGAGAAATTACGCTTCTGTGTTTAAATTTGGAACTTAAAATATCATCTACATTTATCACTCAGCACGATTGAGGTCCCTCTTATGAACCAGTAAGTCTGAGTCTAGTACATGAAAATCTGATCAGTAGATTAAAAGTTATTCAGGTGCTCCTTTTTTTCTGTCAAAATGCAGCCTTCTTCATTCAGGATAAATCTTTAAAGTGTTTTCCACTCAAATTACAAATAAATTCTTAGTTTTACCGTGTTCCTGATACTGCCTAAGTAATATTAAATTAAGATCATGCAATAAAAATGCACATAACTTAAAAGCAGACAAGAACAAATAGAAAGGATAGTTTATATAAAGCTTAAAAGATTGAGCATATATATATATATATATATATACAGTCGAACCCCGCTATAGTGAACCGTCTGCGGACTCAGTAATGTGTCCACTATAACCGATGGTTCACTATATCCAAATTTTTTGAAGAATATTTTTTGCATAAGACAGTTGAATGATTGAAAATTGGCTTTGCAATTTTGCATAAGTTATTTAAAAAATTATTAACTAATTAACAGATAATAAAGCAAAAATTGATGGAAAAAGTAATTACGTCGCTAAATATCAGTTTTATTTTAACTTTTTATGAAAAAAATTTGTGATTTTTGATTGAACTCAATTTGATTTTAAATTGAGTTCATCAATTTTCTTATCTACAATGTGCAAAGAATGAAAGATTTTTACATTTTGAACAAGATTTCGAACCATCTTAACAAAGCATCTTCTACGTTTTCTCTTTCAGCTCCACGCAGTTTTTTCGATGAAACCATGTTTTTGTGGTATGCCGCAAGAATTGCACTTCGATTTTTCCAAATGTTTGAAACTGTAGATTTTGACAAGGAAAATTCCTTACACAGTNTATGCAATGGTAAGAGGAATGCATTTTAAATTAAAAATATGATTTGGAAAAACAATGAATGAAACGAAAATTTAAAAGAAGTGCAAATAGCTGCTTTAATGTTAAAAAAATGCTGTTGGATAATTTAATAACCAATATTGAGCAGTCAAAGAATTTTTTGGTTTACAACTTTCAACTCCACTACCATGTAATTTTGAACCAAGCATTGTGTGAAACCAGCCTTTGTTGCTGATTTTTGAGGGAACTAAACCGCATTAAAGTTACAAGGAGAGGAAATCCATGGGAGCTTCATATGGTTAGCTCGATTGCAAGGGGATCTTGAATCAAAAAGAGATTCTAAGTCAAACCACTGAAGATATTTTACTTCGGCACTATGATCTGTGCAAGCTGGGAGCAGAACTCATATTGATCAGCCACTCCTGTGATTCAAACCTGCCTCCCTCATTAGGAGGCATCCCTCTGACTTGCCATTGGTTAATAAAATAAACCCGTCCTTTGAAAAAAACCGCCATCAATTTATAATGTACCAGGATAATTATAAAAGTCTTGAGTATTTTCTAATCAGCTCAATACATTTAGGTTTACAGGAGTAAGCACACCTACCATTAGTTTAATTAAAGAGAAACCGTTTGAAATAGGCCCAAATTATTGAAGTCTTACAGTAACAGCCGTGTTATAGGTTTTTAAGAATAAGCCTAAGCAAATTCTAAGTGATTGAATTATTCTTCACTCATTACCTAATTACCTTAAAAGCACATAGACTAATCGTAAGGAGCCTAAAGTATATTAGCTAGAGTAGAAAGTACAAATACTTTTCCCCTAGCATGGTACAAAATGCCAGTGAATTTTGAAAAGAATAACATTTCAATTAGTCAATGACAGATATACATTATCATCAGTCTCAGAAAAAAAAATATGTCTATAAAAAATTACCAGTTATAACATTTAAACAGCTGTAGTTCCTAAATTTTTAATTTAGTTTTAAACAAATGCTCCTCAGCATAAAATAGATTTCAACCATAGAAGAACAACAATTTAAGTATTTTTTTAAATTATCAGAAGTGAATAAAGTGAAATATCTTAAAGAAAAATTCTAAAAGCAAGAGTCAGCAGTCAATAATGGACATCAAATTGAACATTTCTAAAAACAATTAAAAGCAATTAAGACAAAAATGTTACATCAAATACTAAAAGAAAAATAGTGCTTACACAAAAACAAAGGGAAGGTTGGGTGCAAAACACAAGACATTGATGAAATGCAGTAAAAAAAATTAAAAAAAATTAAGAAGCTTCCTTTAGACTCTCTTATAAGTGAATCTAAAAAAAATAAAACACAACAATTAAACATTTATTAAAAATGAATTGATGAAATGAATTATATTTAAGTATTTTTTATCAATAATTAATTAGATAAATATGAATTTATTTTTAAATTTAAAGTTTCCTAGAATGTTTTAAGTTGTTGTTATATTGAGTGTTGAATGGATTAAGACTTTTCTTAATGAAAATAGATGAAATTGGTAAAGGCATACTTAATATTACAAACACTAAACAAATACACATGTATGCACCCAATAGCAGAATTTACTAAGCCAATCTGCAGCTTTAACCATTTTTTTCTTCATACAAAATTTAATCACACTTTCAAGTGCTTGATTCAATCTCAATGACTTAATCATCTCTTTTATTGTTTAATTTGTTAATTACTATGTGTGTAACCCATTTTTAATATAGTTGAAACAAACTGTAATTCGAATAGATGATTTTTTTAAAATCTGTTATTTGTTCAACATAAATATTTTATTATTAATAACTGAATATATTTCATATCCATAACAAAAATGTATGTGTTTGGAATTGTGTAGTATGTACTACGAAAATAGTTTAATTTTCTCATTTTACTAATTTTCCTGCTTAAAATTCAGATTTTTGTTATTAATTATTGAGAGTATTTTATTCTCCATTAAACGAATTTAAATTGTACATTTCTCTTCTATTCATTTTATTATTATTATTATTACTATTGCTCCTCTTAAGATAATGCAGTACTTAAACCTTTCTCGATTTTCACTGAAAATGCAAATCTTTTCATCTGGAGGAAGAAAAAAAAATTATAAAGGGTACGAATCAGTCAACAAACTTCCATTTTCTCTCTTTCTAAATTTGCTTGCCGATACTTTCCCATTTTTTAATGCAACTCCCTTTTTGTTCTGAAACTAGGATAAGATTTACATTTTCTCACCATCTTTGAACGATTTAAAAATGTAACATCTAGTTTTTCTGACAAAAACAAACTGTATTTTGTGTTCCACTAATCCTTGTTAAAAATTCTTTGACAAGCAAATCTGCTCTCTATCCTCAAAAAAGGAAACATATAGATAGCTTTTTTTTTCTTTTTGACGCAGCAACTATCTTATTACAAATTTTTCATTCACCAAACAAATGTTTCTCTCGCTTAATTTTGTATTAATTTAGCATTTTTCAAATTTTTCAATACACTTTTAAGGGTCTTGTGTGAGGCTCTTCCATTTTCTAACTATTGGTTAATGTGTAGGTGAATTCGCTGTGAGTTTGTTTTCTATTTGCTGAAATATCAGCCAATTGTTGTTTTAAAAATGCTGCACGACCCAAGAGGAGTATTGTTAGACAGATTTTAAACAAAGTTAGTTTTTCTTAAGTAGGCCAAATTTTTTTTTCTTTTTTTTCTGACTGGTGAAGGTGATTTGTTTACGAGTGTTCGCTCTAGAGTTGATTTTAAGTTCGAGATTATGCTCTTATTATAAATAAAAAATATACTTGTGTGATTATACTTGCTATTTGAAAAGGAGTGTTTTAGGGAGGGAGAGAAACGTTGCATTCAAGTATAGTAGTGATGTTTAAGTAAACTAGTTGTTATTCATTACAAACTGATGTTTTTCTTATATCTCGGCCTAGTCATGCCCGCCATGGATACAGAATCACTAGAATACTAACACCAGTGAGAAGACCTGATTATTTTCCATTAAATAGAAAGAGCATAAGAATAATAATGTAAATTTAATTTAATTTAAATTTTTATAAGACTGCAGTTTACTTATTCAAAATTTTGATCTAACTTTTGCTTTCTTCCTTTTTGACCCAATGGACCTTTTAAGTATTTTTGGGTTATCCACTATGTACTTCTCTCTATTATTCCCTTTCAGCATTAAGCTTTTATCTTATCAAATTATATTTTTTTTGGTTGCTTAATTGTCTTTTTTTAAATATGTGTTTTGATTTTTGCCTATTTAAAGTTTCTCTAAATTTATTACCATAGCATCACACGTATTTTGCAGATAAATAAAATTATTAAGGGGACCAGAAAGTAACGTCGCTTCTGTGCATTTGATATTTGTTATCAAGATTTTATTTTTAATCATTAATGTATTCACCCTCGTTAGCAACAACCCTTTCAATGCTGTATTGAAAATGAATCGAAAAAAACAAATTGGTCTTTAAGACTAACGAATATTTAATGCGCCGAAACTACATTACTTGCCGGTCTCTCTGATATTATCAGAAAATTGAACATCGGGTCTCTTTTTTCTCTGTATCAAATTTTTAAAAAACGAAAACTATTCCCTAAATGAAGATAGGAAAGTCTTTTATTCCTCATTTAATCATTAATCGTAACTTCTCATGGGATTTTTTCTGCTTTTTCTTCATAGTTGTGGTTTTTCAAAAATAAAAAAAACAACTGAGGTAGAAAAAATATGATACAATTTTACTATAGGTTGCATACATATTATGAATGAACACATATATATGCATACTTACCTCATTAATAGCTAGCTGTCTTTCACTCGCAGTCAAGTCATGCATGTTTATTTCCTTTACAATGACTAATGAGTCATCATACTTCTTACGATATAAGACGGCAGTCCCAAAAGCACCTTTAGTTTTTTTTTAAAAAAACATAAATTATAAATTTTAAAAACTTATAAGAAATTAAACATGACATTTAACAGCAGCAAACTCGAGAGCAGTTGGACATACTAGATTATTCAAATCTAATATCAAGTAATTCATTTGTATTTTATTTCATTTATATTTTATTACACTTATTTTTTACATCTAATTTAATTACAGTAGATGTACAGTGCGGAAAAAACAGGAACATTCTAAATAACTTTTGTTCAATTTTCATGTACAAAAAATTTTTCTTAATAGTTTGAGGGCCTATTTTAAATTATAAAATCACTCCCAAAAACATATTTTCTTTGCATAAACATACCTTTTTTTCGACAGATTCAGATTGCCCCAAAATATGGGGTAGCTACAGACTGGAAAATACTGTCCCAATATTTTGATCAGGAAAGCAGTCGAAAGCTTGGATCCTTTAATGTTAATCTCACTTTTTGCATATTTCGGCAATTCTCAAGAACTTTTTAAACAAATCAAAAAATATGAAAACAATAATAAAATTCATTTCTTTCAAGGGTAATTTCAAGCAGAATATTATCTTTAATAATATTTTTTTTTAAATAGTCTAAAATATTTTGAATATTTCTGCATAATTTGAAAGAATATATCATTAATTAGGAAAATAGAAAATTTGAGAGCAATTTTTCAAATAGTTCTTAAGAAATTAAATTTTAAATAAATTACTTCTTTGCACACTATATAAGAATAAAATTTATCCATCCCTCACTCTCACAATGAGTCTGCAGAAGTGATTTTTTATTTTCACAATCTACATACTCTAAAACTACACTATATGAAAATACTGTTAACAAACATAACATGAGTTAAATCAAATTCATCTTATTTCTGGCTAAATAAAAGCTGCTGATCATATCTTTCACAAAAATATTATTCATACTTTAAAATTCAGTATACTTCGTGAAAATATATATCTAAAACATTTGTGTAAAATATGAAACAAATCATTTCAGCCATTTTTTAATGATCACAAAAAGAAATCATTTAAAAAAATTATAAAAAATATTGTGTAAAATATAAGTAGGTAAAAGGAAATTTCTAAAATGTGAGCATTCAACATTATAGAGAAAAATACGAGATTTATAATATTTGAATTGCTACCATAAAATTTGTTTTCAGATGCCAAGAAAGAAAATTACATGCGTAAATTTCTATTGTTAATTAGAATTATAGCTAAAACATTCCCTTTCAGACAAAAAGAGAGAGAGAGATTAAAAATGTATGCATTGATTTCTATCCATAATTTAGAGTTTCTATGTGAATACTCTATTTCAGACTAATATTTTGAAAAATTGTAGGCACAAATTTCAACTCGTAATTGGGAATTTCAACCTTTTTCAGTCAAAATGGAAGAAAAATCATTTGCAAAATTTCCATTCATATATTAACCTTCCTTTATTATTCCATTCTTTTTTCAGATAGAACAGAAGAAAATTTGTGTGCATCAATTTCTATTCATAATATTAAAACCTTTGTTCAAACATTCTTTCTCAGATGAAAAAAGGAGAAAATTTGCATGCATAAAATTCTAATCATAAAATTAAAATTTGTATCAAAATATTCTTTTTCAGACAAAATTGAAAAAAAAATGCATACTTAAGTTTTTATAATGCTTACAATATGAACAAAATCTATAAAAAATTGAGACAACATGCTAAATTATTGAAAAGATATTGTTTGAGTAAATTTAAGTAATATCTGTTTACTACCTACCTTTTCCAACAGTTCTTATTTTTTCATAACCTGATAAGTTTTGCATGTGAGTCGGCAAAGATGAGTTCAAAAGTTCCTCCAATTTTTCTTGATGAAAATATAGTTCACTGACAAGTCTTGAAGAAAAAGAAAGACAAAAATACATAGGTAAAAAAAACAAACTAGATCATTTTATTGTGTCCAGTTAATTACATAAAAAATAATTCCATAACTCTAAATTATGGACAAAAATAAAATATTTACGAAAGATATTAAAGAAAACAAAATCGAAATAAATGATCAGCTAATACAAATTGTTGGGAAAAAAAGTTATTGCACTTTTATGCATCATGTTATGGTTAACAATATGTTTCTAACCATAACTATTACTTTCATAGTTCTAACATTGCAGATTTATGTTGTTATTATAAAGAAAAAGAAACTTAAATCCTACTTACTTAGATTTTGCTTCACCATTTATAGTGCAATCAACTTGCACATTACATCTATTAACATCCTCAATAACCCCAACAGGTAACTATAAAATTAGAACAACAAATCAATATATATATATATATATTAAAGCTTAAAAGTAAATTATCAAAATAAAAAAAAAATTTAATGAACGTAAAGAGAAATTATTAAAATTAAAAAATGCATATACAACAAACTATCAAAATTTGAAAAAAATATTAACAATAAGAAACTTAACTTAACTTAATAAGAAACTATTAAGATGAGAATATATACACTGCTTAACAATTGCTAAGAAACAACTGATATATGCAAAGTAGTATTCCTGACAGCGGACCAATAACAGTAAAATCAAGTGTAGAGGGCGTGCACAGAATCTCTTCATTCAGTCGAAAATTCAGAATGTTAAATGTTTGACCAAAATAGCACCATATGTTATTGAACTTATTTTTGTGAAATTCAGTGTCGTGCTGCAATAATTAAGTGCAAAATGTTATCAAGATATCATTTGAGTTCTAACGATCATGGACAAGTAGTAAGAGGACTGGAAGAAGATCAAAATGTCACCACTGAGGTCGCAGTAAATGGGAGTGTAAAAAGTGTGATCTCGCAATGAAAAAAAAGACCGCTGAAGGTGTATATGATATGCGATATGCCAGTGGTTGTAGTAGGAACAACACATCTCAAGGGTAACTGTATGTATCCTCAGTAGTGAAAAGGAAAAGAAATGTCTTTCCTAGGCAGGTAGCTGCAGACCTCTAAACACTAATGGTACACATGTTTCTTCCAGAAGCATCTCACAGCAATAAAATCAAGTTGATTTGCATACATGGAAACCTGTTCAATACATCCCGCTCTAACCACGCCATCGTCGATGAAGATTACGTTGATGTAAGAAACGTATTGGCTTTGGTAACCAGTAAAGGTTCAGAGTGAAGTTCTCAGACAAATACCCTATGAAATGGCGAATACTTGACGAATCACTATAAAAAGTAATTCTGGCCACCAGTTGGTGTGAAGAGAGAAGGGAACACTTTGGGCCCAACAATTGGTCCATGAATATTATTGGTATGGCCCTGATGTGCTGTTATGGGCAGGCATCAGGCTATATGGCTGAACACTGCTTCACATCTTTGAGCGAGGTAGCGTTATATCTCAGTGGTATTGCAGAGTGATTATGTTCTATCATATTTGTCTTTTTAGGAGTGTGGTAGATCAGGACTTTCTGTTTATGGATGACAATGAGTGGCTATACAGGGGGTCTGAGGTTCAGACGCACTAGAAAGTAAAGATATTGACCGTATGCAAAGGCCTGTGTACTCTTCGGACCTAAATCCTATAGAGTATTCCTAAGGTTGCCTTTGGAAGATGTGTTTCGCAAAGAACACACCCTTTTCAAACCATGCAAGATCGGAAAACTGCCTTGACAGAGGAGTGGGACAGTACCCCACAAATACTCTTTGATAGTTTAGTGCTCAGCGTAAATAACAGATGCAACATGTGCATTAGTATCCAAGGTAATCACATATCTTACTGAGATACTCATTTCTATTTCATTCTAGCAAGAAGAACTTTTTTTAATGGCACTTTGGAAATCATCTAATGGACATCTTTTTCATTTTTAATTTTATTATTTTTCGATATGTCAATATCTGAACTATTTTGCATAATAATAAATGCGTATTGTCTCAACTAAATATGTACTTAATTTCATTTCATCAATCAACATCTATTAATAATTATTCTGAATAATGTAACCATTCCTTGGCAATTGTCAAGCCATGTATAGATAAAAATGGAGTTTATAAAAAAATCATCAATTTAGTATTTCCAAAAACATTCAAGAAATGTAGGAAGCCCTGTGGCAGAATTTTTTCTGACTTTCTGCGACAAACCTAATTAGAACCAATATCTTTCTGCGAAATATTTTTATCTTTATAAATGTATGTGTAATGAATTTATAATAACAGATGAAATTCGTGTTTATAAAATAAGTCTACATGCATAGAATAAAACTGTGTAGATTTTTTTTCTTAATTTCATAATATAAGTTTACATTTCTTAATAAGTTTAAATTGTTTAAGTATAAATTTGCATAATCTTCGATAATAACGAAAAGTTATAAATGTATAGATCTGCAGACAAAAATGCTTAGCTTACTAGAGCATAAATAAAGATTACCCAGAACCTGTAATAAGATAGAACTTATAGAAATAGCTAAGAATGGACAAAAAGATTAAATTTATGAAACAAGATAACTGAATTTGAAGTATCAGTTTAAAACAGTATGATTTAATGTTTCACTATAGTAGTTATATCAGGTGCAGAAACAAATTAGGTGAAAAAATTAATATTGAAGTTGAGTAATCAAAATAATAAAATAGTATTGACTATAACCGAATTCTAAAAGCAAAAAAATTAAAGCAATGTTTGTTTCAATTTTTTCTATATCTAATTAATTTTATCTAATTAATTAGATTCGATTAATATTGTACTGACTTATTGAAAGATTTTTTTTTTAAAAAAAGGAGGTAAATAAAACTTTTTTCGTGATCAGATTAAGTTCAGAACGAAAAAAATACACAGCGCTTGTGATTTCGCACTGTATTGTGTAAATATATAGCACTGATTCCACACGAAGTATGCAGAAGCAGTTTCCGACTCAATATGCTCAAGTCTATTCAACATCTCGAAACGAAATAGTCTTTATCAGTACTGAAACATCGGTATTAGAGCCATATTCATTGGATGCGATTTTTTTCGCATGCGTATGGAAACCTGTTTGAAAGTGACCAGTAATTATTTTTCACCAATCTGGTTTTCATTCGAATGCTAAAAAATCGTAGATAGTGAGATATTATTTCATTTATCGTTAGATAGCATTTTTTTTTAATTTTTTTTTTTTATCGACGATTTAATTCAAAGCATATAGGCATTTTTACATGTTGTCGACTTCCATCATATTTCTTTTTCGGAATGCCGCCTTGATAAATCAGTTTTCAAATTTGTTTTAACTATTGTGGCTTCACAATTGCAACAAATAACCTTTTCGCTAGACATGCTTTTTTTAAAAAAAGAATCTTTTTACGCATGAAATTTTCCACATAAGTGCAAAAAATATAAAATGCTCTGTTCTCATAAAAAAACACAAAGCAAATTACTGCGCCAGCGATAGAGGCCGAAGTTGGCAAATTAAAAATAGCTTAATAAAGGAGAAAACAATTCTCCCCTTTTTATCCAGTAACTGTTTGTGTTGGAGATTAACGGAGAATTACGAGCGCTTTCTCCTTCCGCGGTACGTTAGAAAAAAAAAATATTTAAAACAATTCTGTAAGAAAAAAATTTTGCAGAACCATTATTGCTTCTGCAGAAATTTTTTGTTTCTGAAGAAAATGTTTTTTTTTTTGTTGGTAAAACAGCTTCTGTTTCTGCAGAATTTATTTTGAGAACTTTTGTTTGTGGCAAACCAAAAATTTTATTTCCCAAATAAAAAAAATCTTTCTGCAAGAACTCAGTCGCTTTCTGCGACAATGTCGCTGTGTCGCCGTGTTTCTGCCACGGGGGTAGGAAGTGTTTCTTACCTTTATAATACTTTGAAGTTCATCACTAAATTTAGATGCTTCATCTGGGGTAAGTGAAGAATTGAAAAAATCAATACGAGCCTTCTCTTTATTCATATCCATGAATGTCGATGATAAGCAAGTAAAAAAATCTCTTATTAATACATCTTGCACTAAAGACTGGTAGCATATAACCTAAAAAAATTTTTTAGCATAATATAATTAGAGAAAAAAAATAACTATGAATATTACATTAATGGCATTTTTTTTATTGCCCAAAATAATATTAAAGAAACTTAATTTTAAATATAATTAGGGAATTTTGGCATCTTATGTTATTAAAGGTAGACAGTTCAACTTCAATCATTTTTTTAACAAAAATAATATTTATATCAATAAAAAGTACAGAGCGCAAAATAAAAAATTTAACTGCCTGAATAATTTATGATCGATCGATTGGATTCTTACTAATTAAGATCTCATGATGGCCTTACCTTAAATATGCTCGATAATTAGAGCAGACAATATTTTAAGTTACAATATTGGTCCCAAAAACATATTTTCTATGAATGAACATACCTTTTTTTTTAATAGATTTGAATTCCTGAACCTCAAAATATGAGGAACAGTTGAAAATTTGAACTCCTTAATGTTAATTTCGTTTTTTGTACATTTTGCTATATTTCAAAAGCTTTTTGACAAATCAAAAAAATTTTGCACACAATTATACAATTTGTTTATCAAATTCCTCATAAAAAGTAATTTTTAATACATTAAAATAGATAGGTGAGTTATTTTCCAAAATGTTAAGAAAACATAATAATTAGAATTAATAGATATTATAATGATTAAATAATGATAATACATTCATACTTAATATATTCTCTTCAGTTGCAACATAACTGAATTAATAATTATAATAATTCATTGTTATATACTTGATCAAAAAATGACTGAAGATGTAGTTTAAGATTCTGCTGGATCTAGGCATGATCCATAATGTTTAATTTTTTTCAGATCTTTTAAAAAGAGACGAGTTTTACTAATTGAGAAGTGGCATATTAAGTATTGAAATAAAATTATAAAAGAACTCACGTTATATTTCTGTTAGTTGTGATCTTAATAACATAATTTATTTAAAGGCTATATGAAGACTGTTTAATATAATTTAAGAAATAATTCAAAATAAAAATCAAGTAAGCAAGTAAAACTTTGTTTGATAATTTTAAATAATTTATTAAACAAAATTACTATCTTTGATAAATTTAGATCCTTTCAAGAGACTTTCAGCCCAGAAAGGGTTATCTTTTTTGGAATTCAGAAACAATAAACATGAAATTTTGTTCCATTGAATACATGTTTAAAAAAAATTAAGTCCAAATACTTCCATAAAGAATAAGAAAAAATCAAAATAAATAACATATTCTCTTAACATTTGATTTAGATATAGATACTGATTAAAACTCAATGCTTTGGCAAAATATTAGGAGAGCAGCATACTTATCAAATTTAGACTCTAATTTCAAAAATAAAAGTGGAAAAAAAAAACATAAAAATGAAACCACCTAAGATCCTATCTACTCAATTAAATTTTAAATTATTTTTCATTTTTACAATTTAAAAAGTCATAAAATGCTTAATTTGTTATTTAAAAGTGTGTAAAAGTTAATATTTTTCTACAGACTTAGCATAAAATTGAAGGGGCACAAACACCCTTTGATTAGTTATTTAAGGGAGGGAAATAAACCTTGTTGTATGTTAAATTTACTTACATCTACATGTAACAGTGTTCTTCCTAAGTGCTTTCAGAAGGACGACCCTCCTTTACTGCCTTTTTGTAAAAATAAACAGCCATCCCTTAAAAACGCTGTGTCTTTCATTAAAAAATTAATTCACTGTTTAAATAGTAATTACACTGTGGTAAAATGACCTGCGTTTATAGGCTTAATTTTGATTATTACAAATATTTATTTTGTTAATATTATTCTCAACTGGTTATAAGTTTCTTTTTTTTTCGAGGGTATTTTATTTAATATTTAAGTGATTTTAAAACTATTTTTTAAATAAATACCTTTTTTTTATAAAAAAAATTACCTTTAAATGCTTATTTTCTCATAATTTTCTGTTTAAATTATAGAAAAAAGCTTTCAAACTATTTATCCATGAATATTTTTATTTTAGTTTACTTTTTGTGAAATAAAATTGTTGACATGATTGTCTTTTACCATGCTATTAATTATTTTTTATAAACTACAAAATTTTCTCTTATTTTGATAATGAGTGAGAATTACTTTTCTGAAATGCATACATAAAATAGTATAATATGGTAATTTTAAAAGTATAATATGGTAATTTTAAAAGTGTTGACGATCAAATTCAGTTATCACATAATATTACACATTTTGATATTTTTTTACGATGTTAAGTGCCTTTTCAATACTCATAAGTGCCTTTTTCAGTGAGAAAGTGTCCTGCCCTTTTTTATTTCCAGGGAGAACTCTGTTTTAATATACAATTGTGTGAATAAAAATTGATAAATATAACTTAATGTAACAGTCAATTTTTTCTGTTAATATCAGATGCGTAAAAAATTGAATAGTTACTCACACTGTTTCCTACTCCAGCTAGAAACAATTCTTTAGAAGTACCATGTAATAAAAAAGCCATACTTTGTACTTTTTTCCCACCTAATTCAGCAATAGTAAATGCTAAAAAAGAGAGAAGAAACGCAATAGAAAAAGTTAACAAATAAAATGTGCAAACCTATATATATTTTCATACAACAAGAATAAAGAAAAATCTTAGATATACGTGGAAATTACCGATTCAATTAAAAAAAGAAAAACAAACAATAAAAAAGATATAGAATAATTATTGTCTCTATCACATGTATCTTTAGAAAATATACCAAGAGCAATGTAGTCAAATCCATTTAAAATACACAAGCCCCATTAATATGTTAAAAAGACACTTAGACCATGGGAGAAGATTTTCATGGTAAATTACCTATGTTTCACCTCGTTTGGTACTTTAAAATTTAAAGTTTAGAGAAATTGAGTTCAGGTAAACTTAGAATAAACAATCAAGCTTCAAATGTCAGAAAAAATTTTTCTTCAAAATATCAAAATGAAAACCAAATAATGCATGCACCAATCCTGCCATATGTTTTTTTGTATTTTAATACTTAAAAAAAAATTTTTTTTTGTCAGTAGTTGAAACTTTATGGTTTACTCAGGATTATCTGAACTTACTTTTTCCATACTTTAAATTATTTATATAAGTGAAAAAGAATTCTCCATAAAGGGTTTCTCCCACAATATGGTACAGTACAGAACCTGTTATCCGGAAATCAGAAAACCGGAAAACCAAAAAACCAGAACGAAATTCGATAAATTTTCCCGCCATTTTTTAAAGAATTTTTTTTTTTCCTCATAGGATTTTAGGATTTTTCTTTCTTTTTTGAAAGATGTTTACCTTACCATCATTTTGGAAATAATCATTAGTGTATTACTTCATCGTTTTTTCTTCTTTTTAAGATTATTTCCAACTATTTTTGTTTTTTTAAGTTGGGTTTAACAATAAAAAAACGGCTTTTTGTAGCGATTCAGAAAACCGGAAAAATCAGTTATCCGGAATAGCGATGGTCCCGATCATTCCGGATAATCAGTGCCCTACTGTACATATATCCAATATAGTTCATATTTGGTGAGGAGGTTTGTCTGATCCCTTTGAAAGGTTTTGATGGTCTCTTCTTAGGGTTTCCTTCAACACTAGGTCTATAGAAAAAATTCTGCGCCTCTCATAAGTGGTCATAAATAGAGGAGGTTGCTACACAGAGTTAATCTCTCCCGGAGGTTTCACTTTACATTTAAATACATACAAGGTCACACTCAGGAGGGACGACAATTATTACCGGACCCAAGGAATGTAAAGGGTCTAGACGAAATCCCTTACAAAAAGCGTAGTGCCTTTTTTATTATATTAATTTTAAAAAAATTTAATGATATAAACAAATTAAATACATGATTAATGATGTATATTTTTAAGTAAGTTAAATAAATGATGATATAAACAAGTTAAAATTTCATTTTCAGTATAAATAAATATGTATGTAGAAGCCTCTTACAAAAAGTGTGGTGCTTTTTTTAAATTAATTTGATTTTTAGAAATTTAATGGTTTAAACAAATTGAATAAATGATTGAAGATATCTATTTATAAATAAGTTGAATGAATGATATAAACAAGTTGAAATTTAATTTTTAGCATAAATAAGCACTTAAGTAGAAGCTAAAATAATTTAGCATATTTTTTAATGTAGATATCCTGAGAACCAAAATTTAAATTATTGCTTTTAATAAAAACCTTTCCAAATTTCTGACAAAATATGAAAATAAGACTTTTAGCGTTTCGAACAAGGAGACCCCAAAAATTTTTGTCCTGATGATCAAAAAACCGTGTGTGAAGCCTTGGGCATTGTAAGAAATGATTTAGAATTGATAATATTGGGCATATTATTCAAATGTTGACACTAAATTTTCTAAATAAATAGAATATACATACATTCTAAATAGATATACAATGGCATTCTTAACATTTAGGAACAAAATTTCACATAGAATTATAATGTCTCTCCATCTTTCCCATATTTAAATCAACTGAGATACTTCCATATTGATATCTGACCGCGACTTACTATCTTCCTCAATTCACCAAAAGATTTGCAAAAAATCTTTTAAAAAGTATGTTGTGGCTTTCTTGGGGGTGGCTAAAATACAAAATAATTTATGTTTTTTTAAAAAAAATAATAATTTATGAACAATCTTTTCAGACTTATTGAACAAATGAATAAATAAAGAAAATTGAAATAATCATTGTGAATTTGGTGAGATATATACTGTTATTTTATTTTTTTTACAGTAAAATTATGCTATACAATTTTTTACGATTTTACATGCAAAATCATTTACAATGAAAGAGAAGTAAAATTTTTACGCACATAGTATGTCATCCAGTGAACTATTTTCATAGGTATAAATTACTTTTTTAACATTTCTACGCACGCTTTTGGAAAAATATTGAACATGTTGACTTGCACTAGATAAAAACAGCAATCTTAAATCAAATTCAGAATTCATTTAAAATTTAAAAATACAACCACAATCAAAAACTTAAAATTTAGCAAAAAAAAAATTCCCACAAAAACGACGACCCGATTTTACTAAAATTTTTCTGAATAAAATATTTAAGACGAAATTAAATTTGCTTATCACAATTTGTTTACACTCTACCATGACAACAAACAGGATAAACAAAAAGACATTTATCAAAATTCCCGCAAGCATGAAAAAATCCCTATGTTTTTCTTCAATCCTTCCCTACCAAGTCGATTGCCGTCACTCGTGACCTCTAAATCTTGTCAACTCAAGCGCAGGACTTGGCACAATTTTTTCTCTTTAAAAGATTTTTTAACAAAGATATGTTATTTTATTAACATAAAAAATAAAAATTTTGAAGGATAAGGGAATTTTTTTAGGAATATTTGAAAATTAAAAAAAAAGGCAAACAAAAACAATGCAGAACACTTTTTAAATGGCAACCACAATTTTAAAAATGCACTTTTACTTTGCTTTTCTCATGTTGTTTATGTTTTGTGAGTGATTCTCATTCTTGTCATAATAAAAGGACTCCTTTACCTTCTATTTATGGGTATGAACGATATAAAATTATTAATTCTCATACATATTTATGAGTATTAAGGGTAATATTTTAGATAAACGTTTAGTATGAATGCTACATGTTAATGTAACAGCGATTATACCTAAACCACACTCCACATGTTCAATTGTTTATTGTCTGAAGTATCAATAAATGGTGTCTCAACTTTAACGCTAATAAATTTATTACTTTATGTTCTATAAAATAAATTGTTAAATGCCGATGGGTATCTTAAGATAGTTGGTGAAAAATGTGTCATAATAGTGTCACTTTAAGTGCCATTAAGAAATACAATTAAGCCACCTTTCAATAGGTGTTTTATGCTAAGATGTGAAGAAAAAAAATCTGATCATGCATAATTAGTTATTACATATAATCTAAGGGATTGATTTAATATTTTTATTAAAAAATTTGACCATCACATTTAAAGTTTTCCAGTCAAGCAACTGAGTATGAACAGTAACATTTCTTAATTACAAGAGTAACTTTATTAATCACTATTGTCTGTTTATTGCTGTTTTTTTTTATATTTGAAAAGGGTTACACATTTCAACCACTAAAATGTATCTGAAATTTAGTTTTAAGTCTTGTTGTATCATCAATGTGATATTGTTATAATCCTGGCATTAGTCCTTGAGTCTTCTGTGTATGACAACTTACTTTATTTTCATACTGATTAGAAATTTGGGAAAACTAAAGCTTTATGCTTTGTTAAGACCAACATAATTTGTCAATTGTAAATTATTGATACGTTAAAATTTTTTTCTTTTTATAATTATAAGTTTTTAAGAACTGTTCAAGATACTTGAAGGTTGTGATAGTCTTTTTGTGATTAAATTTTTGTCCTGTTTAAAATTTTGGTACTTTTATGTTAGCCGTGTCCAAACATATTTAACTTTTTGAGGATATTTGCCTGTCAATGTTACTCTAACTATCATTCATCTCCAAGTTATCAAAGGTTTTATAAAGTTATCAAAATTTTTATGATTATGAATTATACTTTTTCAAGTTGGATTCCTTTTATAATGTCTACTGTTAATTCGTTTCTCACAGTGCCTGGTTGTCACTAAATTTGGCAACTTTCTTGGCTCAGGTATCAGTATGGAAATCTACCAAATTATACTTTTTAAATGTTTATTTTTTCAATTGGGGTGAATTTTTTTCTAAATAAAAAAAAAATGAATTTATTTACGTCTGTTTAAAATTTCCAAAATATTTTTAAGTTAATTGCTAGATCAAATTAGTTGCTAAAATTTTATATAAAATTAATTTGCATTCCAATTTTTATTAAAGGCAATTTCAGTTATTAAATCAGATTTTAAGGAGATTTAGCAAAAGGATATCACTAAAAGTTACGTGTTAATTTTCAAAGTAAACTGCCCTTGCTTTAATATTTTTAGTAAGCAATAGCTTAAAACAGAGATGATAGAATAAAATGAAATTATTTTTTATTTCTTTATCATTTTGCTATTTTTATATAGATGGTTGACTGAATGTAAACAATAACAAGCATCCTAAAACTAGAAGAAATTTAGAAAATTTTGGTGTATCCCTCTTATGTTATCCTTACGTGGCAATTTGTGAGAAGTTTTATAATTGTGATATGTGTTTAAATTTATGCATAATTTTACAATTCATAAGAATTTTCTGTAATTTATAAATTCCTACGGGTCGTGAGAGGAAAACAAATAAAGAAAATCGCTATTACAGCATAAAGTGTAAGGTTTCACATATTTTGAGGTTTATCCCTCAAATTATGCAAAAAGTTATATTATGCAAAATAGAAGAATATTATTATGCAAAAAGTTTAAGACCTTTACTTAAGATAATCAGTTGAGGATGGATAGTGTTCTATTAAATTAAAAATTAGTTATTAATACTTAATTCTTTTTCTGAGTTTAATTTCTTTGATAAACTGTAAATATTTTCGAATTTTTTCACCCATTAAAAAATATTTTTTTCATTTTTAATCTGTTCAAGCATTTATTTTGCTTCAATGATAAGCTTTTTATTTATTATAACCATTAGTATTTAGAAAAAATTCTCTTCATGCATGTTGATTTTGTTTTTATTATTATTGTTCAGAATTATTTGTTATTGAAATCTTTAAACTTATGTGTTAAATTTTTCATTTATGTGTTTGCGAAGTCTTTAATTTTCACTTAAGTTCTATGAGAAGTAAACATCTGTCTAACAGCAATCTCTTACAGAATGTGTATATTTTCCTATTGTTTCTCCACAAATCTTATTCCAATTTTTTTTAGAGTTCTTTCATGCATTTTCTTTAAAAAATATATTAATCTACTCTAAATGCATGAAGTTGTTATTTCGCTTCAAACTTGTTAATCACTGATGCTTCAATTCATTCTTACAACAGCAAATCTTCAATTCTCAATTCACTCACGTAACAAGTTTTTATCTTCCAACTATGGCAAGCCTTTTAATTTTCAATCTATTTTATTTCTCTTCGCAAGAATGTATCCTAATTTTTTGTTTTATATGTACCTTCTGGATTGATTTTGTTATTTCATATTTTCTTTTTGATGTTTTTAAAGTAAATGACTTTAATATTCAGGTACTGTGACTACAAATTACCTTTTGGCCCCAGGAGGATCTGTGGTGGGTGATATTTATGTTGCTTTTCATCATTTGGATCTTTACTCGAAGTTATATTTTATGTTATATTTATGTTAGTTTTATCATTTGAATCTTCATTCAAAATGGTATTTAATATTCCATAACAGATTACTTAAATTGATTTAAGTCTATTAATTTTCTGTATGATTTAAAATAAAATGGGAATCGTAAAAATTTGAAATGCATTTACAATTTGCAATGTTTTTCAAAGAATTCTTAAGCTAAATACAATTTTTAGTTTCCTCATATATTTTAAAGAATCATTATTGTTATTTTTTAATCCTATGCTTATCCTGAAGCATTTTATTACTTTTTGTTTTCTTTTAAGATTTCTCTAAATTTTATTGTTTATTATTTATTTTTATATGTATTTGTATAATTTGAACAATATTAAATTTTAACAAAGTCGTAAATTTGTACACTGTGTAAACCTATGCTATTATATTACTTTTTAGAGTAAATCCTTTATTAAATTTTCTTTGGTATTTATATACCTTTTTTCACATCACTCTCAGTTATGCAGTTTACCACTGTTGTATAAATAATGAATGTTTTTTTTAAAATTCAAAATCATTCTAATGTTATTTTCAAGAACGATTTAGCTTTAAGCTACTTATGTTATATTTTTGCATTTTGTGTAATTTCTTTCTTTCCAATTAATATAGTCTGATTCATATATTTTTTTTACTAAATTATTTTATTACTTTTTATAACTGCTAATTGCACTATATTTTACCAGTTCCTGCAGTTTAAGTGTATTTTTGAAAATTTGTTGAGGCTTTTCGAAACCTCTCAATAAAAAATCAGTCAATATAAATTTTATTATAATTATTATTTCATGTACTTGAAAATTTTTAATGCTTATTACTAAATATTGCACAAAATAAAGAACATTGTTTCGTTTAAAATTTTCCTTTTTTGTAATTTCGTTATTTTTATTTATTTTATTTTTTTTTTTAATTTNAATATAAATTTTATTATTTCATGTACTTGAAAATTTTTAATAAGTAATGCTTATTACTAAATATTGCACAAAATAAAGAACATTGTTTCGTTTAAAATTTTCCTTTTTTGTAATTTCGTTATTTTTATTTATTTTATTTTTTTTGTTAATTTTTGAAGAAAAACAATTTATGAAATAGGCTAAAAAATATTTATTTTTGTCATTTTAAAAACTTTTATCTTGCGTGGGTCATTTTTTGAAAATCTGATTTCACATCTCCACATTTTCAGCTTTTCACAAGGGGTGCAGCTTTACATGTTTTAGAAAGGCAAGATATACATATTTAAAGAAATACAAAAGTTTTTATTTTGTATTCTGTAATACTGTCTTTTTTTTTTCTTTTTTTCTTTCTTTCGTGAGCAAATAGTAGAATTTACCTCATCGTGAGAAAAAAAGGTATAATGCTTTTTATGCATGGAGAAAAATAATGATTTTGATTCTCTTAGGCAATTTGGCACTGATACATTCTTCTTAAATCTGAGGTTAATTGTAAAAATCAAAGGTAAGGTATCAGATTAAAGGTGAAAGTTTTTGTTAACTCGGTTAATCATTTTTTTCTCTTCCAAATTCTACTTGTTTTAAGTTTTGTGACTGCAAATTTTTCTTTGTTAGTTGTCCTTTATCTTGAATTTTTAATTAATTAATCGGTTAATGCTTTGTGTTTTAAACTTGATTGTGTCATGTAAAGTTTGGAAAACAGATAAAAAAAACTAATATTTGTTTTATCTGAAACTATTTTCTGTTGCAGGTTAATCAAGAAACTATTGGTAGATTTCCTGGTACTTTACAACAACCTGAGTGTAATGAAACTATCACCATGACTACAAATGCTCCGACATCTGCCGATGCTTGTTTGAGCATAGTCCACAGTTTAATGTGCCACAGACAGGGCGGTGAATCGGAAAGTTTTTCTAAAAGAGCTATTGAGAGTTTGGTTAAAAAACTTAAAGAAAAAAGAGATGAACTTGACAGTTTAATTACAGCTATCACCACAAATGGTCAACACCACAGTAAATGTGTGACTATTCAGCGAACTTTAGATGGAAGATTGCAGGCATGTTTGATATTGAATTCTTAATGTTTTTTTATATGTATATATATATTTTTTCCAACTAAATGCTTGAAATTGCTAATGTGTTTAGAACGGCTGTTGCTGTGTCCAACTTAAGGAATTCAAAAAGTTAAATCAGTTTTATTTTCTTTTTTTGTAAACAATTTTGTGTTAAGTAAAATGCTTGAGAAGAAATCTTTTAATTGTAATGAGAGATATCTCCAGTGCTCTGTCTGTTTATGTTTTTAATTCTATCATTTTCATTGGAAAGAAAATGTTTATTAAATGTATATTGGGAAATAGAGAATCTGACTGGTGTTATTTAGGCAAAACAATCTAAAATTCAGTGAAAAATATTCTCTGAGATTTTAAAAAGCTATAAAAATTTTGAAGTGCCAATGTGAATTAGATATTTGTTTAAATTTTAATTTTTTATGTTATAGATAATGTATCTTACAGAATTACTTGAATTGTTGATAAAAATAAATTATTATTATTAAGTAGAGAATTATGTTACATGGAAATTATGAACTTTATTGCGCAAGAGTCATCTGTCAAACAATTGTATTTTTTAAAAAATCAAGGCAATTTGGGATTCGCACCACTGGGTCTGTGTCACAGAACTTGTCTGATAACTCGCACATGCGATTTTATTTTACTCAGGTCCAGGTAAAAAAATATTTAATCTAAATAAATTTATATAAAAATGTAGTGTATGTAGAAAATATAAGAAATGTAGTTACAAGATTGTAAAGCTAATTGTTATGATGTGTCTAAAAGGGAAGAAAAAAAAATTTTTTACCCCAAAAATATACTTAACTTTTTATATTATAACTTTATTAAAATATATTATAACTTTTATTTAAAAAAAAACCAAATTTGCTACTAAAACAAAAATTTTTGTTCATTCTTGCTATAAATGCATATTTTAAAATATTCAACATTATATTTAATCTAAATTTGGATCTATTTTTTATTTTCTGTTTTATCTCTTTACTCATATTTTCTTATTTTTGTATTTGAAACTAGTGTTGCTAGGTTCTATTTGTCATATCTATTAAAAAATTTGAAAAACTGGTATAAATGTGATTGGGTGTGGTGGAGTGTTATGGCTATTTTGTTCTTGTTTTCAAAGTGCCAATTTTTTATCATTTGGCCGAACTCCTATTCTTTAATGTTTTAGAAAAGTTGAATCTGTTTTTCTATATCCTTTTTGCACTAATTTTAAAAAATTTTCTCAGTGCACAAAGAATTGATTCACACAAATTTTAGTATGATGACATTCTATAACTTTTGCAATGAATCATCTCCAGGAGCAGTATCTTAATTAACTCAAACTTTGAGTGATAGAGCACCATCAAAAACCACTAAATATCTCAGTGTTGGTGAATTAAATCATTGCCTTAGTTGTCTTAAGGAAGAATTTGAAGAAGGTTGTTAGATATGTTATGCTCTGACCCAGTAGCAGAATCACAGCGACATTGTCACAGAATGTTGCACAGAGTTCGTGCAGGAAGAATTTTCTTTAAGGAAGAAAAAAAAAATAATTGTTTTTCCTTTTGCAGAAATTTTCACATTTTTTTTTCTCTCTAGAATTTAAAAGATGCCTTTTTCGCACATCGGAGAGGAAAGAAATTTTTGTGATTTTTCTATTTTTATTTGAAAAGAATGAAAAAAGATTAATGAAGTAAAAATTTTCTTTTCTGCAGAAATCATTCTTTGATGTGCTCACTTTGCTTCAAAATTCTAGATAATCCATGCGTTATTTCAATGGTTCTTTCCACAGATATTGCTTCGAATTTTTGCTTTGTTTTGTTCCAAATTCCGATGTCCTTCATTTGCTTAGTTATTATTTATATTCCTATGTATTTTAAAAATATACCAATATTATCATGGCATGCGAGATTTAAATCGCAGATTCAAGAAATCGTTTTTTGATGCGCCCGACATTCTCTTTAATCCATATGGTATTTCAATCGTTCTTACGACAGTTATTGCTAAGAATTTTCACACTTAAAAAGAAAGAAATCCCTATGTTTTTTAAACAATTTAATTATATGCAAAACTCAAATTAATTTTTTACTTTTAATGTGACGATTTCATCGTTTTTTCGACTTTTTATTGCTTGTGCTACAGAATTCCACAGGGTTTTTAAACTTCTGGTAATTTCTCAGTTAATATTATTTCTACACGTAAAATTTAAATTGTCCATTTAAGTAATCACTGTTTGACACGCTCACTTTATGCCGATCCTATCGTAAATCCATGCAGTGTTTGGTTGTAGTTTTGTCAGTGATTGATATTGATTTTCACGTGGTTTTTAAGTATCCCGATATATTTCTGACACTATGGGAAGTTCGAATCACGCTTATGAATATTTAATTTTTAAAGCAATGATTCTACTGCTTTTTTGGGGGGGGGGATTTATTTCACACAGTTTTTAAAATCCCATATTTTAAATAGGATATTATAACAATGTGTCAGCTTATTGCAACAATCAAATCTGGAGACGAAACATTCATTTAGTACCCCTTCATGAAGAGTCCGATTCGCTTGATTTCACCGTCGATCCTATTTTCCATAATCACTGCTAGAGATTACACAATTTTTTATTTTTTTATGCCATTATGATTTATGAAATTCGAAAAAGGAAATAATTAGTGTGCTTTCTTCGTAAAAAATGTTAGAATATTGCTCATGATATTATAATTAAAAAAAAAAATATTGCATATTCGTTTAAAAATTAAATGCAATTTTATTTTATTCAACTCTGTTTTTTTTATCTATAAGCACAGCGTTTCTGTTACTTTAAATTTATTTGGTAACATGTATATTTCTTATTATTCGAAGCATCTTGCAGAAAGATATTAGTGCTTGAGAAGTTTATTGCAGAAAGCCCCAAAAAATTATGCCACAGGATGCTCTGATATCATGCACATTAATACAGTAAAACTTCTTTTTCTGAAGGGGGGAAAAATTTCTAATCATACCATTTTAGGCCTACTAACTCTCAAGCTCGAGTCTCCTGTCTTTGGCATCCAATCACAGAACCTCATTTCTAAGTAATTTCTCTTTATTATTTTACGCTAAATGTATGAATCGGTGGATCCATGAACACTTTGCATTCAATCCCCTAGCTCCTCCTTTTTTTTTTCTTCTTCAGATCAGCAGTTTTATAATTTTAATAATTCTTTTTTTGTAGTAATGTTTCTAAAATTTTTGCTTGGAATGTCTGATAAACAATATATATATATATATTAAGGTTGTAACGAATAGTGATTTGGTCGAATACTGAATATTCAAAAAAGATTTCGGACAAAAAGCATTATTTGAAAATATATATATATATTTATGTATGAATAAGTTTAGTCATTATTGAAATATAATCAAAACTTAGCTGTGTTATTGGCATGAAGTAAAGGCACTAAAGCTTTAGTAGAAATGTTTATGATAATAAAGATAATTAAAAAAAATTAAGATAAGTAAAAAAACTGACTAACAGCAACTATTTAAAAGAAACTAAAGTTGCGAAGTTTAAAAAAAGGAAAATTTTAAAATGTATATATATTCTTAATTCTTGAAACAAAACTTAATGCCAAAGATGAATTAAAATTATCCATAAAAAATCCACACAAAAATTATCCATAAAAGTCAAAAGAGGTAATGCCTATCAGAAACATTTTTAAAAATGTAGCATTGTCATAAAAACGAGCATAAAAAATATTATATACTTATGCAAAACAGAAAAAATAAAAATCTTAATTTTTGAAAGAAAATTTTCTCTTCTCAGTTTTCCAATTAACATATTTTTCAGGAAGTGAAGACACGGTCTAATAGATACCCTCTTAATTTTGCATCATAAGCATAAAAACAAAAGTTTTCAACAAAAAAAAAGCTAGGTAGAAACAAAAACAAAAATCATTCTTAATTTTTAAATAAAAAGTTTAAACATTAAAATCTCAATTTAACTTTTTCAAATTTTGCTTTTTAGAAAAAAGGACCATAAAAAAATTATGTACATTATAAACCCTCTTTAAAAAATGCTGTCATAATAAAAACACTGATAAAAAGAAAATGAATGCAAAAGAGAAACAGAATGAAATTATTTTTACTTCTGAAATATAACTTTAGTATTGTGAATCAGAGTTTTCTATGTTACCAGTTTTCTGTCTTACCTTACAGGAAAAAAGTGATAAAAGAATAAAGTTTATTAGAAACGCTCTGTTAAAATGCTGCACTATAGTTGAAACAGGAAAATAGGCAAAAATGAAACCAATAAAAAATAATTCTAAATTTTTAAAATATAAAGTGTTGAAGAAATGGCAAAATTTACTTGCATGAATAAAAATAATAAAAATTTAAATATCAGCAACAAAACTCATTGTTCAGTGTAAAGTAATCAAGTTTCAACTCTTTAAATTTCAATGTTCCATTTGTCTTTCAGAACATAAATTAACAAGTTTTTGAACATAACAAACATGTGTGAAAACAATTACCAGTAATGTATAGATAAAAATACGATTTTTGATTATTCTTTTATAAATCTATTGAAATCCCCCCCCCCCTCGAAAAAAATATTTAAAAAAATTTTCCTAATAATACTTTGCCGAATATGTAGCCTAACTTTCCGCCAAATATTTGTTACATCCCTAATATATAGTTTTTCCGTATTAGTAGAATTATTTTTTTTTTTTAATTACAAGAAGTTAGTAGAACAACAAAATAGCGGCAGGAAAAGTAAAGCCTATCGTGTGTTGATCAAGTTTGTGCTGGTGGTGTTGGCCACTCCTTGTAGCAAAGTGACCAGTGAGAATGAATGCAGACCTAATTCTATTTTTTTTTATCAAAACAAACAATGAAAAATTTCTCAATCATAAAGGCGAACCAGAAAAAGCTTTCAGAAAAAATGCTTAAAAATTCTATTATCATTTAGTTTGTTTTAAAACTAAATGAACAATTTAGTTAGGTATTTTAATATATTATAATTTAAGAGTAAAAGTGACTCTGTGAAATTGTTTTTGTTATTATTTTGCTACACCATGGCCATGTCACAAAAAGTCTCCAACTTTTATATTTTTTGTGGTTAGCAGGTGTATTTTTAACTGTTTCAGTATAATTTAACAATAACAGTGTTATGTACATGGAATATAACTAGTTATGAGAAAAGTATTCTGAGACGACTTAACGCGATATCATTGCAGTGTCAAGTGATGTTTTTGATAGCAACACCACTCGAGTTTTCTGATACCAATACAACAGGCCTGCTTTTTACATTATACACCTTTTTGTTAATTTATTCCATTAAAGGTTGCTTAGTATAAAAGTAGAAATGAATTTTTTTTAAAATTATGTTGCAGGTATTGTAGATAACTATGACTTCAAATAATAATTTCCTTTCTTTAACCCTCCCTGCATTGAGTCCCTGGATAAAATTGAACAATATTTTTCCTACAATGCACTATTTTTCCATTCAGAGAAACTGGTTTTTTGTTGCAGGAAAGCCTGCATCTGAAAGTTCAGAAAAAGTTAGAATTAATGTTCTGAGGGTTAATTTTGATACATAATTTTGACATGCTGTTTCCTAAAAATAAATTTGGTATGAAAAATAGCTTTGAATAGTTCTTTATATGTGTCATGTATGTGATATAAAACGAAACTTTCAGAAAATAGGCTAAGCTATTCATAGCATATTGCTTTAAAAATGTAAGAAATAAGAATTTCCATAGTATTTAATATAAAATGAAGTTTGGTTATTTTAGAATCATTATTTATGCATTAAGTTTAAACTAATGTAATTAATAATTAACTAATGCTTTGCATAAGCTTTTATTAATGTATTTATACTGTTGCTACTCAAAGTCAGGGGTAATTGTATTCTGGGTGTACCTCGGAATTCTGAGTTTCTCGTATCATCCTTCTAGATAATAAAAAAAAACTAGGAGCAGGACATATGATTTTTCCACAAATTTCGCGTGATTTTGTGCATTTTAAGACCATTGATTTGAGGATTTCCGTGAATCAGAACTTATAATCTGGCAAAAGTTCCACAATCTAAAATTTAAATTTCAAAACTTTTGCTAAATCGCATTGAAGAGACGTTTACATAAATATTATTCTTCCGCCAATTTGTTTTTTTAGGTTTGTTGGATTATCGACAGCTTTAGTATTTGAAACTACACTGGAATCCGCTAATATCACGATTCATGTTCATGCTATTTTAATATTAAACATCGATATTTGAATTAACCTGACTTAATAGTTACACATTTTGAATCGTATTCACGTAATTTTAAAATTGCACATGGTGATTCGTACTTAAGTGATTTAAAAATCCAATTATGTGGTTTGCATTTAGGTGTGTTTGTATAATTAATTTTGTGATTCATATTCATGCGAGTTTAAAATCAAATGTCGCTATTCATATTTACGCATTTTTAAAATATTGATTTTAGTATTTACAAGTGATTTAAAAGTTACACATTGAGAATCATATTCACTCAATCTAAAAATCACACATCGGGATTCTTATTTATGCGATTTTAGAATCCAATGAAGCAATTTGTATTTTTGTGTACTTAAATTCCAATATCGCGATTTGTATTTTCTTGTTCTTAAAATTCATTATCATGAATCATATTCTGTGATTTTAAAATCCAATAACGTGATACATATAAGAAAAGTTTTTTCTTAAATTAGTTACTGAAAAGGTGTGATATTTTTCATCTGTAGGTAATTTAATGTACATTGATATCGTTATATCAAGTTTTTGCATATAAAATTTTCAGGTTTTTCTCTTTGTGTTACAATCACTTCTGCAAAATATCTATAAATACTTTAATTTCATTGCTTAAATCTATGAATTCTTTTTTTTTTTTTAAACCCTTCTAAATCATTGATTTTAATCTAAATTGACTGACCAGCACCTTGCCCAATGAAAATAAAAACTGCTTTTTTAAAATCAGTTTTCTACATAAGCTTCTGCAACTATTAAGATTCCAGAATTTAGCCGACTGATGACTAATGACTTTTCTAAACTTTTTTGTACAAACGTGGTACCAATTGGTACTCCATTCATTGTAAATGGTAACTTTCTTTTACAAATTTTGTTATTCAAACATTTTTAATTGTAGAATGTATGTCCCTGAAATAATTAATTGTTATCTCATAATACTCTTTTAAATAAGATTAAAAATGTTTTCATTGTTTCACAGGTCGCTGGAAGAAAAGGTTTCCCCCATGTAATATATGCGCGCATTTGGAGGTGGCCAGACCTGCATAAAAATGAACTGAAACATGTAAAATTTTGTCAATTTGCGTTCGACTTAAAATGTGACAGTGTTTGTGTTAATCCATACCATTATGAACGAGTGGTCTCTCCTGCAATAGGTAACTGAATTCTCATTCCACTTTATAAGTGTTTATAAAAAAACTTTTAAGTACAATTGTTTCAAAGTCAATTAACATCAGATTTTAGATTGATTTGAATTTCAACTCCCTATAACTTTCGAGTAGGAGATTATGATAGGTTTAGGAAACTATGGGTACTTAACAGGACGCAATTTTGTCGACATGTTTTTTTCCCCACTTAAATATTAATTAACATACGAGAGCTAGAAAGATTACGATGACTTCGTGGCTTAGGCTCTGAACTGAATTATTAGGAGCCATGGTATTTAATCCCCAAAGGTAGCTCGAGGCCCACCCAGCCTCTAATCCATGTGTACCAGCTTGTCTGGGAAGTAAAGGTGGACTGTACAAAATGCTGGCATTCATGCCGATAGTCTCTCTAGATAGATAATAGTTCTCTAAATTTCACTTATTAAAAAAAAAGTTTTTATCATCAGATTGATAAATTGTTTGTTTTCTTTTGTTTCTAAACTTGTTTTTGACGTATCAGAATTTTATAATTCTATTTTAATTTTACACTTCATTAATCTAGGATAATTAATGAAAATTTTCTTTTTTGCTGAAATATTGGGTTAGGGAGATTTCTTATCGAAAGAGACAAATAAAATTATTTGTTTTAATTCTTCCGCTATAAACAATCAACGGACATGATCTTAAGATTTCTACTGTGAGAAGAGGGTAGTAATGACTCCGTGTGCTGAAGGTACAGATGCTGAGAAAACATTTATTCAATTAGTCACCCTTTCTCACTCAGCTGTGGTTGAAAAGGAACAACTAAGGAAGGGAATGATTGATAATATTTAGTACAAGACTCTTACATTTCCTGACTGTGTAGGGAACTAATGATTATTTTTAAAATGATGGTAAAGATATTTCAAAAAAGGCAGAAAAATCGTAAAATTTTACAAGGAAAAAAAATTTAAATGGCGAGGAAATGTATCGAATTCCGTTCCTGTTATCTTGTTTTCGGATAAAGGGTTCTGTATTGTATTACTATTTCTTAAAGAATAATATTGTCAAATTATTTACAGTGTAAAGATTGTGCTATATTTTAACTGTTCATTTTTTTGTTATTTTCTAATTAAAGTTTGGAGGTGTGTAATTAAATAATTTATTAATTAAAACTATTTTTAATTTTATAAAATAATTATTATTTTTTTTTGTATTTAAACTCAAAATTATTATGACATTTTTGATTGCTAGTTTTCCTGGAGTTCTTTATTTAAATTTTAAAGAAATGCTTAGTAGTTGAAGGTAGCAGGAGTGGGCTGTTGTGTGCAGTGAACACAGTTTTTAGAGATATTGAAATTAATCTCTGATCTCTACGGATTAGTTATTTCATTATTAATCAAGATATTTTAAAAAAACGTTAATGCTAGAAAAGAGTTCTTTTTTTAAAAAAAAGAATTAATCTAAATATAAAGTTTATCGCATTAAATTCTTCACATAAGCAATAAAATATTACTGTGTAAAATTATTGCTACACACTATGGTTAATATGGTAAACTGAGAAAGACCAGTCTTTAAAACACAGCACTTATTGCTAAATTTTATTGCAATTTATTCAAAAAAGTTTGATGCAATTTTTTATTTTAGATTTGTCTGGTCTAACGCTACAAACTCCCGGTAAGTTAATTCATATTCTTTAATTATTGCTTACTATTTTATGTATTGTACCTAGTCTTATATTAACAGTTCAGGAGTGTATTCTGCCCATTACGGTTTCTATTTTTTTATTACTTTTATCTACATTTGTGTGTAATTATTTTTTATAATAAAGAGACTCTAATCTTTAGTTAGTCAAGAGACTCTGGCTGCAGTTAAAACTCCTTTAAAATTATACTGTTTATTATAAAGTGTAATGGCTCAGTGATTAGAGCGCTGAACTGTCATTGTAATGGACTGTAGTTTGATCCCCAGTGGCGAGTTAAAGCCCATCCAACTTTAAATCGATAAGTCCAGCATGTTTAGGAAATAAAGGTGGCCTGTGCGCAATGTTGACCACATCACCACAACTATACCATTGGTCATGAAATTATGATTTAACATTATCAATGAAAAGTTAATCTTGACAGCATGTTATTGAGGAATTCCTTCATTTTAGATTTTAAAAAAAAGCAATGATTTCTATAAAATGTCATTAGTTTGTCCCCTTATCCAGTATTTTAAACAATGAAATCCATATTTTAAAATTTTGATTAATTTCTTAATTTTCAGAATGACATGCATACCTGCCAAGTCTCCTATTTTTGAATAAAGTCTCCCGTATTTTATGATTATCTCCCGTTTACCCGAATATTCTCAAATTGTTTCCAGGGTTCCCACGGTCCTTGAAAGTCCTTGAATTTTTTTTTTTTTTTTGCTAAATTTAGGTCCTTGAAAGTGCTTGAAAAACGTCTTAGGACCTTGAGAAACTTGATAGGTCCTTGAATTTGTCCAATACTGCCGGCGGCCCTTTTTATAAAACACCCGCGGATCTTTCTCATTCTTTCTGTTTTGTTCCCGAGCTCTCTCACCTGGTTTTTAACGCCGCCATTTCTAACCGGGCCTAGCGTCTTCGTGTCTGCCAAGCGCGCGGAGCACAGCAGACAATCAATGCGTTCGGGGCGAGACTCCACTTCATCTTCTGTCGCATATGCTTAGATCTTCTTTTTTCTTATCGAAACTGNGTGAACTGAGAAAGAGCAGTCTTTAAAACACGGCACTTATTGCTACATTTTATTGCAATTTTTAATAAAAAAAATCTGATGTAATTTTTTATTTTAGATTTGTCTGGTCTAACGTTACAAACTCCCGGTAAGTTAATTCATATTCTTTAATTATTGCTTACTATTTTATGTATTGTACTTAGTCTTAACAATCCATGAGTGTATTCTGCTTCAATTTTTTTATTACTATTATCTATATTTATGTGTAATTATTTTTTATGATAAAGAGACTCTAATCTTTAGTTAGTCAAGAGACTCTGTCTGTTAAAAAAACTGAAACCGTTTATTAAATATATATGTATATATATATATATATTATAAACCACGATGGCTCAGTGATTAAGGTGCTGAGGACTGTAGTTTGATCCCCAGTGGCGAGTTAAAGCCCATCCAATTTTAGATCAATAGGTCCAGCATGTTTAGGAAATAAAGATGGCCTGTGTGCAATGTTGACCACATCACCACAATTATACCATTAGTCATGAAATTATGATTTAACATTAACATTGAAAAGTTAATCTTGACAACACGTTATTTGAGGAATTCCTACAATTTAGATTTTAAAAAAAGCAATGATTTCAATAAAATGTAATTAGTTTGCCCCCTTATACATTTTTTTAAACAATGAAATCCATATTTTAAAATTTTGATGGATTTCTTAATTTTAAGAAGGACATGCATACCTGCCAAGTCTCCTGTTAAAGTCTCCCATATTTTATGATTATCTCCCGTTTACCCGTATATTCTCAAATTTCTCTGTATTTTATGACGAACATTTTTTTAAAAAAATGTTTTAGCAATAAAATATTTGTTAATGGCAAAAATTCTTCTCCTACTTCTGAACAGATAAAGCTATGACCTGTTCCGGTATTCTTGCACATTGCCGCACATACCAAACTGGATGTGGTGAGAATACTACTGTGAGTCATTCATTCAGTGAATCATTTTTTTTCCGATAACGAATGCATTATTAACTTTTGAAAATTTGGTCATTACCAGTCATCAGAACAAAAATGTATTTCTGTTTTCAGAATCATTCATTATTGGTGACAAATGGGCAACTAGAAAATAAAACTGGAAATAAAGGACAGTTAAAAAATATTACGCATGTTGGGGTTGAGCAGTATCGACTGCCAAACCTTGTGAGAAGTGTGGAGGTGGCGGGTTTTAATCCTGTTTAACCTTGGATATTTTTGTGATGCCCTTCTCTAAATTGTTCTATCTGTCCTACTTGACAAAGGTTTGTAAGCCTAAATTGAGCACACAAGCCTGCAAATGTATGTAATTTCAATAAAACAATTACAGATGTTATGTTATGGATCCCGTGCATTCCGCATAGCAATGCTGAGTGCAAGCATTACTATGATTTCCTGTAAAGTAAAAAAAAATTGTGACGAATTTTGCTCCTCACTTTCTGATGAAAAGTAATTTCTCTGGTTACTGTTATGAACAGAACTTAGATTTTTAAAAAAAAATTCCTATGCACGACCAAAATCAGCTACTTATGTTCGAAATAGAATTATGTAAAAATTCTGTAAAATGAAGTTAATTGTTTAGAATTATGAAAATTATTTTGATCTGTTGAGTGTTAATAGTTTAATGGTTTAAAAAAAATTTCTTTCAACTGAGATCTATATACATATTTTTTACTGAGTTAAATGTAAGTGCTCATATTAGTTCTAATTTTGTATTTCTCTTTTTGACTTACATGTTTATGTATGATGTATCAAAACTGTACATGTAGTCCAAAAAATATTGCTAGTAAAATCTCTGTAATTTTAATTCTCCAATGTTGGCGGGTATGGACCTCATGGCAAAATTGGTAGGAAAACCAATTTTCTTAAGCTTACTACAGGGAACAAGTAATCTTTTTCACTTTTTGCTTTACAGTAGAAGCATGCAAACTTTTAAAAACTAATGTTTAAAAAAATACCAAAAAAACTAACTATAAACATAAGCTTGTTTTTAATGTATGAAATTCTCAAAAATAAAAAAACTTGTCTTTTTTTTATTAATTTAATTTATTTAAAATATTGTTTTTAAATTTTATGACACAGGTGAAAACCAAATGGTGAAAAATGAGTATGGTGAATTAGAATGTGGACCAAGTGGCATGCAAACAATTCAACATACTCCACAGACTGTGCAGCATCATCCTGCTCAACCACAGACTGATGCGTTTGGGAGACCTCTCATTGCATCATCTCAAGGTATTCACCTTAACATAAATAAAATAGAATGGGATCGAGTATCCCTATCCTTTTATGGCGAGACTCTTTAATTTTTCTGTCATTTCTTTGAAAACCATGTGTATTTTCATGTTGATGTATGAGTTTTGGTTTCTGATTTAGTTAATATACAATTTGTATCAGGGTTGGGGTTTTGGACGTCCTAAACTGGTTTTGGACAGGACACGTGGGTTTTACTGTCTTAAACTGGGTAAAACTGTCCTAAACTGGGTAAAACTGTCTTAAAGTGTCCAAAACCTTGAACTTTTGTAAAAGGTAAAAATTCTATAGGTGTAACCATTGTACACATAATAATTACATGTATCAATAAATATTTGATATTTTTTATACAATTTACTATAACTTATTAAAAGAAAATAATATAATATAATAGGAAAAGGTTTATAATTTTTGAAGCTCCACAATTCATTGAACAACAAAAGTGAATACCTAATCCTTTAAATATAAATATGCTTTTAATACTGATAAATAATATTTTTGCATAAGGATAAATATGGCAATATTAAAAAATAATAATTTTTCTTAAAAAAAAAACTAAATTTGTTCAAAAATTAACCTTTTATTTTTCACAATATTTTTTTAAAAAAATGTTATAATTTCTGCATCACAGGATGATAAAAAAGACATCTATTTTTAAAAAAAATGTTTTTAAATATAAATATATTAATTTAAATTGAAAATACAAAATAACTGAAAAATGTATTAACAGTTTTGAAGGGCATAACATCAGTTTCAGTTACTGACACTGGTGATGTATCACCACTATGCTAAAAGAATTGAACATGAATGAAATAAAAGTATTCTTGAATAGTACTATAGATAAATAAACCTGTTTATGACGAACCAAGCACTTAGTCCCTAATATTTTAACCTGTATGGCAAGGCCAAACTTCAGTTATGTACTATTGAATGAGAGGACCAATTGAACTTGATTACTGATTAATCTTCCTTTGTTTAAATTGAAGAGTCAAACAATATTAATAAAACATTATACTTTTAAAAACAAATATTCTCTAGTATATTTAATTATCAATATGTTATTAGTTCTATGTTTATTTTACCTCTTAAATATTGTTCAGATAAAATTGTGAGATAATTTGAGTAAAAGGGTTTAGGACAGTTTTGGACAGGACGGTTTAAACCAGGGTTTAAACCGTGGATTAATCCCTTCTGTCCTAAACCTTGCCAACCCTGATTTGTATGTGTTACCTTTTATTATTTATGTGATTTTTAAACTTTGTCTAAAACATAAAACGCTTTCAACAAAAAAAATTATTGAATATTATTTCTATGATACGATATTTAATATTATTAGAATAAAAAATAAAATATCTTTGATTCTCCTTAAATTATTCAAACTCAACTATACAACATACAATAGTTTTTTGTTTTTTCACTATTACAGTCGGACCTCTATTTAACGAAGTCGCTAAATCCCGATAATAAGTTTGTTATATGGAAAATTCGTTAAATAGAAAATCACATTTTGAAATACTTAAACAACGCGAAACAAGTTTTAATTTCATAAACACTAGACATAATTAAAATAGCAATAGATACACAATAGCAATAGATATAGATCTTGTAAACTAGTATCTACTATTTAATTTATAAATCTTAACCATGGAAGAAATCTGCATGAAAGCAAGAATGGAGCAAAACATTATTCAGTGTTACACTATCATGCTACATACATTTTAAACATACATTACCAGATGCGTTCTTAAGTTTAATTGTTACTTATAAAATCCGTTAATTTTGTCTGAGTTTTTCGCTTAAAATGCAAACTAAAAGAGAAACGGATTTTACTTCTTTCTCTAAGTGCTAAGTGGTTTCAAAAATTTATTCATGGTCATTTCCCCCATAAAATGTGGTAACAAGTTTGAAATGTTCTGAAATATTTTGGGAAATAAGGAAAGTGGATCTCAAAGAAAAGTTTGTTAAATAGAAAATTCACTTCGTTATATGGAAGTTATTTTACGAAGAAATTTCTAAAATGTTCTTGGTTCCTCGAAAAAAATCGCAAAATAGAGAAATTCGCAAAATGGAAGTTCGTTAAATAGAAGTCCGACTGTATTTTATTATTTCACTATTATCATAACTTTGTAGTAAAATTACAAGTACCTATACATTACTTTAAGATATTTGTAAAAATATTTTTTTTCTCTTTCATTATATTCAAAATTCTTAAAATTTAAATCCAAATTATAAATAACATGAACAATGCAATGTTTAATTAAGTAAATAAAAATAATTTTTTTGTACTAAATAATTTTTAAAAACGAAATTTTTAATTATTTAGCATATACTTGAATCTGATGTCCTTCAAAACACAGTTGAATTTTATTGGTTTGTTGAAAATTGTATGAGACAATGGCATTTTATGTAAAGTAATAATTTTTTATTGATAAAAACTTTTTTTTTTAAAAAAAATTACAAAATATTAGCCAGCCTAGTTTTTTGACCAATTTATCTATCTTAAATTTTATTGGCTTAATGTAGATAGAGAAAGTTGTTATGGTGTTCTCGAATAATTGTTTTCAATTATCTTAAAACAAACTCATAACTAACTTATCTTCTGATCGATTAACTTATATTTCTATTCTGTATTTATATTGCTCTTAAAATCAACTGTTATTTTTATAGTAAATATGTAGGTAGAAAATAAACATATGTCCACACTTGCCAACCATCTTCTGGATTTTGACCGGTATCTCTATACTTTTTGTTTTCTTTGCCATATCTGGATTGAACCCAATGATTTGCAGATTTTATTGTTAAAAACACTCAACTTAAATTTATTGATTTGAAAAATTATAAGAAAGCAAAAAAGACAAGATTCCTGGCTCAACTTTTAAAAAAGAGGAAGACTGCATGTGAGGAGGTATTTAGTGTAGTTACCAAGACACATACACTTTCTTTGTCAATTATTAAATTAAAATTTAGAGAGCTTTTTGATTGTTAATTCAAAGATGAGAACTTCTTTTGAACAAAACTTTGATGTATTTTTAGGAAAAGTGAAATATGGCAGTCTAAATTTTCTTAAAGAATAAAGAATTTTTGATAATTTTAAATCCATTTCTTTGTATTCTTAGGGTGTGTAAGGAATTATGTATTGTTTTTATAAGTATTAACTATATATGTTAAAAATGAAACATTTTTCAGGAATATATGTTATTTTAAGAAACAAATATAAGTATAGCATAATGATGAATTAAATTTGTATTGAAATTTTTTTTAAAATTTTATTCATAATGTTAGGCTGTTGTTTTGGGATATTTCTCCTCCTTTCTATTTTGGTATGGTTTGCAAGTCTGTGTGTCATTTTTTATAATAACTATAGATTTATAAAAATAAATAATTGTGCCATTCCTTGTTTAGTTGTAGCCTCTGCCATTCCAAGCATCTCACCTCAGGCGCAACAACCAGTGACACAACCACTCTCCATCTGTACGCAACAGCTCCAGTCTGTCGCTACACCCTCAACGGCTTCTCTTTCTACACCACCTACAACACCCTCTGTACCACCTTTATCTACACCTTCTCCAGGATTCTTTTCTCCGGGACAAGAAGCTCAAACTATTTCCCAAAGTAAGAAAACATACTTCAAGTTAGAATTTTTGTTCCCCTCATTTCCCTAATTATAACTGGCGTAAGAGACACGGCCCTAATATAAGTATTGATTTGTTCTACCGCCATCCCAGTGGTAGTGTCGCAGCTCGACTCATGTGTCTCTGGTTGATCGACAATATACTAACGCCATTGCAGCCGATTGTGTTGTATTTTTATGTGACAGTAAGCATTCAAAATGTTTAAAATTATTTCTGATTCAACCAACTGCGAAAGGTCAACCAACTATTACGCAGGTTTTGAACCCAAAGAATGTTAAGCTACCTGAAATGTATTCTCAACTTGAAGTAATTTATGCTGAAAACGGAATGGTGAGAAAGGTGGCTTAACAATTCAATGATGTATGCGCCAATGTTCAGTGATCAAGTTGCAAAAGCTAAATTCGTAAAATAGACTGTTTTCAATATAAATGCTTTATGGAGAGTTCCCACAAATTTCAAAAGCTGTTTAGCGTGAGGTTGTCACAAATTGATTAAAAAACGTTCAGAATTGGTTGTCTTTCTTTGAAGAGGGTTCGTTTCTTGCTACGATAAATGTCTGAACAATGTTGGTACTTATGTAGAATAAAGTTTCTGAAAGGTTTTTTCATGTAAAAGCAAAAAAAGTTTTTAAAAACATTTTTTGTACAGGTTTTTCCTAAGCGGTACTTACTTTACATGCATGTTTTGTAAGCAGTCAGTCCAAAATATTTTTTTCTCAGNGTGATCTGTTTAGTGAGGTGATCTGTAGTACTTGAACAACTTATTGTGCAGCATATTATGACGTCAAGTACTTTTCTTAGAAATTTATCATGTGATGTTTCACCCCCTCCCATAAAACTCAAATTTTTTGTGAAGAACTGTTCATTTATATCTAACTAAAACTTGTGAACGATGAGAACGTGGTGAATGATACTGATGAGGTGATAAAGTTCCTCCAAATCACACAGCAGTATTGAAAATTGAAAACTTTAGACACTATTCCTGACTATTTACAATTTAATTTTGCTTCTGAAACTCCCCCTTATCCTATTTATATGAACTGGAAAAAACTGCTTTCGAATAACGTTGGCAAAAACAAATACAAACTTGTATTAAGATTATTTTGTAAGAAAATAAATTGTCTTAAGGTAAATTAAATTTTTTCTTTGTATAATTCTAGTAAATGCCAAAACAGTATAAATATTAACATTTAATCTTTAGAAACATACTTATTCATATTGTCACTGCAATTTACTTTGCGTTTTAGAATTTTGAAGTTTTTCACTTATACGCCTCTTTCACTTATGCGCTTTTTTCTCTTGGCCCCTTACATCGGTGCATAAGTGAGAGTTCACTGTAGTTAATATGCAGTTTGTATGCGTTTTCTATTATTATTAAACTTTGTGTGAAACATGAAATACTTTCGATAAAGTTTTTGTTGAATATTATTTCTATAATACAATATTTAGAATAATAATAAAATATTTAGAATAATAATAAGAATATTAATAGAATACAATATAATACAATATAATAAGAATACAATATTTAGAATAATAATAAGAATAAAAAATGAAATGTTTTTGATTCTCCTTAAATTATTAAAACTCAACTATACAACTTTTTTCAGAAATAATTTTATGTTTTTTCACTATTATTATTATCACTCTGTTCTAAAATTACAATTTAAGTACCTATACATTACTTTCAGATATTTGTAAAAATATTTTTTTCACTTTCCTGGTATTCAAAATTCTGAAAATTTAATTCCAAATTATAAATAACAATGAAGTTTTTAATTAAGTAAATACAAATAATTTTTTGTTCTAAATTATTTTAAAATCGAAATTTTTAATTATTTAGTGCACTTGAATCTGGTGCCCTTCAAAACACAGTTGAATTTTACTGGTTTGTTGAAAATTGTATGAGACAATGGCATTCTATAAAAAGTGTTAATTTGTCAAAACAAATTTTACAACTTCATTTTTACGAATATGCTTGATTTTGATAATAAAAAAAAAAACTTTCTTTGAGAAAAATTACAAAATTTTAGTAATGCTAGTTTTTTGCCCAATTTATCTAACTTTAATTTTATTCGTGTAATGTAGATAGAGAAAGTTTTTATGGTGTTCTCGAATAATTGTTTTCAATTACCTTAAAACAAACTAATAACCAACTTATCTCCTGATTGATAAACTTATATTTCTATTCTGTATGTATATTGCTCTAAAAAATCAACTGTGTTATTTTTGTAATAAATATGTAGGTGGAAAATAAACATATGCCCACATCTTCTAGATTTAGACCGGTATCTCTGTACTTTTTGTTTTCTTTGCTATTTCTGAATTGAACACAATGATTTCCAGATTTTATAGTTAAAAACACTCCACTTAAATTTATTGATTTAAAAAATTAAAAGAAAGCAAAAAAGACAAGATTCCTGGCTCAACTTTTAAAAAAAAGGGAGGCTGCATGTGAGGAGGTATTTAGTGTTGTTACTAAGACACATACACTTTCTTTGTCAATTATTAAATTAAATTTAGAGAGCTTTTTGACTGTTAATTCAAGGATGAGAACTTCTTGTTTTGAGCAAAACTTTGATGTATTTTTAGGAAAAGTGAAAATAGGCAGTTTAAATTATCTTAAAGAATAAAGAACTTTTGATAATTTTAAATCAATTTCTTTGTATTCTTAGGGAGTGTAAGAAATTATGCATTGTTATTATAAGTATTAACTATATATGTTAAAAATGAAACATTTTTCAGGAATATATATTATTTTAAGAAACAATTATAAGTATGGCATAATGATGAATTAAATTTGTATTGAAAAATTTTTTTAAATTTTATTAAAATGTTAGGCCGTGGTTTGGGGATATTTCTCCTGCTTTTTATTTTGGTATGGTTTCAGGGTGTGTAGCGTTTGTAAAAAGTACTAAAAGGTGCTTTTGGGGGGATTTTGTTTTTAAAAGCTTTTAAATGTGCTTTTTTCAGCTGGCATTTTTAAAAAGTGCTTTTTTTTCACGAAGAATTTTTTTCCCTTCAGTGATATCTGGTGGGTCCCATGCATTTCACGAAAAATTGGGTGTTTGCTACGTAATCATTCACGCGAACTTCATGTAGTGCTAGAGTAAAAGAGTGTGGACAAAGGAAAAACGATTCCTGATTGGTGGAAAGAAAAACTTTACAGCTGGTGGCGAGATTGGAAAATTCGCCATTGGAATAACAGTGAAAATTACCTGCCTCAAAAAATTTATGTTCTACATTAATAAAGGCATGTAATAAGTTCATTACTGACTTTTTTTCAATACGAAATTTCACAGTTACAGTAAATGTAAAAATTATGGCTGAAAATTAGGATCGTTATTAGTTATTTGAATTTATCCTTATTATTACTTACTTGCGTGCATATAAAGTTTTGTTTATCTCATTGTAAAGAGAACAAAGTGATGAAATAACTAATGATTTCATACGAATAAATGTATTTACTTTTAATAAACATAATTTCTATCTAAATTACCTATAAATTTTAAGATTTAAGCATCTTTTCATCAAAACTTCAGAAGTGCAGAGTTTGGCGATATTACTTTGAAATATTGGCGCGTTACAATGTTGGCACTTTCTTTTTTAAAATGCTTAAGTTTGATTTCTAATTGAGTTGTAAAATAACTTTTTTTTTCATGCAAATATAAAAGAATGATTTTACATTATATTTTGTAGAATTTATTTTTAAAAACATTTGATAGATAGTTTTAAAAGGAGATATCTTTTGATAAATTTTACTTATTTTAGCATGATTATTAACTTAGTTGAAGTGTGAAATTTGAAATACCTAAGTGGAATCCTCGCTTTCTTTTTATCTCAATGAATCAAATCAATATTTTTCCTTATCTGAATATATTTTCTAAATACAAACATGTTTAAAAATACCTTTTTTTTTCAGATTAAGGTTCCTATGCTCCATAAGTTATATCTCCTAACTTTTTAATTAAATGTGTTTTTATTATCAAAATTTGTTGCATGACCATGACATTAATAATGTATTATCCATTTTGTATTACAATTCAGTTAAATTCTTCACACACTGTATTTTTTTCCCTCTGAAATGCTTAAATGCAAAGTGAAAGTAAATTAAAACAAAAATATTTATCTCTTCTATGTTTTTAATTCTCCAAAATTTATTTCTGCATAAAAAAAAAATTAGAAAACTTCAATGTAAAACTATTTGTCAGTATTTATGAAGCCATTGTTAAAATTTAAGGTCTAATTTTATTTCTTCTTTCTGTTAATAAGAATTAGAAGTTTTTTAAAATTTATTTGATCTTGTATCATTTATACAGAAAAGTAGGAAAAGGGGTGTATAATATACGTTTATGATACCTTCAAGTTAATTTTTCACAGTTTGTTTTTATCAAAATTTAAAATGATGAAAGTCCTTCAGAATAACACCAAATGAGGAAGAAGCGCCGATTTTGGTGTATCATCTGGCAATCCCCTTGGACAAAAAAATGACGGCAGCACATGCGCTTTTGAAACCGAAACCCGAGTGCTCCAATTCGGATAGAGAATATCAGTTCCTTATGAAATGATTTTCTTTTTAATTTATTTTAATTTTATTCTTGTTTATTTTATTTTAATTCTAACACTTTTTTGACGTAGGGGGTAAGGGTACTTTTGTTCTGAGTTCAGGGTCAAGTTGAATTTACTCGGAGATGTGGGAAAGTACTGATTGTTTCGATTTATGCCCGTTTCTTTTTGGGTCTTTTTTTAACGCTAAAACTGTTTATAAAAAGTTTTGTTTTTCAATAATATCATTGGTTGAATATGAATTTTTTGAGTGCTTGAAAATTTTTGTAAAGTGCTTGAAAAGTTTTTAAAAAGTGCTTATTTTTTATTCAAAGATTTGGCTACGCACCCTGGGTTTGCAAGTCTGTGTGTCATTTTTGATAATAACTATAGATTTATAAAAATAAATAACTGCCATTCCTTGTTTAGTTGTAGCCTCTGCCATTCCAAGCATCTCACCTCAGGCGCAACAACCAGTAACACAACCACTCTCCATCTGTACGCAACAGCTCCAGTCTGTCGCTACACCCTCAACAGCTTCTCTTTCTACACCACCTACAACACCCTCTGTACCACCTTTATCTACACCTTCTCCAGGATTCTTTTCTCCAGGACAAGAAGCTCAAACTATTTCCCAAAGTAAGGAAGCATACTTTAAGTTAGAATTTTTGTTCCCCTCATTTTCCTAATTATAACTGACACAAGAGACATGGCCCTAATATAAGTATTGATTTGTTCTGCCGCCATCCCAGTGGTAGTGTCGCAGCTCGACACATGTGTCTCTGGTTGATCGACAATATTCTAACCCCATTGTAGCCAATTGTGTTGTATTTTTATGTGACAGTGAGCATTCAAAATGTTTAAAATAATTTCTGATTCAACAGGGCTGATTGTGCTCCGGAAAAAATCCGGATTTTTCGCTAGCAGTGATCCGGATGCTTCCGGAGATCGAAGGTCCAGATATTTCAAAAAATCTTATATCGCAGAAGTTTCCGAAAATCAAATTTTCAAAGGTGGAACTTAAAAACACAGTTTATTTGTTTGTAAGGGAGAGCCAGATACTTTATAAGCTTATATTCATGATTAATATTCATTTTTTATCAGTAAATAGTTATTATAATCATAAACTCAAGAAAGAAAGACATATTTGTAAATTTTAATTACTTCTCCTGGTCATCATGGGTATATGTAAGTGGTATAGGTATGTGTAAAATTTTAAATATATGTTAAGTAAACCAAGAAATATTGAGAAAAAGGAGAAAAAAAACTTGCTTAAATTTTTTTCAATTTAAAGTTGTTTTTTTTTTAACTCAAGAAATTTTCCGGAATTTTGACTTGGGCTCACAATCACCCCTGATTCAACCAACTGTGAAAGGTCAACCAACTATTACACAGGTTTTGAACCCAAAGAATGTTAAGCTACCTGAAATGTATTGTCAACTTGAAGTTATTCATGCTGAAAACGGAATGGTGAAAAAGGTGGCTTAACAATTCAATGATGTACGCGCCAATGTTCAGTGATCAAGTTGCAAAAGCTAAATTCGTAAAATAGACTGTTTTCAATATGAATGCTTTATGGGGAGTTCCCACAAATTTCAAAAGCTGTTTTGCGTGAGGTTGTCACAAATTGATGAAAAAACATTCAGAATTGGTTGTCTTTCTTTGAAGAGGGTCCGTTTCTTGCTACGATAAATGTCTGAACAATGTTGGTACTTATGTAAAATAAAGTTTCTGAAAGGTTTTTTCATGTAAAAGCAAAAAAAGTTTTTAAAAACATTTTTTGTACAGGATTTTCCTAAGCGGTACTTACTTTACATGCATGTTTTGTAAGCAGTCAGTCCAAAATATTTTTTCTCAGTCTTTTGTTAATATATAGGTTTCATGCTGAAGTTTTGACTTATGGCATATTATGCAAAATGGGAATATCTAGCATTTTACAAATTGATATCGTAACTTTTATTACGAATATTTTTTTATTGAAAAAAAAAACTGCCTTTTAGTTTTATTGTTTTCAAAATAAAATATATATTTTAGTTTCCTCAAAATATTATTTTTAGATTTTTTTTTTTTAACTGAATGCAGTGAGATCCTTAAATAGGGAGGCTAATGCTTTTAATTTATTCTAATAAAAGCAATTAGGTAAAGTCCTATAGATTAATATTTAAATTAGCTTAATACAAAATGAATTGAGTTGTATGAATTATTCTCTTTATACTCTGATTTTTCATTACATAATTTTTCAGGAAACTGGTATGTAAGGCAAGAAAGAATTTAAATCAAGTAGCAAAAAATAAATAACATTCCAGATTAATCACACTAGCTGTTAACTTCTTGCACTATTTTTTTAAAAATATACCACGCATGCACATTTCTTATATTTGGATTAAAAATTAGATGAATGATTTTCCATATTTTTAAAAAATAGTACAAAAAGTTTTTTTTTTTTTTCAATTAATTATGGTTTTGTTGACAAACTTCTATAACTTTTCGCTTAATTATTCTGCCCCTGTAGCTTTTATACATCATAATTTTTAATAGAATAATTTGGAAAAATGAAATAAGTTTTTCAAATAAAAGTTTTGATGTAGTTCCAATATGCGTCATTATATTGCCATTCATTGTTTTGAAATTTTAGATAATTTTTAAATAGTAGTTAAATCAATGAAATTTAACACTGTTATGCAACAATTTTTTTTATCAATTTTGTGTTGCGAATACTATTTTAGGGCTTCTTATTTCTTGTTCTTTCTTTCTGATTGATTTCTTTATTTTTTTTAAAAAATTGATTTGCTTGTAAAACTTGTTCTGAGTTATTTTCTTCCAAGGTAAGTTAGAAATTCAGGATTGTGATGTTAAATGTTGTGCTTTTTGTTGAGCCATTAATACCAATTTAATGTATATCTGTATATAGACGATTTACTAAGGTGTGTCAAGTAAGTTATATTAACTTCAGTTTTTTTTCTTAAAATTTAAAAAAAAATTTTTTAAAGTAAATTTATTAAAATTTTTAATTTTTCTGAGTAATAACAAAAATTTATGTTGAATTTATAACTTATTTTTAAAAATAAGAGCATTTTACAACTTTTTAGTTAAATTAATCTGAATTATTTTTAAGTATATTGCTGTAATTTACATTCTTCACTACTTGTTTTAAAAAAAAAAGATTTCATAGTTAAAATTTAGTGCTAAATTTGCATTTGAATGACGCTTTTGCTTTTATATAGGAACTTTATTGATCCCCCTAAGAATTTTTCCCTGCTTTTTTAATATTTTAAGGATCAGATTTTCATTACCATGTCTAGGATGTCGATGACATAAACTTCTTGAAAAATACTCTTGACGAATTGGGGAAAAAAATTCTTAAAGCCTTTTTTAAAAAACAACACTTCAAACGTTAAAGAAAGCCTTTCAAATTTTTCATGCTATGTTTTATATCATCTTTTTTTTAAAATAAAAATAAAAATTATAAATCCTAAACTAGATTTATAAATATAAAAAAAGTTATTAAACTAAATATGTAATTAAGGAATAAATGAAGTGAAATTTAAATAAATATTAAATATAAATAAGCATTTATTAATTTCTGATCATAATTTTCAAGAGCATCAGTATTGCATTGTATTGTTTAATATTTTTTGATACTCTTGAAAATCTAATCGTCTTTCTTCCAAAAGCAATATCAACACTTGCTATTGAACGATATTTTAAATACAATATTCAATGCAAAATTCTCTTAAAATAAAAGTTATCTATCAATATTGATAAGAAAAAATCTAGAAAAGGAAAAAGTCTGAAGGAGAAAAATTAAAAAATAATTTTTAAAAAAATACCCTATGGGGAAGGGGAAAAAACGGCCAAAAAGACATTTATCATCAACATACTAGCCCTCGTCAATGCCACAGAATACACTAATTAGGAAAACATGATATTAACTTTCATAGTTAAATATCAGAGAAAGAAGATGCTGATTTCATTATTAAAGACATGGATCTGAATCAATGCTTTTATACCTTTTATTTATATATATTTTTTTGATGCTGACTGAAATAAGTTTGTCAGAACATTTAAATGGGTGATAGTAAATTTATTCATTTGATTTCATTCAAATAACTTTTTCAATGTTGAGAGATGATTATTTAATTTGTTATTTAAAGTGATCTGTTAATAACTGTACTGGAATTGATTTGTGTAGACTATTTTGAATCATTAATTTAATTCAAATCACTCATATGATTTGTTTTGCTAGTTCTAAATAGGGATTAAGTACTATATGTATTTTTTTTAAAAATTGAATTACCGAAAGTATATTTAGATTTTGTGTTTTTTTATAATTCTTAAATCTTCACTTTTGGAACTAAATATCATTACTTATTTTGTTAACGTAGCATGATAGTTAAAATATCTCGTTTCAAACAAAGATAGGTGAAAAATTTTAAGTCTCTTACCACTATTTCAATTAGGCTATACTACCATTATTATTACTATTAGCACTATTTTATAGAGGCTTCGACCTGTGTAATTTGATTAAAAGCATTGATCCTCTGATACTATTGAGATATCAATAATAATTAAACCTCGTGAAATATTTCCTTATAACGAATTTTGTTCTATTAAATCTGGGAATTTCACCGTATTTCATCTTATATACTTAAAAATATTAAGTCTCTTACCACTATTACAATTAGGCTATACTACCATTATTTTTATTATTAGCGCTATTTTATAGAGGCTTTGACCTGTGTAACTTGATTAAAAGCATTGATATTCGGATACATATTGAGATATTAATAATTAAACCTGTGAATGAGTGAAATATTTCTTTATAACTAGTTTTGTTCTATTGAGTCTGGGAATTTGACATAGACGATTTTTGTACTTTTAAAGTCAGTGAAAATACTTAATTGATACATAAATGTCTATGCTTTAAAGTTAATAAGAATAGTTAATGCTGAAATGTTTGTGCTTTAAAATTAATAGAAATACTTAATTGATACATAAAATCTTTGTGCTTTAGTTAATGGAAATACTGCTTTAGATGCCCTCTCACCTCACTTAACTCCTACTACTTTGAATGGTCTTGGAACCTCCCCACCTCAGTCAGCTCTCTCCCAAAACTTTACTTCAAATAATAGTAAGTTTTTTTTTACCTCTTTCTCTCTCCCTTTCTCTCCTTTTTGCCTCAAGTATTTGCCTCATAAAGTATATAAAGTATTTGATTAATTGAAGATGTCTATCCAACCCGTTTTTTTCCATTTTGATCCCATCTCCTGCAATCCTTGACACATTGTATCATTTGCTTGCTTTCATTATGAACAAAATTACTTGGATGCTGTCAACTGCACTATTGCAAAAAACTTTGGGAAATTATGAAAACTTAATAGCCTTTTATATTTTAATTTGTGTTTGTTGCTTTATTTTTAATGTTTCTCCCAGTGGTCGGAAGTAACACACTACAAGTTGTGAAACTGCTGTAGTTGCTAATTTTTTTTGTAGTTTTTAATGTAGCTGGCTACTTTTTTAAAAAAGTAGTGTAGTGAATAGCGTGATACAAGGAGAAAAAACAGTAGTGTGTGGCAATTCCTGGCAACTACTTTTAGTGTTAGTTAAGAATAGTAACACGGATCTGTCAATAGATGCAATGAAAATGACCCTATGGCTGAAGCTGAGCGTTAACAGAAATTATGAATTTAAAATCACGTATAACTAATATATAAACTAGCCATTACGAAAAATTGATAATTTATTACTTCTGTTACACTTTCACATGTGAATGCACACTCGAGAAGCATTGATATTATTTCAAAGAAAGGGAACGTATTTTTGATGTTAATTAATTACCTCAATTAATTTCTTGGAGGAGATAAAATAGCATTAAACAATTTTTAAAAATTGCAAGCATTTGATAATTTCCCATTTCTTAAATTAAATATTCACTATTGAAAAAGGCAAAAAGTTGAAGGTTAAGTGAACAAAAATGGATAAAGATGTTTTGGAATTACAAACTGGCTCATGTAAACATTAATAAATTATTCCCTAATGCTTAATGTAAGCTAATTTCTTATTCGAAACCATTTTGAACATGGTGTAAATTTAGTTCTCCAGCAAAGTTTGTCTACTTAAAGTAATGAAGTAGTTAACTACATTTGCAGCAAAGTAGTTTTGGTTGTACTAAACTACGAAAATAGTGTAATTTTTCTGACCACTGGTTTTTCCCTGTAGCATTTAAAGACATGGTGTATCAAAAATGAGGTGAATTTTTGGTTGTCAAAAGAATAGGTAGTGATAAATTGATGAACAATCCTGTCATATTATCATTCGAAAAAAGAAGCCACAAAACATTTATTTCAATGAGGCACCAAATCAAACATTCCCTCTTAAGTTAGTCTGACTCCAGATTCCCTAATCATGTATTCTGTTTTCACTTTCACCAGTCTATGGAAATGCTACTCGTGTAAGTACAGTATACTCTAGATATCTCAAAGTTGAAGAGACACTGAAAAAACTTTTAAATAGCAAGTTTTCAAGATAACAAGCTCAGAGCTAAATATGTTCTAAAATAGAACTCTTAAAAAGTAGTGTCTGTCATGAAACATAAGAATAACTGCTAACAATTATGTATGTAATAATAGTCGACTATAAGTCTAAATACAGCAATGATAATTTTTATAAGTAAGACAAAAATAATTATGCATTAAATAAAAAAGAATTGGTTTACAATAAACCTATTTTGTGATTCTTCTGAAAGAATTAATTTTCTATTTTTAAAAATATTTGACATAGCAAGGTTTTGAGAAGAAACTCTTCGACATGGGAATTCAAATTAACATTTGGTGAAATAGGTAATGCCAAGAGGTAGAGAAATTTCTTATCCACAACCAAGAGGTTGTGGATAAGAAATGCCATTTGTTGGTTGCTGTTTACAAATCTATTGGCGGAATAACATTACATACCTAATTTAAAGTATTTTAATCATCAGACAGATTGATATAGAAATATTTACAAACTGTTATACCTTGATACCAGCTTTGTATAAAATAATCAGCTACTAAAGAGCTCTAAATTCACCTTATTTTCTGATATGGCGTTGTACTTAAATGTCAATGCACAGACTTGTTATTTACTCTGGGAGTAATCTTTTTACTTTTGCTTTCTGTGAGTATTTATCTTTCTACAATTCAGTGTAGTGACACTTATTTATTTTTTTGAAAACAAATAACTTGTGGAATAGCAACTGACTGCTTTATTTTGCTATAGAAAATATTTCAGAAAAGTATAGCTACAGATTTTACTATCGCAATAAAGCACATTTCAATTCTTCTGTTTCAAAATCTGAATTTTTGAATTGCACTGCAATTGCTTTAAAATATTTCTTGCTTATTCTTCAAGCTTTCTGCAAGTTATGCCACCTTTAAAAAATGAAAAATAATATGCGTAATATTTCACAAGAAAATAAGTATTTTCAAGTAATTTTTCCCCAAAACCAATTACCCTTAAATAGGCTTGTAAAGTGAGCATCCTTAATCAGTTTGGTTATATGGTAAGTCAATTTTTTTTCTTCATAAGTTGAAAATGTGTTCTTTTTTCATTTTTTAAAATTGAAATGCTAGTAAAGTAGCTAAAATAAAATAATTTTTAGACAAATATAAGACATTGCAAGCACTCAGAGATTTGTATAGTTACATACAAATTTGTATTTTGTACATTAGACTCTATTTTAAGTTAACTCATTATGCTTAATTTTTTTTTCTTTTTTAAAAAAAATTAATATGCTTATCATGGAAATGGTCTTTGCCTAATAATTTTTAATTTTTCTATATTGATTCATTTTCTGTGCTTAAACTTTTTTAAAGTTTAATGTAAATATATATTTGTAACCCTTTGAGCAATTGAAAAGCATTTTACATTTAACTTTTTAGTAGATCTAGAGACTTGCAACAAAGCATATATATTATATTATATACACACACATAGGTTCTAGTTATTTAAATGTGCAAAAAGAAGATTCAATATCTTGTTTTATAATATGTAGGTAACAAAAAAAAATTATTATGCATGTTACTGTGACTGACAGGATTACCAAAAAATACAATATATTTTTTTTTAAAAATCTGATTTTTTTATGTTTTCGAATTAAAGCTCTTATAAAATGTGTATCATACTTAGAATTGTAAAAAAACAATATTATAGCTTAATTATTTAATGTTATTTAATAAAATTAAAATTATTTAATTTTTACAAAGCTACCCTCAAAGTAAATAAAATCATCGCAATTTCTTATCAAGGTCAACATCTTCATGAATTGTAATTAAATTTCATTATATACACTAACTGCATATTTAATAACTTTTAAAAGTGTTTACATCTAACCAAACTTTAAATGAATATAATTAAAACATTTTCACTAAACAGCTAACTATGTGTGACACAGCTAATGTAACATAACTTAAGTCTCTTATCACTTTTATCCACATATTGTATTTATTACTATTATTTATTATTCTATTTTGAACATCTATCAATAATTTTCTTACTTTCTCCTTTCATTATTTCTCTTAACTTAAATTGATGCTTTAAAAATATCAGTTGATTTAAATCAATGACTTTTTTTTTTTTTAAAAGAAACTTCTTTTTAAATCGTAATTTAAATCATCCTTAATCTGGGGTAGCTTATTGAATACAGAATTCATTAAAAATAACTTAATACAAATTTGTCTGTAAAAAATCCTGTATTTGAGTAAATCCTGTTGCAATGTGTTTCATTTTGTTTCTGAGCACTAATGGTGGTGTATTACCAGGTGTATTTACATTTAGGTGGTGGGGATTCTTAATTTGCCAAATGAAATTTCAATTTTACCAAATCAAAAAATTAAACTGCTTAATATCCCATGTCTGATAATAATTTAAGTTTTTCTGTGGATAAGAGTTTTTACAGTAATTTGTTTTTAAAAGAAAAAAAGGTGGTCCTCTTGGCCTGCAGTGATTAAAGCAATTTTTTTTTTAATGTTTATTTTGCTAAAGTCATGTATGAAGGCAGAAACTAATATGAAAATTCATCTATATCTTTAAATATACCCATTAAGTTGTACCATTGTGCTACCTTGGTAAAGTATTTATTGTGTAATATGTCTGTTAAATTGTTATTCTCTCTGTCGTTCTTCTCTTAAAAGAATAAAGTATAAAAGAAATTTTGTTTTCAGTGTTAAAATTACTATGTAAGGCTATAAGCAAGTTATTTTTTTAACAATTTTATTATAAAATATAGAGCATTAGATAGTTACTAAAGTTAACACGAAAGTAAAAAAAAAAATATTCCTGTCATACAACATTTAGCTAAGCCTAACTATATACCCACTGTTAAACAATTCTTAATAAATAAAATTTTGAAATTTACTTAAATTTCTATGTAGATCTGTTCTTTAGATGTCCCTTTACCAGTTTGAACTAAAATTAATGGGTTTTGACAGTTTTTAATGATATTAGAAGAAAGTACATCAACAACTTAAACTAGCATACCATTTAAATTGATCATAAACAGATAGTTTGTAAACCTTAATTTTTTTTATCAGATTATAGAGCTAAAATAAAATTGCTTGCTGAAATCTCAGCAAATGTCTCTAACACCCTATGTACCCACTTTACCTCACTTGACCCTATTCTTTTTTGGGATATTTATTGAACAAAAGTGAATATTTGTTTATTGAAAATATTAATTAATAATCGATAAAGTTTTTAGAAAAAACATGTTTCATTCTTTTAATAATTTTAACTTAGGGTATAAAATAATGTTGTACCTTTTATTTGAAATAATCCAAGGAAAAAACGAGTTAAAACCAGTTTTTTTTTTTTTTTTTTTNTTTTTTTTTTTTTTTTTTTTTTTTTTTTTTTTTTTTTGAAGTTTCTTTTAATCCTGTTCCCTGGAAATAATCATCTGCAGCTTACAATTATGTTTTAAGTTACTAATATTGTTTTCAATGTTATTTTGCTGCACTAAGATAATTGAAATCATTTTCAATAAATAAAGAAAAATTGGGAAGATTTTTATTTTGTGAATTCTTTAAGTACCATTTGAAAAGATATTTCATGGTATAGTATGTTTTGTTCAGACGTTTTTTATACATTGCCTTTCTATTTAATCTGATCATTCTGGTTTTTATTTATTAAAGCATTTTTCTTTATTGTTGAATTAAGTTTCTTTTTGGATTGAAATTGTCAATTTGAAATACTGCAATTTTTCATTAATGCATATCTTTTTTATAAAAATAGCTAAGTTATTCCAGAAATATTTTATTATTGACAGAAAGTTAATATAATTACAGCTTTAAAAAAATCATTATTGGTTACTCTTATAAACCTTTGTACAGAACTAAGGTTCAGTAAAACTAAACACATATTTTAGAAACCACGAAAGCAATAAACAAATTCTTTTTTTAAAGGAAAGATCCTTGTATTCTAACCAATTCTTTATCCCATCTGCCTACATGACAATTAGTGGTTTAAAAAAAAACATAGTATTGTAATGCAATACCTGAAAATGGACTTTTCTAATCCTTCAACTTAAAGGCTCTATCTAACTTTCGATTTATATCGATGAGCCAAGTGTTTGAATTCAGATGTCCTGCACTCATAAATCTGACAACCGAAAAAATTTAAATGTTGTCATTTATAAATGATTCCATTCTTGTAAATATGGTGACGATAATGGGACTGATTTCCCTTAATAGAAAATATTAAACTGCATGCACGTTGTATTTTTAGTTCCATATAAATATTTGAGGTATTTTTACATTTACTTCATATAGCCCATTTTTCATTGATGTATGGCACTTGAAACAACCATCAGTAACATATTTAAGATGTAAAACTCTTTTTAGTCTTTTAATTCAGAAGCAAAATAACTGAATTTTCTTGAAAATTTTGCTTTTTTAAATTATTGCATTGTCATTTTTCAAGGTGACCACAGAACAAGGAAAAATCAAAAAATTTTGCCAATCTGGAAATATAAAGAAATTTTACGACCGAAAAGTTTAGGAAATTGAATAATTTTATTTTTAAAATACTGAAAAATCTGATATTTTTTGAAAAAAAAAAAGTTTGTATTTTAATATATATTTTTTTAATTGTTTATTTTTAGCTCTAATGGCACATATAATCAATATATTTTATGATTAAGAGTGAGGCTTAACTGAAAAAATAACTATAGCATTTGTGTAAATAACATCAAAAATTAAGCAAATCCAATAAAATCAGTCTGGAAAAGTCAATGAATTTTTTTTTCTGTCAGGGATGAGATTTTTCCACTTTTTTAGCAGATATCCGCTTCTTTCGCTTTTGTCTGTCGAATTTCAGCCTTTTTATCAAAAACTCTGATTCTCTGAAAGTTTCTTTTTTTTTTTAATAAATATTCCTCTTTTTCTGGAAGTTCAGTCATTGAAAAAAAATAGTTATATTCATTTCGGATTTTCAAAGATGAACAAAAAATTTAATCTACGTAGCTGCCAACCTTTCCGCATTTTAACTTATTTTAGCTATTTTCTCTGCTTATACGCGCAGAAAATAAGATTTCCTGTAGTTTTGCCTGCCTCCCAGATAGCTCATTTTTTTGTAATTCAGACGTTTGCAGGCGTAATTCAGACGCTGCTTCCTGTTTGCGCCAGGAAACAGCGACAAACAAAATAATTTTTTAAAAATAGCGGGGGATTTTTTATTTATTATGGCTAAACAATACAAAAAAGCCTTTTAGAAATCTCCGGCCCAGAATCTGCTAATATCTTGAGTCTTATTCACGTGACTTTAATATTAAACATTGTATTTCGTATTAACTTGATTTAAAAGTTGCGCATTGCAATTCTTATTCACGCATTTAAATATCGTACATTGTGATTCCTATTTACGAGTTTTAAAAATCCATGATCGCGATTTGTATTTACGTGTTTTTAAAATCGCGATTGATTCGAAATTTTCTCGTTGCGACTCTTATTTACATGATTTAAGTGTCGTACATTGCGATTCTTATTTTCAAGATTTAAAAATCCAATAGTGCAATTTGTATTTACACGTTTTTTAAAACTCTATTTAGTGATTTGTATTCACGTGAGTTTAAAATACATTGTCCTGATTTGTTTATGTGGTTGTAATATCAAACATTGATTTTCGTATTTATAGATTAGACATTGGGATTCGTATTTACACAATCTAAAAATTCCGCATCATGATTTGTATTTTCGCATTTTTGAAATCCAATATCCAGTTTCATATTCACATGATTTAAAAGCCACATATCAGGATTTGTATTCTCTCAATTTAAAATCAAATATTGCAATACTTATTCACACACTTTTAAAATCATGCATATGATTCAAATTTTATGTGATTCATATTGATGCAATTTTTAAATTAATCATCGGGATTGATTATCACATGTTTTAAAAGTTTAAAAAATCACACTTTTTTGCAAATTTTTGGATATTATAGCTTCTATAGTTCGTTCACCAGAAGTTGGCACATGGCTCCACCTCCTCGAGTTCATTTCTGCTGAGGAGTAAGAGGGGAAACATCTCTGCATTTGAAAATGAAACAACCCTTAATGCACGCCAAATGCAAACAGTGGATTATTTTTCAGTCACTTACTTCACTTTATCATCTGCTGTTATACCTTTCCTTACTCTAGCTAATTAAATATATTGCAGCAAAATGTCTCAAAATGGACAAAATATTCACTCAAAAGAAAGAAATATTATCAAATTTATGAAATATTTAATGTTAAAAAAATGCACGTTAAGATTGTGAAATAAATATTTTATTCATACGATCACCAAATAGCAACCTTATTCAGGATTGTTCATATCTTTCTTCCAAAAATAGCAAAATTTTATCATCGGATACCGCGTGATGAAGACAGAGCCAAGTTCCAGCTCCTGGGTGAACAAACTATTATTTATATATATTATATATACATATATTATATTATATACAGTGGAACAGTTGGTTTTTGTAGAAAATAACTTCTAACGCAGGAAAACTTTTAAATGGGAACTTTTTAAACCGGTTCTACTGTATATATATTATGTTATTTTTATATATTATTTATATATATATAACTGTTGTTTTTATATATATATATATTCATTCATTCATTCTTGGATTTTCTCCTTTTTACTCTCTGACTACTCTCATCCCTGCTGAATGTTTGTGGCAATCTTGTTTTTGTTTTGAATGGTTTAAAAGTTACTGGTATTCGTTTAATTAAAATTCTGCTTCAATCATTAGGTATTCTGCCTACAGGTTCAACAAATACTTGGACTGGAGGAAGTACACTTTCCTACACTCAGTCTATGGTGCCCCCGGAAAATAACTTACCTCTGCGTCCACAAGGAACTAACTTCTGTAAGTACTGTAACTTTCTGCATTTGCTCCTGAAGTCAAATCATATACCTATCATACTTTATGTGTGGTCTATCTGACTCAGGGATTGCAAACTTTCTTGAAGGAAGAGTGAGAATGTTTTTTCTAGAAAAAAAAAATTATTCATGTCAATTCCAGCCTGACTAATAATGATAAAATGAGGAAAAAAATCTTATTTATAGCCTATGAAATTTTTACTCAAATACTGTATTAAACTAAACACCCCCAACTCATTCAAATGCCCCCTGGACAATTGGACAAACAATCTATGCCGAATAAACTAAATGACCTCTTCTGCTAGACGTTCTTGTAAGATATTTTTTTATTACTAAGTGGAGCAAAATTTTGCTTTCTTATAATTATTCAATGGGGAGAAGAAAAAACTGGTTCAGCAAAGAGTGTGTCTTTTTGCTTCCTTTTTCCAGGACAGCAAAGATGACTTTATGGGAAATTAATGGTTTATCTTCTTCAGGGAAGTACTTTATCATTAACTGGGAATGAAGATTCTTGGTTAATGACTTAACCCACTGACGGTTCTGCACGTAAAAAGTCGTATTTTAACCTTCTCTGCTTAGCAAAACTGCTTTTTCCATTTTATTAGATATGGAAATAGTGAGGTGAGAAACATTCTCCCAATTTCGCCCATTTGCTAATCCACCAGTGGGTTGAGAGAGATGAAAAAGAAGGGAAAGGGTGAATGAACAGTAAAGCCATCTAAATTGTTCCTGTAACCATTATATATTGCTCCAAATTGCAAAACTTAAACTTCTACTTTAAGTTTTAGTTGTTTAGTTACCTAAGTTTTAGTTAAGTTTAGTTACTAGAAAAAATTTGCTTTTTCAAGTTTAAACCATATTATATGTACCATTTCTCTAAATATATAAGATTTCACTAAATTAATCCTAAACATTTTGTTTAACCAAGCTTTTGTTCATATTTTTTTTCTAGGGGGACATCAGCAATTGCATGCTGATGTAGCTTTACAGCAGGGCACTCTCTCTAATCAACCAGGTATGGTAAAAAAATCCTTCTTAAAAAAATAATAATTTAAAATATGAAGGTCGCTGAAAAATTTACTTCATGTTGAGCGTTATTCTTATATTGTGCACAAAGACTACTTGCTTCATTTATTTCATGGCTATACTCATGCTTGGCACTATGTAAATCACTTTTTTGAAAAAATCATTGTTCTAATATAAATATTTGTTTGTTGTTTTGAAAAAAATTTATTCTGAACTAATTAAAGTTTTTTTAAGAAATTATTAATTCAAGTTTAAAATATTTCTACATATTGTAATTAATAAATATATTCTTTTAGGTGGAATTTTTTTATTTAAGTTATTGTTTAATTTTTTTCATAAAAAAAGCAGGGTTGGCTGATTTAAATCCATGTGGTTTAAATGACTGTTGAAACTAGACGATTTTTTCAATAAGTAAAATTTCTACTCTTTTTATAATTTTTTTTAGTTTGAATATTTCCAAAGGAAAAATAAAGTTATCTCTTATTTTTTTTACAATTTTGAGTTTAATTGCTAATTCCTATACTTTCAATAAACATAAAACTTCAGTTTTTAAATGTTTATGCTGAATTAAATTTTTGACAAAAATAGCTATGTAAAATAAATTAATGCAAGCAAATTTTAGATAAAATCATGAAATGACTCGAAAATGCTTGAAATTAAATAGACCATTACTAATTCTGTTGACTTTCAAAATTAGTTCAATTGTGTAATTATTGAAAGAATTAAAGTTTCTCAAATACTATCTTTATATGCTTGTTAAAGATGCATAGCGCTTGCTGCAATCAAAAATATAAATGGGTGTAAGGTGCTTTTCTCAATTTAGTATTTAGAATTATTTTCTGTTACTTGACTAAGCAAATTTGTATTGTATATATGCAGTATGCTTATATTCATTATTGTAATATTTCAAAAAGAAAAAAATTCACTTTACGAAAATACATTCAAAATTCGCTTAAAATATATATTTTTCTTAATGCGGCAGAACATCATCAATATAAACATTGTTATATTTTAAGCTCTATTAAGTTAAAATAAATAACATGAAAGTAATTTAATCTTTGTTTTTCTATCTATTAGAACTGAAGCATAGCTTTACTGTTCTATTTATTTGTATTTATGTAAATTTTAGAATATTTCCATTGTATTTATGTTGTCCATCTATTTGTGAATTTTAGAAAATTCCCTAAAAGTGAGTAAGTTTCCTAAAAAAATCCTTTTTGAAATAGAATTTTTGTACAGATTATTGCTTACTTCATTATTTATATAATACATAATGAAGCAAACGTCATTTATCGAAATCAGCTTAAAACTTTTTTATTGTAAAATATTCAATTTAATTTTATTCAGAACTCTCTTTTTAAATTAATTTAAAAAAATCCTTTAATCTTTGCTGAATTAAATGCCTTTTAATATTCGAAATCATGAGTGTACATAATACATAACATTTCAAATATGTTTAATGTCAATCATAACTGGAAAATATTACAATTTTTCTATTTTGATGACTTATACAAATCCCTAAAATTCCCTATGTGTTAAATATTTAGTACATCATGCAACAATTATTATGAAATTTATATTATTTTGTAAAATCTACTGGATTTCTTTCTATCATTGTTGACAGCTATGTATATTAATGCTGCATATTGTATACTACAAAATAATGACATTAACCTATTTACTATCAAGTTATTTTGATGATTTCGATACATAAATTGTCAATTTTTTTTAATTGAAAAAATTAAATGTTTAGTACAAAATAAGATATACTTAGTAGTTAAAAATTTATATTTGGAATTTAATTCATAAAAATTTTAAGTTTTTGTAACCACTGCATATTTATTTGAGGCAGCTGCCCCTCAGTGTGGCAGTGGTAAAGTTCGCTTCTAGCGGCGCATTCTTTTCTAAAAAATTTAAAAAAACTCATCAAAATGACGTTTTAAAGAACTGGGTTTGTTTTTTTAGTTTGTGGGTGGGTCAAAAATTCTAAAAAAGGGCAAAATTGATGTAAATACATAAAGTAAAAGGATGCGTAGCATTTTTAAAAAGTACTTAAAGGTGCTTATTTTCGTTTTTTAAAAGCCCTTAAAGATGCTTTTTTCATTGGGTGTTTTTAAAAAGTGCTTAATTTTCCCTTTTTCAAAATTAGATTTTTCCTTTACCATGTTGATTTTCACTGCGAATTATGCAGTAAGACACAGTTCACATTGTTCTATTTGATGTTTTCACAATTCATTCAACCCGAATCTATTTCAGCATATTGTCAGTCCGTAGCATATGAAAAGGCCATTCCTTTTACATGATTCAAATCTTCCTGATTTTTGACAATTGTCAAAACAATGCCTGCATTTTTTTTATTTATTTATTTTTTTGACATGACGGTTAAAACAAGATAAAACAGCCAAATGTCACAAACTTTCCAACCCTGCCCGATTATGATATTTTTTGAGTGCTTGAAAAGTGCTTAAAATGTGCTTATTTTTTGTTGAATAATTTTGCTATACACCCTGAGTAAGATACATAAAGTAAGCTGGAATAGAAATCAGTGTGCATAATGTAAGAAAAGTTGTAATTGTAAATGGTTTTTTACTTGCCTTCATATTAAAAAGAAGTTTTAATGATTTCACTTTATTTTTTCAAAGCCCCTGAATATTGGTGCTCTATTGCGTATTTTGAACTTGACCAACAAGTGGGTGAAACTTTCAAAGTTTCCTCAACCTACACGAGCGTTATTGTTGATGGCTATGTAGATCCATCTGGTGGAAACCGTTTCTGCTTGGGTGCTCTCTCTAATGTACATAGGACCGAACAAAGTGAGAGGCCTAGGTGAGTCTCACTAAAATATTTTATGTTTAAAAATTAAATTTCTGATCTTGAAAAATATCTACTACTACAATACATAAGTAAAAATATAAAAATAACCCTACTGTTATAGTAAAGTTGACATACTTGAGTTATCACCTCCGTAAGATGCTCCCTCCCACTTTGAGCCATTGAAAATTCTCTCTATTGTCCCTCAAAAAATCACAATTTTTGAAATCTCCTTCATTAAAACCCATACAAATTTATTTCCTTTGAAAATCGTTAAAAAAAAGTAAAGTCGCCATAAAAAAATTCTGCAAAAATCCCTGATCTTAAATGTTTCCATACTCTGAGAGTGTCTTATTTTTACAGACATACTTGTTGAGAAATAATTTTATAATTTTTTTTTTTTACATTTTTTTATTTTTAATATACAGTTTAAAAAAAAAATTTTTAAGTATGTTTGCAAGAAATGATGTTTTGGAGTTCAGAAACTTGCAGAGTTTTCCATAATAACTGCCTTTACTGAAAAACTTTATGTCAACTTTACTGGAAAAGATAAACATTTCCCAACCTAAGCCGTTCATTGTTCAGGTCAATAAAAGCAAAACAGATTTAAAGTCATCTAAAACCAGTTGGTTTGAAAAAGGAAACTTAAAACTAACAAGCACATTTCAGTTTTTCTAGACATTTAATCATGTTTTTGATAACTTTAACCACACTCTCGCTAATCACACCACGGTACCAATTCAGAAACAAATCTCTTTGCTAAGTTGACAATTGAACCTACAGAACGTTGATTCAGGATGTTAATTATTTAATTAAAGCTTACATTTTCACCACAATTTTGAAATTATATCCAATCACCAAACTATTGTATTCTTGACCTTCAACTTGAAGAAAATTGACTGTACAATACAAAGCCCTGTGTACGGAGATCGGTTTACCGGAAGGGTCTTTTTTCCAAACACTTTTTATTAATAAAAACAAACAAAACTTTTTCCTTTTCAAAAATTTTTTTTTTTTTTTTTTTTTTTTTTTTTTTTTTTTTTTTTACTTTTGGGATTTGTTGAAAAAGATGCAGGAATTAGAATTCTACATTTATCGCTAATTTCCGCTTCTTTTTTATTTTTACCCAACTTTGCTTTTTTTCGATTTTAATCCGATTTCCGGTACAAAATGGAAAAAAAATTGGATGTCACAGAAACCAAATTCAGCATTTCACTACAGCACATAGAAAATCGCATATTTTTTACATCTCGTTTAAAAGAAATATTACCTTTAAGAATCACAGGGTGATTTTCAGAGTGCTCAAAAATTTCACATTTGAGATGAAATTGTCTCTACAAAAGCGGTTCATTAATTGGCTATTCAATAGCGAGATTCGGAACTTGCTGATTTTAATAATATTCAATTGAAATTTTAAAAACTATTTGGGAACCTGAAATCATTGAAGTGGAGATTGACAGAACCATATGGGTAATAAAATTTGGTACAAATCGAGATATTAAAAAGTAATTCTAAAAATTTCACTTTTGTTAATCCACACTAGATTGTGAGGGAATCGTCAATAATTGAGTGCATAATGCGCTATTTGAAGTTTGTCAATCAAAATAATGTTGTATTAAAACATTGAGATTTTAAAAACAAACAGTACATCCGATTTAAGAGCTACCAAAAAAACGATCAGCAAAACCACACAAATTCACTGTGGAATCGTCGCTGTTTTAGTAAATTGAAAAAGAATTACTAACTGAAAAGCGTAATTCGAAATTTGCGTCAAAATCATGTGGAAATCTGTGACAAAATCTTTGGAAATAGCGCAACCCCGTGGATTTATTCGTTGTTGATTGAAATTAATGTTACGTATGATCTATTTGTTATTTTTTATAGAATTAGGATTTCCGATGTTTGGTTATCTTAAAGACCTTTTATCTGGAAAAATCTTTTTTCAGATCTTGCCGAAATCCCGACTATTCCGTAAAAGGGACTCCACTGTATTTTAAAAGTATTTGTAATCTAGTTTTAACAAATTTCCCACATTCGGTCTAAAAAGCAGTTTTGCATGTTAGTTACTCTCTTATAAGCAGTGTGTGTACTCAGTCTGTTGTATTTATAACTGATGTTCTTATAGGTTGCATATAGGTAAAGGAGTGCAATTAGATCTGAGAGGGGAGGGTGATGTGTGGCTGAGATGCCTTAGCGATTACAGTGTCTTCGTGCAGAGTTACTATCTGGATCGGGAAGCAGGAAGAGCACCAGGTGATGCTGTGCACAAGATATATCCAAGTGCCTACATTAAGGTAGATAACTGTTGACTGTACTAATCTTTGTTTATTATTATTTTAAATTTAAAATTATTTTTATTTGTTTATTTTCATCAGATAATGAGCAATAATTATACTTAGACATTAAAATTGACATAACATAAACACAAAAATATATAATATTTTTATAATATATATATTATATGTATATATTATGTATTATATTTTATAAAAATTATCTATACACTCAGTGCTTGATATAATGACCCACATGGTTTAGGCAAAAACGGATGTTATAACGTGAAGTGGTTATAACATAAATGCTTTAAACAGCCGTATGCAAATGCAGGATAGTTCTATCAAAAAATCCTCCACCAGGGCAAATTTCTCCCAATACTTGATCCAGGAGTTCCCTTGTCCTTTTGGATTGGGTTCAAAAATACAAGGCTACGGAGTTGAGCGTTGGTAGTCGTAAACCTAAAATTGGGTTAGCTGTTCAATGACGGTTATAAGAAGAATGTATTACAATTCTTAAGTCGTGTGCTTCAAGAGATAAAGTACTCCCCTTCCGATGAGGTGACCCGATTTCGAATCCCTTTGATGCCTGGTCGATACGAATTCTGCATCCAGCTTGCACCAACCACAGTGCTGACATAAAATATCCTCAGTGGTAAATGGATTGTTGGCTAGAGTCCCCTTGCCATCAGGCTAACCGTGGGAGGTTTTCCTCCATGTAATGTAAATGCAGGTTAGTTCCAATGTCCTTAACAGAGGCAAATTTTTCCCAATACTTCATCCAGGACATCCCTTATCTTCTGGATTAGGTTCAAAATTACAAGGCTACGAAGTTGAACATTAGCAGTCATAAACTCAAAATTAGATCAGCTGTTCAGTGAAGGTTATTAAATAAAAAAATAGTAACTCNGGTTATAAGAAGAATGTATTACAATTCTTAAGTCGTGTGGTTCAAGACATAAAGTACTCGCCTTCCGATGAGGTGACCCGATTTCGAATCCCTTTGATGCCTGGTCGATACGAATTCCGCATCCAGCTTGCACCAACCACAGTGCTGACATGAAATATCCTCAGTGGTAAATGGATCATTGGCTAGAGTCCCCTTGCCATCAGGCTAACCGTGGGAGGTTTTCCTCCATGTAATGTAAATGCAGGTTAGTTCCAATGTCCTTAACAGAGGCAAATTTTTCCCAATACTTGATCCAGGGCATCCCTTATCTTCTGGATTAGGTTCAAAATTAAAAGGCTACGAAGTTGAACATTAGCAGTCATAAACTCAAAATTAGATCAGCTGTTCAATGAAGATTATTGAATAAAAAATAGTAACTCTTAGATGAAAAAATACTTGTTCAGTTTTAAAAAGTAATGCTTTACTTTAAAAAGAATGAGATAACTAACCTAAAAATTGATAATGATGCAATGTTTTTTCTATATTAATATGTATTTAAAAGTACTCTTTAAAATTATTCTTCATATGTGAAAAATAAAATAATAGTTTGCATGCTTTTAGACTGCCATTTTTGATAAATAGCATTAATCAAGATAACTGTGAGGACCACATGTTTTAACTTGAAAAAATGAACTCTGACATTTCACAGGGAAAAAAAATGAGTACAACTTTTTAAAAAAATGATTAATACATTTATAGTATCCTTTGAAAAGACAGTGACACTGTAGCAACCACATTGCCAAGCAACCACAGCACCATCTGAACACGCAGTAGATGCTCAGACTTTGGACAGAACGGACTTTCCTTTTCCTCCTTATCGTAATTATTCAAATTTATGTTTGTCCATGTGCTATTTGTTATTAATGAAAATCTTTGGCACTAAGCTTTTCTTTATTTAAACCGATCTGGCTATATCTCAATGTGGCGCCCAACGTCTTCTGTTCAAAATTAGTCTGCGCGTCTGCTCGATAATATTTTCAGGTGGAAAACCCTTTCCCGCTCAAAAACATTTTCCTTGGAAATCCCCTTTTCCCGCTCAACAACACACGTTTGAATTACAGTGTTTCTACTGTATTAAGGTTTTTTTTTCTGTACTGGGTCTCATTTCCCCAACACCCCTGATAGCATTGATTTAACTATCCTGTTCCAGTACTGGATAAGTATACTTTTTTGGTAGTAAAATTTACGAATAAAATAATAATTACAAAATATTGATTTGAAACTTTATGATAAAGTGTTATGTTGTATAGTACGCTCAATGATGATACTAAAACAAAACCATATTACGATATATAGTAATTCTGTGTGTTAACGTTAAATATGTTATCAGTATTTTGAAACCTTTATGCTAAAAAATAATTTATTTAAAGCTTCTCTAAGAATCTAGTAGGGAAATATTTCATGATAGTTATCTCTTTATGTGTCAAAGTGAATATATATTGTGCCAAAGCTTAGAAACTGTATTCTAATTATTTAAACATTGAATTTTTCTCATTAAAAAGTGTGTTTGAAATTATTCATTCATTCTTAAATTATTTTATATGAGTATCACTTTCACTTAAATACTTACTTGTCTATGAATCAGACAAGATTCTTTATTGCTTCCTGCTGCGCCAAAACCACAAACGAATTTCTTTTTCAAGCATGGTAAAATGAAAGTGTTTATAAAATGTTATCAAAACTGAAAATTATGCTAATTATTACCAAGAGCTAATGTCTTAATTGTTACTATATAAATTTAGTTTTATTTTCATTAATCTCAAATACAGAGATATAATGCATTTTGCTAGGATTATAATAAAGCATGGTATTTTTAAAGAAACAAACACAAATTAGAACTAAGAAAGGAAAAAAAATATTTAAATATGGTATTTCTTTTTAATTAATTCGTGTAACTTTTAGTATTGTTTTAATCTTACAATTTTTATGTGTTACTACATTTTGTTTTTAAAAAAAGAAGACACTTTTTTTTTCTTTTTTGCTATATCGCTATAGACAATCTATAATAAATAATTCACTTTATATATATATATGTTCCTATATTAAATACACATTTGTGAGAAAGGTGAATAATTTTGGTAAATAAGGAGTTGTGTATTTTGAAAAATACAGAATCTTTATTTTGGTTAAGTAAAGTTTTTATCAAGGAATATAAAAGTAAATAATTTAAGAAAATTTATTATTGCTTTACTTTTGGAGTAATGGAAATAATGAGTGAAGCAATTAAATTTATTAGATGGTAACACATGTGCATTTTATGAATAAAATTTTTATTTCATGCATTCTGGCCATGAAACATTTTTCTCTCAATGTGGTATTAAAATAACTTATTCACTGAATAAATGCTCTTGAATGAAGTAAAATGTTTGTATGTTGTTAAAAGCAGTAAGGTTTATTGTTCAAAATATTGAGTTTATTTACAATATCGATGTTTAATTTATATACATAAATTAAATTAATTTATATACATAATTTAAATTTATATGCAGAATCATATATTGAAAGTTTATCAATGTACTGAAAGTTATAATTTACTTTACCATTACTTGCTTTATAGTTTACATAATTGAGAACACATTGTATATTTCCATTTTTCATTGGTTGTTTGAATAGGTTATAATATTTACTGGTTTAAATTATCTCAAGTAATATTGTGTGATAGGGAATTAAAAGATAAACTATTATTCGAAACATTTCATATTAAATTAAGTGACATTTTAAGACTTATTAAGATTGTCAAGCCTGCAATAAGTGTTAAATAATTTCTATTAAGTGGTGCTTTTCCAACTACTACAGTGACATTTTTGGGAAAGGGAAAAAAAGTTGATCTAAGTGTATTATTTGAAGAAATGGGTCTCGAGGTTCCTCCCGATGCTAAAGTAATACAACTGAAAGAACTGATCACGAAAAATTTTGAATATGGGGAGAACTTTTGTAAAAATCTATTACAAACAATAATTGATGAAAGGGTTAGAAAAAATTTGTGAAAAAACGAACAACGAAAAAAGCAAAAGTTCAAGATTGGATTACTAGAGTAAGAGAACATCTACAAAAATATTAGTTAAAAATATTTAAGCTTCAAGCTAGGGCACAAAAAGTTTCAGAAACTTCTCCTGTCAATATAACTTCAATTCAGCCAAGCTTACAATTAAAAAAGTAAGTTCCAAATTTCGATCCCAATACAGATGACATGTCTCTGTTTCTTAACTTGTTTCAATGACAACTTACATTTTTAAAAGTGGAAGAAGATAAATAGGTAGCATATCTTCTCAGCGCTTTCCCTAATGATATCGCTCAACTTATTGGTAGAGAAGCGGAAGAAAAAGTACAAGATTTTGGCTATATCAAGAAAATGCTTCTGAAAAGATTTAAGCTAAGTGCAGAAAAGCTTCGACAGTTGTATGCAACTTATAGAAAAACACCTGAGAAGACGACTTGGAAATTCATTTTGAACTCAAACTTTTGTCGAAAACTGGTTAATAGAATTCGACGTTATAACTTTTCATGACTTGAAAAACTTGATTGCTGAGCAAATGAAGAAAAGAGTTCCTCCAAATGCTAAGGAGCACTTTTTAGATGTCTGGTGTGAATGGACAACACCTGAGGATTTAATTGAGAAAATGGATTTGTATGAAAACATGAATTACTACACGAAGCGAAACCAACTCCTTTCATGTCTACGATTGATCTCAAATCTGGTTACTACCAAGTTCAGGTTGATCCGAATGATCAAGATAAAACTGCATTTGTGTGTCCTTTTGGAACGTATCGTCTCAAACGTATGCCCTTTGGACTTCAAAGTGCCCCTGCAACATTCCGGAGATTGATTGACTGTTTCCGCAATGGTCTGGAAGACATCCTAACTCTGGCTTATCTCGAAACTTTTGTCCGAGACTTTCGAGAAACACCTTTCCAACTTAAAGAATGTATTTGAAAAAGTCATAATTTTCAAACTTCGGACCATTTGAGAAAAATGTTGCATTGCATCTACTAAAGTGAAATATTTAGGGTTTTGGATAACCCTGAAAGGAATAGAAGTTGATCCTGAAAAAGTTGCCTCTATCCAAAGCATTCCAACCTCCCAAAAGTGTTAAAGAGTTCCAATCCTTTCTTCAAACATGTTCCTGGTTTAGAGGATACATTAAAAATTTTGCTGAGGTTTCACGACCCCTCAGGGATTTCAGGAAAAAGAAATCTCGATGGAACTAGGGATTTCAACAGCAGACAGCATTCGAAACACTTGAAAAGTATCTTATAACACCTGCTGTGTTGAAACAAGCTGATGGTACTAAGCCGTATATTGTCCAAGCTGATGCCAGTAACTATGCTGTAGGAACTGTTTTACTTCAAGGCAATGGATCCAACGAACACCCTATCGAATATACGAGCCGACTACCTTCTCTGGCTGAACGCAATTATTCGACAACAGAACGAGAAGCTCTAGCGGTTGTATGGGCTCTCAAAAAGTTTGTATGGAATCTCTGGATGGTTAAAAGCATATGAAAACCCCTTTGACAATTGAGTTCGGTCAAAAGGAAAGAGGCCTCTTAAGAAAAGCTCTATTCATTTTTGTGAACATTTAAGATTTCTTTCTTCTTCTAAATTTTCCTTTTTGCAGGTTTTCGATCTACGACAATGCCATCGGCAAATGCAGCAACAAGCATTGACAGCCCAAGATGCAGCTGTTGCTCAAGCTGCAGCAGTAGCTGGTCATATTCCAGGGCCAAATTCAGTCGGAGGAATTGCTCCTGCAATAAGTAAGCAATATTAATGTGTTTTTAGTTTTCGTAATAAAGAAGTTCATGTTTTCTGACAACTAATAGGGGGACATTTGTTTTGATGTTTCCTAAACATTTTATACGCTGCTTTTAACGTACAGTAAACTGATTAACCATCAAATTGAGTAGCATGATGACCGTGCATTCAAGAATTTTGCAAATAATCCGGTGAATGTTTCTCAAACTACTTTAACAGCATTATTGCATATTTTTAATTGCAGTCGTATTTCAATCAATTGCTATCTTATATTCTCTCTCTTTTTAAGCAATTTAACAATGCAAAAAAGAAAAAAAATGCATGCAAGTATCATGGGTAATAATCTCATGCAGTATTATAGAGCAGCATGAGAAGGCAGAATTTCTCTGTAATAAATAAAAGTATTGAAAAATTGTATTCCTAGTTGCATAAGGGCGCAATAATATTACCTTAGAAATAGATTATAAATAAACTGCAAAGCAGCTAGTTGGGAGTTTATTTTACTATTTTCATACAAGGTGTTTTGTAAAAATCTTCCTTAATATTTATTTTTAGAATCCATGTCAAAATTGAAATCAAAAAGTATACACATGAAATAAAAACAAAAATGCTCACCAATCACGGTTTCGAAAGGTGCAACAAGACATTCATTGCACCTTTCGGAACTGTGCTTGATTATCGCTTAAATGAAAGGAAACTGGATACAGCACAGATAATATGCATGTGAATAAAATCTCAATCATTCATTTTGAGGAATACTATTTCTATTTTTCCCTTTGTTACAAGTAGCAGATGGGCAAATAAGTTTAAGAAAGTAGTTAAAACTTTTAAGCTTATTTTAATTTATTTGGTTCATAATAATATTGTTTGCACACATTAATGTAGTACGTAACATGTATTAAAAGTATAAACATGTATAAAAAAATTTATGATGTATTGGCTAAGACGAAATTCCGTTAACGGGAAATAATGATGATAGTCCCGCTGATTTCTTTTTAGCAAAGTTCTACTGTAGAGCAGACTTTTACAATTTAAGCTTTTGATGGAAATTCATTGGTAAAAAGCAGAATTCAACAGATTTGTGGAGATGTGGTAAATCTGCCGCTTACAAAGAAAGAAGAGCTTAAAGCTCTTGATTTAATTTTTTTTTATTAAAAAAAATGGGGTTTGTCCTTTTTTTTATTCTAAATTTTCAGTCTTGAGAATGTTTATGTTAATTGTTTAAGGTTTATCTGCTGCTGCTGGCATAGGAGTAGATGACTTGAGAAGACTGTGTATTCTGAGGCTAAGCTTTGTGAAAGGCTGGGGTCCAGATTATCCTCGTCAACGCATTAAAGAGACACCCTGTTGGATTGAGGTTCATCTACACCGTGCTCTCCAGCTGCTAGATGAGGTCTTACACACTATGCCCATCCATGACCCTCGCCCACACGATTGATTGATTGAGATGTGATTTATCAGAAGGACTATGTAATTGTTTTCAAAAATATTTGCTTACGTGCAATTGTTCAGATGATTGTTTGCTTCAAGCAGAAAAAAAAAATAAATTTCTGTTACTTTTAATGTACATTTTTTAAAATCATTTTAATTATTTAGTTTTTGTTTTGGATAAAAGTTTTTCTTTTCCACCTGGAAGCTCATTTTTTTGTTCTATTTCTGCTTTCAAACAAAAAATGTTTTAATTTGTTTTCTGTTTCTTCTTCACAAGAACAACAGCCTATTGCAGGCCGTGGCTGCTTTAGGCTCACACTTTTTCCAGCGTCTTCCATCTGTAGTCACACCTCTCCAATTCATAAGTGTTTTTTCCACTAAACGACACTATGCAGATCAAATTGAACAATCACGTGAGACATAGCCAAAAATTATATCTTTGTTGGATGGTTTGACCGACAATATTTAATTTCCCCTACATCGTTTGCATGAACTCTGGGAAATAAATATTATTGCTGGCAATAGGGAATTATGATATTTTAAAGTGAGAGCAATATTAAAACCCTACATGAAAAATTTGCTAGGGTTTAAAAAGATAAAATAATTTCTTAATGTTTCAAAACAAATTATTTAATCATTATGCTATTTTTTTGAAAATACAATCTATGCAGTGGTGCCATCTATGGTTATAAAATGAAAATATTTCTTAGACTTAGAATGGTAAATGGCACCCTATTTATTATTAGCACCCTGGTTTTGGAACAGCCTATGCAACAAAAAATATATATATATAAGTCCCGCAGTGGACTGGTCGTTAAGACACGGTTCCCAGCAGAACACCGAAGTCAAGCATTACTGGCTGCAGTCAGTGTGCTGGTGGGTGACCACTTAGATCAGTCTGCGTAGGAATTGGTCCTCGTGCGGTATTGGTCCTCGTTAAACTATTCTACCGTAAAGTGCTCGACTTCGCGTGCAGGTCGTCGGGCTACCGAAGCAGGGGTGCCATCCCCTCTGCAGAGGATCAAAATTGTGATGGCATGTCTTCGGATCATCCTCAGGGATGTTTCCCAGACCGTCGCCAATAGCCCATTGTGCAGCTCTAGTGCGACGTAAATGAACTACAACAACAACAAAAAAATATAGCAATAAACTTGCATCAATTACTTTGGTTGTGGAATAATTGCAAATTTTTTTTATAAACCTAGCTTAAATATTTATGAAGATAGGGAGATATATATAAAAAGCAATTCCTTTGTGTTATGTTTTCTTACTATAACTGTAGAAATATTCAATAAAATTAACATTAAAAATTTGGGGAAATTTTACATTAATAACACGAGTATCACTCTAAAATTTAAAAAAATTCTTTTCAAATTGCTCAAGATATATAAGCATTTAAAGTAGTTCTTTCATGAAAAACATGCCTGGGACACAATTTAAGAAAACTCATAATTTTGTTGGCAATCATATTTTGGTAACTTATCTAAAAAGACATATATGAATATTTTGAAGATGTTTGAAAAAATGTTTCTAGCAATTTTTATACTTTTTAAGATATTTCTAAATGATAGGGAGTTTTTAAAGCATTTAATTTTGTATTTTATAGCAAAATTTAGTAACAAATGATAATACCCTACAATGATTAAGGACTTTAAAATGTGATGGTATAAGGAAATAGGACATACTTTAATAGGAGATGCAATTTCTGGAAAACCCTTTACCCATTCAAAGCTTTCTTTCTAATTATTGAAAAAAAAAATTAGAAAATTGGTGGAAACTTTTTTAAATTTTCAAGACGTTCAAATCGAAATTTTTTCATAAGTTACCAAATACAATTTAGAACAAAAATTATGAAAAACAATTTTTTAAATGTTTTCCGTGTATGCGCAGTATGAAAGGATGACTTAAAATGTTCAAATCTTGCGCAATTTGTAACAATTTTATTTTTTTAATATTTTTGCAATGAATAAAAAATACTTTCAAATATTTGTTCAATTTTATTGAATATTTCTGTTGTAAGAAAACACAAGGAAAAAATCTAAGATTTTATAAAAATGTTTCCCCCCCCCCCGATGCCCAGCTGGAGAATAACCTTTTGTCATACAGGCATCTGAAGGGCAGATTTGTTGGCCACTCTTTCAGGGACACCATATTAGGTGGGCCAACGTTGCTCCCACAGTATGGACAAAGAATGAACGAACACCCATGCCTTGCCCGTGGTTTGAACCCAGAACCTTTCTGATGCAAGGCCAGTTCCTTGACTCCTACACAGGCCGGCATTTATAAAAATGTTTTTTCTCTGAATATTTACGCTACGTTTATGAAATTCTGTGCAGCCATTTCTTATGATAACCAAAATGCAAGTTACAAGCTTATTGTAGATATTTTTAAGAATAACGTTCGAAACACTCTTTTTCGGTCGTAACTTATTGCCGATCCCTCAAATCTACTCGATTAAAATACCCAAAAAGTGAGGGAAATTGTATTTGAAGTACCCGTAAATTCTGTCATTTTTTAAAAATAGATCTTGTAATAATTATTATTTCAAGAAAAAAAATTTTCTTCTTCCCTAACAGAAAGTATAAGCTAATAATAATACAAAGCCCGGTGGCTGCATGGTAGTGCTTTTCGCTGTTGTGTCGCAGGTCTGTAGGTTTATTCTTGAACCGAGTGAAGTTGACTCAGCCTTTCATCCCTTCAGTGGGTCAATTAAATGAATATCAAGTATTCTTGCAGACTAAACACTGTGTGTTCTGTGTTTGGCTGACCACCTAACCAGAACTTCTGCTCCTGCACCCCTTGAGTCCATGGTCAAAAAAAATTAGGATGAAGACCATAGGCCTTGGCCCTAAATGGTGTTGCTGTGCTGAATTTGGATTTGTAATATATTTTACGCATGAGAATAAGTCATAACTAAAAAATTGGTAATAAAATTTATTCCACTCGTCACAAAAATCGTTTTTTTTTTTTTTAATATTTGTGACAATTGTGAAAAACTTGAATTTTTAATCAAATTTGGTGAAACCCAGTAAAATTGTCAGCTATGTAAAGGCATTCTAAATTGACTAAACCTAGTAATTCTGAATTGATTACCATATGTTGAACTGTAATAAAATGGAAATCCAAGTGGTGCCTTCATTTTCTCTTAAAATACTTACGTAATTTAGTCTAGCTTAATATGAATGGTGATCCTCTTTTTCAATAAGATTCTAAGAATATGCAATAAATATATCCTATGAAACCTATTTATGTATATTATGATTTGACTTTCATTTCAATTAAAAAAATTTATTTCGTACAAATAATTTCCTGTGCAGTACACAATTCTAAATTTCAGAGTTAGAAGACACAACAGTTAAATGCCCTTTATTTTCTCTTAAACTCATTAAAAAAAAAAGTTAATATGCAGGTTTCCCTTGATTCTGCCCCCCTCCCCCATTGAATGCGCCTGTGGGAAGGAAATTGTATTGGTCATACCGATATTGGAATGATAAGACCATCCATTTTGCTACAAACGTTTGACATTGGACAAGTATAGAAAGACTCATTCCCAATCCAAACATGATTTAAATGAAAAGGCTGAATGCATTTTTTGCGGAAGATACAAATTTTCAAATTCAACAGCTGATGAAATCCATAAAGAAAACTATTTTGCCCAGTTCCGAAAGCAGAATCAAAAAAACAAAAATGTTTGAGCCACACAGCTGATGGAACCAGAGCTGAATCTAGACCTCCTGGAAACTCCACTCGTGGATTATGTCCATGCGTTCATTTTGACTCCTCATCACTTTATTGTCGAGACATTGCAACAGATTGGACTGTATGACGACTACCCGGATGAATTTCAACAATTGAAATACACGGGTTCTTTACTTGCGTTTAATGAGGAGAGCAGTTTGGATCGAGAGGCTTCAGCCTTGTTCCGAGTGTTTTTTTCCAACACATGGACGTTCTATCACGTATTTGTTCGATCTTATGCCTATTCCAGTTTCAAAATGAAAATGTCCGTATTTGATTCCAGTCACTCGGTGGTCTCTTCCTTTTGGTGGTTGTACGATTGATAAGGAAAATGTATTAGCTTATCATAAACTACATCGTCATATGATTGTGACCGAGCGGCCTATTTGAAGCTTGGAAATTGGTCAAAGTGTCTCATGCGTCAGAGAGATATTGCAAAGGACAGAGAAAACTCAAGACACCCCTGCACTTGGCAAATGCCATTCACTACGTATCCAGTGAAAATTCTCACTGTTCCTGATCCAAGAAACCAGGTGTTGAGCAAGGCGGGGATTTTAATATATCAATCGTCCTTTACAAGATCATTCAGTCATTTTCCTGGCAAGTTTATGTCCGAAAGGTTTAATGGAATGGATAAACCAACAAAAAATCGTAATGAAGTCGTCGTAGATTGGAAAATTGAAGCGTACTGGTCGTCAATATCGTCTGAAAGTGCTCAAAACCATGAATCTTCCAGAATGTTACATTTATTTGCGATGGGATTATGAACCTCATCCTGCTGGAGATCAGAAAGTGTTTTGTACTGAAGACGATATTATGCTCGTCAGACAAATGAATGTTGAACCCGCCTTCATGAATAAAATAGAGGCTATGAAAAATCAGATTTGAATGGAAAATTCTTTGCGGCAAATAATGAAGAATTTATATTACACGTTGAATAAACAACAAGTCTTTCAAATGGGCAGTTCGCACGTGAATCGGAAACAAGATGTAGAGATGCATAAACTAAATGCAGAAATTGAAACAAGAAATGAGAGATTCGAAGAATCAGACAGCCGCAACACAATACGAAAATGAAATACTAAAGCTGAAACTTTGAGACACATACAACTACAACACGAAAATGAAACGCAAAATCAGCGAAACAGGGCCTGGAATGTTTTATAAGTCCATACAAATTTAATGGAACCCACTGCGCATACCTAGCTACAATAGAATCATACTGCTCATGGGTACAAATTTGTTTCTAGAAAGTTCTATAAGTCCATAGAAGGAGAATGGAACCCACTGCGCATATCTATCTACAATAAAATCGTACTGCGCATCCATAACCAAGGAATCCTGGAATGTTCCTGAAGTCCATACAAATTGTATGGCACTCACTGCGCATACTTGGCTGCAATAGAACCGTACTGCGCATGCAAATCCAGAGGGTCCTGGAATGTTCTATAACCCAAGTAGCACTCAATATCGATTGATCTCGAAGAAAATTCGCTTACAACGTCCATCGATATTGTTCCGAAACATCGATCCATATAAAAACGCCCGATTTTTTTAATATTGTACGACATTTTAAAATTTATATGGGTCGATATTTCAATAACGCCGTAGAATGTCGAGTTTGAAAAAAACATATTCCACGGCGTCTACAGATACAGTAGAATGTCGATGAATATTTTCATCACGTTATTCGCACAAGAAATATTAATAAGCATTTAAAGATGCGGCAGAACGCCGGTTGATAATTTTGATACGTTATTCAGGAAAAATTTTTTACTGGGTATTGCAGGATATAGGTATATGTCTGTTAATTATTTTATAAGCTTTTGCACTCCAATTTCAACAAAAAATAAGCACTCAAAAATATTTTTAATCAGCTTCCAAAAATATATATAATTAGGATTTGATCAGTAATTAATTTAAGAATTAAGTGTAAAATAGGTGAATAGAAATAAGTGTGAGCACTGTAGATGGAATTTAAGAAGCGAATATTAATGCAAGGCATGATAATTATTTTCAGGTCAACTATGATTTATAATTCAACATCAAAGACTATTTGCTTCTTTTAAAATAACCACATTTTCCACGCATGTAAATTAGTTTTCCTATTTTTTAGCATTAGCAATGCACATTTTATCGTCAGACAGGATTCAGTCACTGAAAATTAGTAATTTAATATATTGCACAACAGCACAGCACTAAGAACTCATAATATATTATAATTTTATAGGTTTAATAAAATTAACCCTTCTGATATGAATGTGCTTTGTAATATAGAAGGTGTGAATGCAGAGGAATTAAACAAAAAGTAGCTATGAATATTTTATTTGAATAAACATTTAAAAATTTAGTAAAACAAATTGGCACATTATTGGGTCTCCAAGTCCAAAGAATTGGTTACATCAAATATCTTAGGTTTTCGTCCTTATCAATCAGTGGCTGTAGCAGACCTTCCCAAATTTTTCCGCAAGCTCTTGGCCTCAAAGCGTTTGAGAACTGTAGCTGGAAGCAAAAGATTGATTAATTAATAACATTTAAAAATTGAAAGACTAACTAACAAAACACAATTTATTAATGAGTATATAACGAAACTTAGAGAATTAAATTGAATGAAGGGCTTAGAGCAATGATTCTCAACCTTTTTTTTTTGTTGCGAAACTCTTTTAACGATTTCGAAATTTGACGGCACACAATAAAAAAAAATTAGACTAAAAGCTATTTACTTACCTATAGTACACTGTGTTAAATAGTTTGTGATAATAATATGTACTACAAAAGCACGTTTATTAAGGGATTAATTATTTCTTTCAACTGATTTTTTATCAGTTAGTAACAGTTATTTTTTTCTTCTTTTTGCCAGTTATTAATTATTAACTTATTTTTTGGGATTTCTTGTTAACTAGTTTTTTTGCTAATTATTAATTATTAGCTTTTTTTTTAGTTAGTTATCCTTTATATATTTGGTTTTTCTATAGTTATTCTTTGTTAATTTGCTTATTATTGCATAGCTTACTTTAATGATTAGCTTTTATTTCCATTTGTAAGATAATATTTAGCTTGCTTTCCTTTGTTAATTAATTATTTTAATAGTCATTAAATTTCCTACTTATTTCAACGTTTTTTTAAAACTGTGTGTCAAAGGCAATTTAATTATTCCATCTCATTTTAAGATAGTCAGAGACAAGGCAATCACCGACAAAGATGTTCATGCAGTTAAAGCGTAGAAAATTTATAAAAAGTATACATATACTTTTAATGAACATTCTAAGAATTTGACAGCACAAGAAAGTATCACGGCACAGCAGTTGAGAATCACTGGCTTAGAGAATCGACACACAGATAAAAAAAGGGCATGCTGCATTACACTGTTTCGTAAAACTGTCTGAATATTCAAAACGGCAATGCCGTTTTGAATATTCAGACAGTTAAAACAGTCTTAGATTAAATAATAAATTCCTTAACAACAAAAAACACTATAATAAAAGCTTATCAGTTCAATATTCAATTTTACTTCTATGTATTAAAGAACATTCACTTAAACTAATGTGAATACACAAAAAGTATTGAAGTTGAAAATAAGATTTATATTTAAAATTTAGATCTGATATTGATTACTTATGATTGCACATACTTAGAAGTATAATGAAACAAAAACTCAAATTTATTATAAATACACTACACTTCCAAATGCATTCAATTCTTTAATGTAATCATTTTTTCTTCTTTTTTTGATCAGATCCAAAAACTATTGATGTAAAACTGTGTTAGACTTAGAAAATTAAGCTTTTAAAGCTTCTTTATCTTGCTCACGTTTTGGGTTTGGATTTTTGAAACTTTTTTGCAATATTTGGCGTCCTTTACATGGGAACAAATTTTTATTTTGTATTTTTCAAATAGAAAGAATCTCTCCCTAGCATTATTTTTAAATTAAATTTAATTATAATGCTGCCTTTAACTACAGCTTGCAAAGATAAAAATCGGCTGATGATATATATTAATACACATTAAAAAATAGTGAGTATACACGAAAAATCCTGAATAAACTTAGAAATGTTAAGGATTAACTGCAACTTAATGTTTGTAAAATTTAATATAAAAAGAGAGGAATTCTAAATATTTAAATTTATTATTTGCAATTGGAATTGTTATTCAGATTAAAAACTTTTTCTAAAAGAGTATTTTCCAAAAGAGTTTTAATTCTAAAAGAGTATTAAAGTATTTATATTAGATAGCTCACTTTCAAGTATTATTTCATCTGTACACTTGTTAAAAATAAGTAAAATAGATGCTATCAACAGCTCCGCAGCTGATACATTGCCTAAAATGAAAGTCACTATCAGTTGCTTAAATCAGATTTCTGATGCAACATCTAAAACAAAAGTCATTATATCGGCCTGCCGATATATATGTGTTACAAAGATATTTTGAGATGCATCGATTTATTGCCCAGTTCTATATAGAATAATCCTTTAAACTCTCCCCATACACCCTCAAGTACAAAACAAATAAGACGGTGAAATTCTTTTTTGTTTTTTAAGGGGTCAACAAAGTTTGAAAAGGTTAAGATTCACTGATCTATACTTTAGAGCAAAATTTCCTTTGCCAAAGGATCCAATGAGCAATTGTAATTATTTTGATCATAATAATAATAGTTCCATTTTTATGAAAATGCTTTCAACGGAGAAAAAATTAGAGAATGATTATAATACCATTGCATAACTCAATCATAAAAATAATTACAATAAGTTCACTTACAAGTAAACTATAAATTCTTATCTTCTTTCAACTTTTCCTCTAATTGATTAAGATCACCATCCGAAGAGCGGGAGCTCAATACCTCTTAGTAATTCTAAAAGAACAGATGTTGAATTATCTTTCTTTTCCAGAGAACTGCATTTGATGAGACTTCATTTCTATAATTTCCTTTCTTAACTGTTTAATCTCCTCTTGATTTTCTAACACACAGTTAAACATCTTAGTCGCTAAAATAACAAATACAAGAGATTAAGTATGCGCAGTTTTATAAATGTGCTTTTAATGCTAATAAAATGATTAAGAATTTTATAAAACCACCAAGTTAATTAACAAAAAAATTAAAGTAATTGTGAAAACTATACATTTACTAATACATAAACTAAATTCCTTTTTAGTAAATATTATAACATGCAAATTTTTCATGAAAAATAAATTAGGAAAAATATTAAAAATACAAAATGTTACTCGAGGCTCCTAAATTTATACTAGTTTCCTCATCATGCAATCGCTCTGTTCAGTGACAACAAAGCAAAATAGTCTGATGTCATAATTTATTTAAAAGCTAAAAGGCTGAGTAGAGTGAATTATACACCTATGTTGGTGAAATTGCAACAAAATGAAAGAACTGTCTGACATTTATTCATTAAATTACTGATAGTGGTATGAATAAACAAGTGCACTCATTTTCTAAATAAATTCTAATCATTTACGAGAAGGCATTGAGAATAAGATAAAACAGTAACAAATTATCACATCAAAATATAAAATTTCTACTTGATATATATTGTAAATAGATATCAATATAAGATTATCAGGGGTCTGTCTAGTTTTTTCTGAGAGGTACCTATTTTGTGAAAATTTAGACTTTTGTGAAAAATTTAAAATTATGTTAAAAAATCAACACCAAAATATGGATTTATCGTTTCTTAAGGGATACAAAAATAAAATTTTAAGAAAAAGTATTTTGTAAAACTACCGTTTTTCCTACAGTTGAATTTGTGAAACTACCGTTTTTCCTAAAGTCTAATATGTGAAAATAAAGCTAAACGGTAGTAAATTTGGCCTGGACAGACCTCTGATTATACATTATAAAATTAATTTCTACATATTAATTTTAGAATGAATCACAACTAAGTTATAATCTTATTTAATAAGAATCACACATAGACCTGTTGTGTTATGTATATACTTATACCATGTATATTTATATATATACCATGTTTATATAGTATATATACCTGGTCTGTCTAGGTTTTTCTGAGAGGTACCTCTTTTGTGAAAAATTTAGACATAATTTATGAAAATTAAAAAATCAACACAAAAATATGGATTTATCATTTCTTACGAGACATAAAAATAAAATTTTAAGAAAAAGTATTTGCTGAAACTATATATAATTTTATTCAATTATATGTAATTTTAATTTCACTTTCTATTAATTTTATTATAAAAACATGGAAGACCATTGAGTATTTATTTGTTTTTTATTAAAGTCAAATGAAATTTTAGTTTTTACTGATTATAACTTTATAACAGGTAAAAAATATATATTTATATATGTTTAGTAAATATATGTGCGTGAAAACAAAAAAATTAATAAACTTGTTCCTTTTATATTACTGTATTTATATTTTATAATGCTTGGGTTAAAAACTGTGAAACGTTATGTATTTAACAGTAAAGAAGATTCAAATATGTATTAGTGATAACACGTTATTAAACATAATAAAAAATACAAACAACAATAAATAAGATTCAAATATGTATTAGTGAAAATGTGTTATTTATACTTAATATAAAATACATAATAAAATTAAAATAACTTTTCAGATTTATTTCTATTTTTAAGCTTATACAACACTTTTAAATAAATAAAAATATTTATACAGCACAGCAGTTTATGAGCACTAAATGAAAAAAAAAACAATTCCTCCCGAGTTTTTTCAATAAAACCCAGGCGGGTTGGGTTTTTTCGAAGCCTGAAAAACAATAAAATATTTAATTAGAAAAGCTTTGACGAATATTTCCTAATCATAATCTTAGAAACTTATTAGTTTTAGTTGGTGCGCTCTTATCCAAATTATACATCAGTTTTTAAAGTTATTTTAAAGATATAAAAAGTTTGAACAGCTTTAATATTATGTATATTAACACATTTTGATATTATTTTTGTCAATTAAATTTCCCTTTTTGATCGATAAATTTTTTTTATTATTTTCAGCAAACAAAAAATTCTTTAAAGAAATTTTAATAGGGTGACCCGGGGTAATTCACGATCACTCTGTTTCTGGGGTAAATAATGATCACCTAAGTTATATTTAAAAAAAAAAGTTTTTTTTTTAAATTTGAGACATGGACAAGAATGCTTGTGCACTTTACTAAAGTATAACTACATTTACTTAATAATAGCTTTTTGTTTTATCTAACAAAATAAGTATCTTTTAAACTGCTTTCTGTACTTTCAATTTCAAAGATGGGTTTCAAAATGTGCACATTTCTGCAAAGTTCCTTCTCTTAATAATAAATATTTTGAGTTACTTTATATTTCTTTTATATAAAAATAGTGTAAGCTTTTGTTTAATTGTTTCACATCTACTGTAAACATTATAATTGATTATAGAAAACTGTATCAAATGTTGCCCCCTACAGATGGGGTAATTATTGATCACTGGGGTAATTCCTGATCACTGTCATTTCTTCTTATAAATAGTATATAAAATAGCTAATAAATAGCTAATTGTCTTTTCTTAAATAACAGTTCATATTTATTAAGTGGAACAACTATAAAATATATTTTAACTATCATCACAAAATTTGTTTTTATCGGTATACAAGACTGTATTCTGATTTGCACCATTTCTGGTTTGTCATACCTTGCTTCTATCTTAATTTTATGTGTGTACATTGTTAGAATAATTTTTAAGTTTATAAATTAGCTTAGTATAAATATGGTGAGAAATTATTAGCCTAAAAAGGATACCAAGCTTCTAGAAAGCAAAATTAGTTAATTTCTTTTAATGATTGGAAATGAAATTTCAATGTGAGAGCTGCTGCCAGAGCTGTTGAGTTGACATACCTTACTTTACTTTACACTTTCACTTAATGAAGTTAAAAAATCCAGCAAAAGTAACCCATGAGGGAACTCTCTTATATTTCAGCAGAACATGAGAATGAGTTGGCTGATTGCCTAAAATGTATGGCATGATGCAAAGATTTTTGGAAAATTTAAAGTGTTAATCTTTCTTCTTGCTTTTAAATAAATAGTTTTATTAGCTGCTTAAACATATCTTTTTGGTTTATTTGTTTGATCTTGATGTCTTATTTGTTAATTACCATTATATAATTATTTTTAAACAGTCCCTTTACAATAAAAACTGGTGATCAGTAATTACCCCAGAAGTGATCAGGAATTACCCCAGAAATGATCAAGACCAGGGGTAATTCCTGATCACTAAAAATTTAAAATCTTTTAAATTCTAATTAGATTTTCAAACAAAAGAAGGTGGCATAGGACTCATCTCATATAGCCTCAAACTTCCAGTAAATATTAAAATTCTATCTTGAATAGTTTTTTCACAAAATAGATGTTTGCATTTTTTGATCAAGAATTAATATAATAATACATATAAATCTCTATTTTGATCCTTTGTGTCTATTTTTATTTTCCTTTAGTATACTCTTGTTACATAACAAACACATATCATACTTTATACATAACAAATACCTTACTTGATATCTAACACATTTAAAAAAAATTGTAGTAGTAATGAATAACAATCATTCCTGTACCATAAACTAAATCTTATATTTAGAACTTTTATTTAGAGAATTATATTACAAGACTAAATTAAATTTAGGTAAATAGAATATCATTGTTTTCGGAAATAGAATAGTTTAACTTATTTCTTTTTTTTAAATTTGTTTAATATTTTCATATTGCTTATTTTACTTTTAGAAATAATTTTAAAATCTATATAACCTTTTACAATTAACTTACATTAATATTTTGATAAATTATGTATACTTGGATCATTTTGAGCACAATTTTTAATGTTATAAAATGAATTAACTGTTAATAAGCATACAGAATTAACGTTGACAGACTTAATTTTTATAAAAAGTATTTATACACTCATAACTACAATGCTATGAACCTTGTTCACAGAATAAATGACATTAAAAACATTTCATCTTATAAAAAATTATTTATATTGTATATTAATTATTTATTTAATAAAAAATTAGATAGATTGTAAAACATAACATTTAACATCCCGGCAAACAAGAAGTAAACAATTCAGTTCAAACGACTTTGACAATAAATTTACGTCATTAATTAGAAATTATTTCGATAATAATATTTAAAATTAGCGAAAAATTAAAAATTACTTACTTAATTACAATTCAAAACCAGCTACATTATGATCTTTTATAATGGAATACTCGGTAATGAAGGCCTAACCTAAATATAAAAGTGAAAGATTGCACTTAGAAATGAAGACCTGACACAATATTAATAGAGTTTATATAAGTAAATAGAAGATGATTAAACTTTGCTTACCTAAATTAAATCAGTAAGGTGACTTAGGAGATACAACACGCTAAAAATGCATCACAGCGTACATCACAAACCAACTGAAACATGGATTGTAAAGCGTGACGTCAGAGCTGAAGATCACGTTACAAGCGTTTATATCGATCTTGGCTGCTGATAACAATATTGAGGTCGCTTCACCCTCCAATCCCGTACCATATCGTTTTCACAGAATTCTATTTTTCACTTTCACTAATATGAGCAAGTATAAAGAAATTTTACTCATTTTTATCTTTCTAACAACTATTGTGAACTTTGGAACTAAAATATATTTAAAATAGAGTGTTTTAAGAAAAATACTTTTAAAGTTTCATTGACGGAATTCATTCAATAACTTGCTCACAGTATCTATATTCCTCCGCTTTCAAAATATTGATGGGAACGGCTACGGTATAGATCGATGTTTCTGTGCTACTTGGGAAGTCCATACAAATTTAATGGAACCCACTGCGCATATCTAGCTACAATAAAATCGTACTGCGCATGCATAACCAAGGGGTCCTTGATTGTTCCTACAGTCCATACAAATTGCATGGAACCCACTGCGCATACTTAGCTACAATAGAATCGTACTGCGCATGCATATCCAGGAGGTCCTGGAATATTCTATACGTCCATACAAATTTAATGGAACCCACTGCGCATATCTAGCTACAATAAAATCGTACTGCGCATGCATAACCAAAGGGTCCTGGAATGTTCCTAAAGTCCATACAAATTGCATGGAACCCACTGCGCATACTTAGCTACAATAGAATCGTACTGCGCATGCATATCCAGGGGGTCCTGGAATGTCCTATAAGTCCATACGAATTTAATGGAACCCACTGCGCATATCTAGCTACAATAAAATCGTACTGCGCATGCATAACCAAGGGGTCCTGAAATAATCCTAAAGTCCATACAAATTGCATGGAACCCACTGCGCATACTTAGCTGCAATAGAATCGTACTGCGCATGCATATCCAGGGGGTCCTGGTATGTTCTATATGTCCATACAAATTGAATGTAACCCACTGCGCATATCTAGCCACAATAAAATCGTACTGCGCATGTGAAACCAAGGGGTCCTGGAATTTTCCTAAAGTCCATACAAATTTAATGGAACCCACTGCGCATACTTAGCTACAATAGAATCGTACTGCGCATGCATATCCAGGGGTATTAGAATGTTACAGAATGTCATACAAATTGATTGAAACCCACTGCGCATACCCAGATACAATAGAATCGTACTGCGCATAGAATTTTTTTCGCGCATGGGCAGTTCAAAAAAGTGTTAAAATTTTTTGAAGTCCGCTATATAGACGGGAGCTCAACACGGCAATCTCTCATTCTGCCTCCGCGTTTGGTGGTGTTCAGACGTGGCTTTGGCTCTACCTGTGGGTTCCTTTACGGGCTCATAGTAAAGGGGTGTGAGCCTATTGCTGCGTTTAAATACCATAAAATGCTTTTTTTGTGGAGCATGGTTCCCCGATTGTGCCTCAGTAGAATTTTTTTTTTCAGAATTTTTTTTTTTGTTTCAGAATTTTTTTTTTTTTTTTCAGAATTTTTTATTTTTCTGAAATTTTTTTTTTTTTTT